CACACAGTGCAGAGTTAAATTGTGGAACTCCTTCCCACAGGAGACAGGGATGGCCACGAACTTGGATGGTTTTAAAAGAGAATTGGATCAGTTCATTGTGTGGAGGCGGCTAGGGATGGCTGCCAGCCACAATGGCTGTGCTCTGCTTCCACATTCAGAGGCAATAATTCTTTCAAATACCAGTCGCCGGAAACCGCACTCGGGTCCTGCTTGTAGCCGGTTGGCCGCTGTGAGAACAGGATGTTGGAGTACATGGGCCCAGGCTGCTGACATTGGACTGATGGTTCAACTTGGGATATAAGGCAGCTTCTTGTGTTCTGTTGTGTGTATTCAGAGAACCATGAGGACTAGGATCTTATTTCAAAGTGTAGGGCTAGAGCTCAGTGGTAAGGCACTTGCTGGAAGTCCCAGGTTCAATTCTTGCATGATTATTTCTTTAAAATATATCTATATAAAAGGGCTGCAAAGCTCCAGGACCTATGTCCATTCAGTCTGATTTCTTTTACAGTTCTGTTATGTCCTTAGTTGAATAGGATCCAAAAGGCAGCAGTCTGATTGGTCCTAGAACAATGCAGCAGTATGATTGGTCCGCAGGAGCCACCCAATCCAGCTCCAGGTGGAAGTGAATCCGCAACCTGATTGGCCTACAGGAGAATCCCAGAATTAGCCAATCACATGCAGCCCATTGTGTAAATAATGTATATAAAGCAGATATTTTGGGGGAACTTCCATTCCTCACTACTATGAGCTGAATGAAGAGCATGAAATCCACACTCGACTCCGAGTATATTTCAAGTTCTGAGCATGGAAATCTAAACTTGCACCAAGAATGGTCTCCAAAAACAAAACAAAACAAAAATTATTGCACCCCCAGAGCCAGAGACCTTACTAGCCTCACTCCATCAACACAGACTTCCGCCTGCAAACACTGTGGGCAGATCAGCTTCTGTCTTTTTTTGGTTCCACTCAAGTCTCCGAAATTTGCATGCGTTTGTTTCCCCTTCGTTGGTTCACAAATGCTTGAATGTGTCTTCTTCTTCTTCTTCTTCTTCTTCTTCTTCTTCTTTTCGTCAAAGCAACATTTGTGCACGAAACCACCAGCCCGGCGCCTCCACCTCCCTTGCCCTGGTTTTGCATGTGTCTTTAAGAAACATCAAAAAAACAGAGATCCAGTTCTCTCTTCCCAAGGTGCTTTTGGGGAAGCAGCCCTATTGCAACACACAGCCTGGTTTAGGAGAAGTTGGCGGACACATGGGGCCCGAGATAGGAAGGATGAGTGCACATTTTCAAAGGCTGGTTTCAGAACGGAACAGGCAACGAAACAAACCCTCTTTTAAAAAAAGTAAATCAAAAAATTGCTGCAACGGTCTGAGGGTGGGAATGATTCGACCACGGCATGCACCCAAAGCATACCGCTCGTGCCTCTCGCCCTTCTTTCCTGGAGAAACAGTTTCTATCCAAATGCGATTTTGGTTTTAAATGCAGTGTAAGGTAGTCTCTATGGGAGTATATTGTATTTAATTATGGGGTATCAGAGTTTTTAGGGGGCTAACCAGGCTGGGATGGGACGCAGGTGGTTAAACCACAGAGCCTAGGACTTGCCGATCAGAAGGTCGGCGGTTCGAATCTCTGTGACGGGATGAGCTCCCGTTGCTCGGTCCCTGCTCCTGCCAACCTAGCAGTTCGAAAGCACGTCAAAGTGCAAGTAGATAAATAGGTACTGTTCTGGTGGGAAGGTAAACGGCGTTTCCGTGCGCTGCTCTGGTTTGTCAGAAGCGGCTTAGTCATGCTGGCCACATGACCCTCGGCCAATAAAGCGAGATGAGCACCGCAACCCCAGAGTTGGCCACGACTGGACCTAATGGTCAGGGGTTCCTTTACATTTAAGGTAGTCTCTATGGGAGTATATTGTATTTAATTATGGGGTATCAGAGTTTTTAGGGGGCTAACCAGGCTGGGATAACTGGGATAGCAGGCTTGTTGGTTTTTGAATGTCTGAAGTAGATTTTTTCAATTTCGTTGTTCTGTATGGGACAATGATAATAAAGAGTATCGTATCGTATTGTATCGTATCGTAAAAAAGGCTGTCCACAATGGCTACGGGTCATCATGGCTAGTTCTCCCTCCCCCATCAGAGGCAGAATACTAGTTACAGGGAACTGCAAGTGTTGCTGTTGTGCTCACCTCACAGAATCACAGAGTTGGAAGGGACCATGAGGATCATCTAGTCCAACCCCCGGCAAGGCAGGAATCTTTCTGCCCAGTGTGGGATTTGAACCCATGACCCTGACATGAAGAGTCTCATGTGCTACCTTTCGGGTTTCCCACTGAGCCACTGTGAGAAGAGGATGTTGGACTAGACAGGCCATTGGCTTGAATCGGCGGGGCTCTCTTCTTATGTACAGTAGGTTTAGACAAATGCGTGAAAGATCAGGTTACCAAAGGCTACAGTCAGAAGTGGCAATGCTTCTGAATGCCAGCTGCTGGGAATTACAAGGGCATAAAGGTAAAGGGACCCCTGACCATTAGGTCCAGTTGCGGACGACTCTGGGGTTGTGGCACTCATCTCACTTTATTGGCCAAGGGAACCGGCGTACAGCTTCCGGGTCATGTGGCCAGCATGACGAAGCTGCTTCTGGCGAACCAGAGCAGCGCATGGAAACACCTTTTACCTTCCCGCCAGAGCAGTACCTATTTATCTACTTGCACTGGCGTGCTTTCGAACTGCTAGGTTGGCAGGAGCAGGGACTGAGCAACGGGAGCTCACCCCGCCGCAGAGATTCGAACCGCCGACCTTCTGATCCCTAGAGCCCTAGGCTCTGTGGTTTAACCCACAGCGCCACCCTTTTACCTATGCATGTAAAGTCCCCAGGTAGGGGCTGCGAGAGACCCTCTGTCTGAAACTCTGGACAGCCTCTGCCAGTCAGTGTGCAGAAATACCAGTAGGTCTGACTCAGTATAAAGCAGCTTCTTTGCGGGAGGCCACAAGCTTTGAATGTCTGCTGCGGACATGACTTAACCTTCTGCCATGTGAGTTTTGAATTATGCGAGCAAACCAGGGCGGCCGCTTGAGAACCAGATCAGCCAACGAGGCCCTCTTCATATTTTGGACCAACCGTCATCAAGGCCGGTCCTGGACCGATATCAACATCGCCTCAGGTTTCCTCTCCTGCAGAGATTGTTTTTTTCCACCTATTTCATTCTCCACTGCTGCTTTTCCATTCCGCTTTTGGTGGTGGGTTGCGCGGTTTGACATTTCCGCTCCCTCGCTTGCAGAAGAGTGGGCCAGCGTCAAAATCAGTAGGAAGAATTTACGCACCTGCGATGGCACTTCCGGTTGTTTCACCTATTAATAGATGGCCGGCCGTGTAGCTTCGCAGAGAGGCAGAGCCAGAGAGGCTGAAAAAAAGTCCCTGCTTATCTCGCTCAACTCGAAAGTTGAGTCAGCCAGGTTGAAAATGAGGGGTCTGGGGATTTCCCTGCCTCAGAGGGTGATTCTGTCACAGGAAAACCACAGCCAGGTGGTACCAGATTTCAGCGAGGGATCCCCTATGTCTTTTTGCCAGGAAGTTGCACCTGGACGAAAACTCAGGGAGAATATGAGATTTTAGAGGTGCAAACCTGCCTTGGGTGTTGTTTGTCAAACTTTTCTTTCTTTCTTTCTTTCTTTCTTTCTTTCTTTCTTTCTTTCTTTCTTTCTAAAATACATCTTAAAAGTATGCACCCACAGCCCTTGATTGTATGAAAAAAAACCTCAAAGGAAGGGAGCACAGCCGAAGCACAGTGAAAATAACCTTGCGAATTTACAAATTATGATATGTGTTAATGTGAACTGAAGTTAATTTTTGTAGCTGTGGTATAAGGGGTTTTATCAATAATGGATTGTATTTGGTTTCAGCAACGGTCTGGAGTCAGAATAAAAAGGAATCGGACTTTGAAGTACAGCACGTGGGAAGCCACACAAAATTTATACAGTGGTACCTTGGTTTACAACCGTAATCCATTCCGGAGGTCCATTTGTAAACCAAACAGTTTGTAACCCAAGGCGTGCGTTCGCCAATGGGGCCTCCCCCCCCCAAAATTGTTCGTAATTCCCCCCCCCCAAAAAACCCGGTTGTAATGCAAAACAAGGTTGCAAATCGGGACACGCACTTCCGGGTTTGACGTGTTTGTAATCCAAAACAGGCAAATCAAGGTACCACTGTAATTGGCTATATAATTGATTTGTATTTGAATTGTACTGCTATTTGGTGTTAATATAATATGGCACATATTGGATTTTTGTAACTGAAAATTAATAAAAATTATTTAACATAAAAAAAGAGAAAATAATCTTATGTACAGTGGTACCTCGGGTTAAGTACTTAATTCGTTCCGGAGGCCCGTTCTTAACTTGAAACTGTTCTTAACCTGAAGCACCACTTTAGCTAATGGGGCCTCCCGCTGCCGCCGCACGATTTCTGTTCTCATCCTGAAGCAAAGTTCTTAACCTGAAGGACTATTTCTGGGTTAGCGGAGTCTGTAACCTGAAGCGTATGTAACTTGAAGCGTATGTAACCCGAGGTACCACTGTACCAGCTATTGGGGGTGGAGGCACTCGGGCCCCCGCAAAGCTTTTAAGCCGGGTACTGAGGCCCTTCCATATCTAGCGGCGACATCACGTGACATTGGTCTGTTTAATCGCGGGCGCAAGCCAGTGCTCATGCTAATGGATCATAATAATGCAAGAAGAGGTTGCAGGATCAGGCCAAAGGTTTATCAAGTCCAGCATCCTGTTCTCACAGGGGGAAAACAAACCTCAAAGTGGTTTACAAAAATAATAGAACAATTATCAACACAAGCAGCTATTTAGAAAAAAAAAATTAAACCAACCATACGCTAGAAACAGATGAAAACACAGGTCTAAACAAAAATGCAAAAGGTGTTTGCTTTGTTTTTTTAATTCAATTTTTATTGGTTTTCTATTACAAAATCAGTCATAAACCATTTGCAAAACTTTTAAGCTTTAGACAAAATACATATTCTTTTTTTATATAAAAAACTGGGTCTTCGGAGGGTACGATACAAGTAATATGTTTTAGCAATACATAATGATGCAATCTTACATTGGACTAGGTAGATAGGTTTTGATTTGCACTTTCACCAATAACTTAAAACAGATTTGTGCGCTTTTGTGTCGTGTCCAAAGCACTTACTTTTCCAAAATAAGGCAAAAATACAGAAAAAGAGGAAAAGAGAATAACAGGGGTTTCCTGCCTACCAATCTGCATTGTAAATTGTATAAACGCTTCTCTTCCATGTGCTGAGTGATTTTTAAAGTTCAGTTCCTAACCCTATTTATCAATGGCATATATTAAAAGCACACCTGATGCACGTTTAAAGCACATGACTTCTTAAAAAATATATATTAAAGCCCCTCATGGTGCTATAGTTCCCAGCACCCTTCGGAAACTACAGTTTGGGGGATTACTGCGGGGGAAGCAACTACAGTGGTGCCCCGCAAGACGAATGCCTCGCAAGACGGAAAACCCGCTAGACGAAAGGGTTTTCCGTTTTGGAGGTGCTTTGCAAAACGAATTTCCTATGTGCTTGCTTCGCAAGACGAAAATGTCTTGCGAGTTCCTGCGGGGTTTTTTTCCTTTTCCCCTTTTTCCCAAGCCGCTAAACCGCTTATCAGCTGATGGCTAAGCCGCTTAACAGCTGATGGCTAAGCCGCTTAACAGCTGATGCTAAGCCGCTTATCAGCTGATCGTTAAGCCGCTTATCAGCTGATCGTTAAGCCGCTTATCAGCTGATCGTTAAGCCGCTTATCAGCTGATCCACTAAGCCCGCTAAGCCGCTAATACTGTAGCACTAATCCGCTAATGGGCTTGCTTCACAAGACGAATAAACCCGCAAGACGAAGAGACTCGCGGAACGGATTCTTTTCGTCTTGCGAGGCACCACTGTATGGCTGTTGAGAGTGGTATAAGAGTGCTTCAAATGCATGCCCTCCAACATTTCTCCAATGAAAATAGGGACGCCCCATTCCATAATGATAATTTTACAGTTTACTGGGTTGCCCTAGCCACTCTGCACAGCTTCCAACATACAGTGGTGCCCCGCAAGACGAATGCCTCGCAAGACGAAAAACTCGCTAGACGAAAGGGTTTTTGGTTTTTTGAGCCGCTTCGCAAGACGATTTTCCCTATGGGCTTGCTTCGCAAGACGGAAACGTCTTGCAAGTTTGTTTCCTTTTTCTTAACACCGTTAATACAGTTGCGACTTGACTTCGAGCAGCAACTCATAGAACGCGGTGGGGTAGCCATTTTTGAGGTTTTTAAAGACTTTGGTGATTTTTGAAGCTTTTCCAAAACTTTCCCAACACCGTGCTTCGCAAGACGAAAAAAATCGCAAGACGACAAAACTCGCGGAACGAATTAATTTCGTCTTGCGAGGCACCACTGTACAGTGGTACCTCGATTTTCGAACGTCTCCGTTGACGAACGTTTCAGAACTCAAACGCCAAAAACCTGGAAGTAAATGCTTCCGTTTTCGAACGCGCCTCGGAAGTCAAACGTCTTCAGCCGAGTTCAATTTTATGTATTGAATTTGCAGACCACCCTTTGCCCCTCGGTTTCCAAACGTTTCAGAAGTTGAACCGTCTTCTGGAATGGATTACATTCGAAAACCGAGGCACCACTGTACAGTCATACCTCGTTACGTTTGCTTCAGGTTAAATCTTTTCAGGTTGCGTCCCATGGTGACCTGCAAGTAATGGAACTGGTTACTTCCGGGTTTCGTCGCTCGCAGACAGGCAAAATGATGTCACGCGCATGCACAGACGCGGTGAATCGCGACCCACGCATGCGCAGATGCAGGTTGTGTTCTGCTCAGGTTGCGAACGGGGCTCCAGAACGGATCCAGTTCGCAACCAGTGGTACCACTGTCTATGAAAACATAATAAAACATTAAACATTTTTAAAAACTTCCCTATACAGGATTGCCTTCAGACGGCTCGGGGGTCGGATAATGCCCTATCCTCCAACATTTCTCCAAAGGAAATAGGGACGTCCTAAGGACTGCAAGAAGATCAAACCTCTCCATTTTGAAGGAAATCAGCCCTGAGTGCTCACTGGAAGGACAGATTGTGAAGCTGAGGCTCCAATGCTTTGGCCACCTCATGAGAAGAGAAGACTCCCTGGAAAAGACCCTGATATTGGGAAAGATGGAGGGCACAAGGAGAAGGGGATGACAGAGGACGAGATGGTTGGACAGTGTTCTCGAAGCTACCAGCATGAGTTTGACCAAACTGCGGGAGGCAGTGGAAGACAGGAGTGCCTGGCGTGCTCTGGTCCATGGGGTCACAAAGAGTCGGACACGACTAAACGACTAAACAACAACAAGGAAAAGCAGGACATTCCGGGATCAAGTCAGAAACTGGGATGGCTTCTCCAAATCAGGGACGTCCCTGGAAAATAGGGACACTTGGAGGGTCTGCAAATTTATGGGGCAGGTGTAACATGAGGAGACAGTTGGCCTCGAGACCAGAAAAGGGGGCATTCAAACGCCCCATGGGATTTCACTTCCTCTGTCCCTACGCGGGGCACGCACTTCCTCTGGAGCTGTTTATCGGTGAGGAGGGACCGAAAAGGAGAACTGGAAGATGGAGGGAAGCAGCTGCCTGGACCGGGGGTTTCACCACCAGCCCTCCTTCTCCTGCGCTGCGAACCTGCCGCAGGCCCCCCTCTTCCCTCAAGATTGCTCAACTCTTTTCTTCCTCTTTCTTTCTTTCTCACGGGCCAGCACAGCCAGCTACGCCAGGAAGAAAGAGACAAAAGGAAAACTGGGCCCCAAAGAACGCACACATTTGAAAAGGCCGTATTTTACCAGGGGATGCAATTATTAGTCCGCTAGCAGTTCGAAAGCAAGTCAAAGTGCAAGTAGATAAATAGGTACCACTCCGGTGGGAAGGTAAACAGCATTTCTGTGTGCTGCTCTGGTTCGCCAGAAGCGGCTTAGTCATGCTGGCCACATGACCCGGAAGCTGTACGCTAGATCCCTCGGCCAATAAAGCGAGATGAGCGCCGCAACCCCAGAGTCGGTCACAACTGGACCTAATGGTCAGGGGTCCCTTTACCTTTACCTATATAATTTTGGAACGTGGCTTCTTTATGAGACACCACCCAAGATATCATAACCGCATTTGGCACAACGGTTCCCGAAACCAAGGAGCAACCCCCCATGTTTGGATAGAATTCTGGACACCAGTTTGATGGCCGACTGAGCCATTGAAATGGATCCTGATTTTAGCCACCAATTTCAAAATGGCCCTGATTTTCACCGCCGGTTTCAAAACTGTAGAGAGTTTTTGGTTTCTTAGACTACCCGGAAACGCTCCTAGACTGCAAGCGTTATCGTCACCAAACACCCCTTTCCCTTCTGCACTGTGGCCTCGCTCTCTTCCTGTGGTGGCAGGATGAATTGGCAGAGTCCTGATTTAGAAGGGTGACCGTACCTCTTCTGTGCAGGGAGCGGGGCATCAAGAAATCATCATGCAACGGCAAGGGTGCGGCTCAAATATTCCTGGAGTGTCTCAAAAAGTCACTCGTTCTAAAAATCAATAAGCTAAGCCTTAAAAAAATGTCTTGCCTTTCATTATCCCCTGGGAGGCTGTTATGCTAGCCTGTTAATTTTATTCATGGAATCCATTTAACACATTTATAAATGTCTTTGCGGCCTGAGGGGCTACCAAAGCAGCAGACGGGAATAAAATTAACCTTCAAAATGGAGAGTTTTGCAGCCCTTTAAAAGTATAAACAGTTTTATGGTGGCCCAAGCTTTTTCGGATTAAAACTTAACATCAGCAGATGCCTAAATTGGCAGATGATGCAAATGGCAGGGCCATGCAAAAGCAATGTTGCAAGGTGGAGTGGGCTCGTGTTCAGTGTGTGCCGGCCATGCCCTTTTACAAATACTCCATTACGTTCCTTCGCCTTGTTTCCCCCCCCCCTCCACCTGACCCTCTCAACAGTTAGCATGCCATGCCTATTGAATATGCCAAGCCCTTTGTGGAGCCCAGAAAGGGCGGTTATCAGTCAGTGTAGCGTGAGAACACCCTTGTTGTATTTGGGGATTTCACCCCCTTGGGGTCAGTCCCCCCAAATAATTTTCAGATTTCTACAAACCCTGGGGCTCCTGCAAGCTTGCTAATGCTTTGCACTTCTGAGTGCCTATTTACAGACACACACTTAAGAGAAGGAGCTTGCTATTTTCATATACTGGATACAGCTCCTCATGCACCAGAAGTAGAGAGAATTTGTAAACAAGTGTGGGGTCCAAAGGCCCTGAAGCTCAAGTGGTACAATACAGCAATGTGTCTACACAAATGTACACAAGCTACGCACAGCAGCGGTTAAGAAAGGAACAAATTGGCAGCCGTGCCATCGTCCTAGCTTTGCCCTGCTGATTTAACGCATGTAGTGCATTTATGTGGAAAGAAAACCTTGATTCAGACAGAGTCCAAAATGAGTAGCATCGAACTTGCTGAGGGCAGCAGTTTCCTAGGGCTGGCACTCACTGGCCTTTGAAGTTTTTTGCTAGGCACAGGGTTATGAGAAATCTGTTTACCTTGGTGGCATCGGACCAGACGCTTTGCTGAGCTGGTACCTGAACGTCACGCCGATTGCTTAAAAAGCAGTGATTTCCGGGCTGTTCGCCCAGGGAAGGTTTAGGTTCAGGAAACAAGCAAGGCACTGTTTGTGAGCAGCAGGGAGCAGGCAGAAAAAGAAAGGGAGGGATTGCTCCTTATTGCAAAACATAATTTCAGGGTGGGGTGGGAGAGTTAAGCAGCCACAATGCCATCTGCCCAGGGTACACCAAAAAGAGAAGCGAAAGAAGAAGTTATGCCAGGCATACACAAAACAACCTCTTAAGCTCCATTAGGCCCTCTCCTGAATTGGCAGCTTTAATTTAAGCAAAAAACCCAAAGTTGCTAGTCCCTTTCGTTTGCGGAAACATATAAGAAAAATGTGTCCAGGCAGCATATACTCAGGGAGGAGAAATGCAATAAATTTAAACTTGTGGGGCTACCTGGATATCTTTTCTTTTTCCCCTAGGCGGGAAGGGGGTAAGATTGCTGTTTTGCAAACAATTCCCTCTCTCCTCAGGCCGAAAAATCTGCCTGGGGGGCATAGCTGTCAACTTACAGATTTGAAAATAAGGGACCAGCAGCCAAAATAAGGGACCTGCAGCCTCACCTGTTCCAGGCACTCCAGTCTTCCTGTCCTCCTGCAGTCTGGTCAAACTCATGCTGGTAGCTTCGAGAACACTGTCCAACCAACTTTGTAACCAGAGGTTCAACTGAATAGAATCTGAATCACATGCACCACAAGGCCTATGCAGCCTCAACTTAAGATGGCTCCCGGCCTGGCTTTGCACTGCAAAGTTTGCAGCAGCACGTGCAACAAAATGGCGTCCAGCATTCAAAAAACCCCTCAGCTTGCATTAACTAGCCACACACAAGGCATGCAAGCTCCACCCCCCAGTCGTTCTTAGACTTCTTATTGGGTGAGCAACACAGCCAAGCAACACAGTTGGAGCCTCCCTCCTCCCTGGCCAGCAGGGAGGGAGGGAGAGGTGCTGCTTCCTTTGAAATTTAAGGGACATCATTTAAGGGACATCCACCAATAAGGGACAGCAGCGGGACATGGCGCTGGAATAAGGGACTGTCCCTTCAAATAAGGGACACTTGACAGCTATGCTGGGGGGCAGGATGTCAGGGAAACAAACATGAACGAATCTTAACGGCTTTTTGGCAGAGCCTTCCTTGGCTGGAATCACCTCCGGCGTTTTGCCTCCCCATAACCTCTAGATTCATCACCGTCTCCTACGTGGGCGACATCTGAGACACAGGGACACCTTTCACCCAAGCAAGCAGAGAAAGCAGCTAACAGCAAAAAAATAGTCTGACGCTGTGAACTTTAGAAGAAAAAAGTAAATATCAGTTCTGTTGTTCTGCGGCAAGGGGGGGAAAAAAGACAGAGTAACGCTGGGTTTCGTAACATCCCAGAGCAGCAAAGTTCCCCGTTGGAGGCAACGAGTTGGAGACTTGTTTACATTGCGGAAAGAGTCCTCCCTTCCCTCTTTTGATGCACAGCAGGGACTGTGGGTAACAAAGCCCCTCGCTTTCGAAAGGCCAAATCTCTATTGCCCCCAGCCAGATTGGGGTCATGTTTATTCCTGCGCAAGACCAGCGGCACAGCCTTGTGCGTTGTACCCACGACTCAGGGACCGTACACATGCTTTCTGTGATGGAGGAAGTTTGCTGTTGTGCCCAGGTCCTTTTTCGGGCTTCCGATTGGCACAGTTGGCTGGCCTTTGACAGAACAGGATGCTGAACTCGGCCTTGGGGGAGCTCCTGTTGTTCAGTCCGAAGCCTTTCCCATGGTAGGGCGGTGAGAAGGACAATTCTGGGACTTACAGTCTGGCTCAGATAAAAGGCAGTTTTGCACCCGCTCATTCCAATACCACACGGCTGCACCGGCCCAATCATAAGGTAGAGTTAGCCTCAGGGGTGAGTTTCCTGGGGGGGCAGGAAGCAGCACTAAATCCCCAGAGGACTACCTGTCTTCTGCCCCCTTCAACCAGGAAAGAGTTGCCAGACAGATCAGTTCTTTTGCGTGAAATCAGGGAAGACACGAAACGGCACCTTGTCCCGTGGCTCAGCTTTGCGTACAAAAGCCCCCTGGCCTAGTCCTTTGCTTCCCTAGGCTGGGAGAGACTCCCTGTCTGAAACCCTGGAGAGCTGCTGCCAGCCAGTGTAGACAATACTGAGCCAGATGGAGCAACTGTGGCTCGCCAGAAGGCACCGTTCCTTTGAACCAGGTGGCAAAATGTCCTGGGCCAGCCCTGGAATCTGGCCCGGATGCCCTTCCTTGGCATGTAGAAAAGGGCCAACGATTGCTCAAAGTGGTACCCAAAACCACTTCCTTCATCATCTGCCGCTTCAGGGGTGACAGCTCCTCCGACTGCAGACAGCTACCTCCCTGACTTCATGAATCCAGGAGGACAGACGCTTCCTGGAAAGAACTTCCAAAATGTAGGGACAATTTGTTGGTGGTGCCTCCAACCGTTTTCTCTGCCAGCCACAGTGGGCCGGAAGAAACCTTGCGGCTGTGCGCATCCCCATCACAGAACCCAGGCAGGGACTTGGCATATCTGCAACCACCATCTTCGGTTTCAAGGACACTTGAGCTCTTCCTGATGAGCGGCGAACAAAATCCTGAACGTGGAGCATCTTCGGAGCGGCCCGACTCCGGACGGAAGAGCAGACACCTTCCCTACATCTCAGCAGCGTGGGCGGACGCCTTGACGTCGGCGCTACCTGATGTCGGTACGACCCAAGGGACTCTCAACGATGTCCCAGATGCCTTGGCTGTGCTCCTGACGCTCCACATCCTTCAGGGTACATACGGTACCCACATGCGGGGACGCTGCGGCACCCAATAACCTCCCTAAATCCGACGTCTGTCGGCTACTACGGCATCAGGAAATAGTCCGCGTTTGAAACATCGTAGGGGCTGTTCTCCGGGATGCTCGGGGTGTCAACAGAGCTTTCGCTGAAGGGCGAAGCCGGAGGGGAGAGAAGAGGAGATGAACTCAGAGGAGGCTCAGGAGTCATGAGGGTCAGGGAGTGTGGTGGGGCGGTGCTGGATTTCTCTTCTCCGCAAGGCGACGTCCCCCATTTTTTCCTATACCTGGAACAACCCAAAAAAAATATGGCAGGCTTTGAGATCACATTTCTACCATCACATCCATGGGAGGCTTGGACGGCTTTAAATGCATTTATACACCCTTAAAATATCAATGACTTCCCTTCTCTTTCCATGGTTCATTTCTGCATACAGTGGTGCCTCACAAGACGAAAATAATCCGTTCCGCGAGTCTCTTCGTCTAGCGGTTTTTTCGTCTTGCGAAGCAACCCTATTAGCGGCTTAGCGGATTAGTGCTATTAGCGGTTTAGCGGCTATTAAAGGCTTAGCGGCTTAGCGGCTATTAGCGGCTTAGCGGCTTAGAAAAGGGGGGGGGAGCGAAAAAAATCGCAAGACTCGCAAGACTTTTTCGTCTAGCGAAGCAAGCCCATAGGGAAATTCGTCTTGCGAAGCGCATCGAAAAACGGAAAACCCTTTTGTCTAGCGGGTTTTTCGTCTTGCGAGGCATTCGTCTTGCGGGGCACCACTGTATCATAAATCCCTGCATCTTTTACATAAACTATTCAGTATTTCAGTATTTCCATTACTACATCCCTCAAAACTCATTTATACTGATGAATTTATCTTAATGCTACCAATGTTTTCAGGTGTGCAAAATGCCCCCTCATATAGTCAATAAACGTTTTCCAATCTTCTTTAAACCTATGTTCTTCTTGTTCTCTTATTCTATATGTTAAGTCCGCAAGCTGAGCATATTCCTTCAGTTTAAGTTGCCATTCTTCTTTGGTTGGGACCTCGCTCGTTTTCCATTTGGGGGCTAAGAAAACACGGGCCGCAGTAGTGGCAGACATAAACAACCGTTTTTGACACCTGGGAATTTCAGTCTGAATTATCCCCAACAGAAAGGACATTGGTGTGGTTTTTTTTGGGGGGGGGAGTGATAATAGTAGTAGTAATAATAATAATAATAATAATAGTATTTATACCCCGCCCTCCCTGGCCAAGATCGGGCTCACATAGGCTACAAGATTAACCCCACTCAGTGGACCAGAATGTGGTCTAAACCCCACCCCCTTTAAATCTATATCAACGAAAAGGAAAGAACTCACTCTGAAACTCACCTACAGGTGGTACCTAACACCAAAGAAATTAGTGCAAATATGCCCAGGAACCTCACCAAAATGCTGGAGAGGGTACACCTCCACAGGCACATCCCTCCACATGTGGTGGGAGTGCCCCAAAATCCAACTATTCTGGACAACAGCCATACGAGAAATATGTAAAATAACTAAGCAAGTATTAGACACCACCCCAGAACTGGCCCTACTAGACATCTTCACTGCTCCCAGTAATCAACATCCCCCCTGCAACTCCCGAAAATTAGGTGGTCTTCCTTACCGGAGAATGACTCCAACGACCAAGATGCCAACAATTCCAGTCACGCTTACAGCCATGATGAGGAACAAGTACAGAGGCGCAGAGGCAGCATTTTCCACTAGAAGGGACAAACAATCAGGGAACACAGTTAGGTCAGGCCACCCTCTTCATTTCCCACAATGCCTCCAGCTTTGCACCTCTCTGGGGCAAAGGCAGGGACCCTCAGGTCCAGGGTCCAAATGCGGCCCTCCATCTGGCCCTTGGCCAGGTTGCCTAGCAGGGAATTCGGCCCTCAGTCCAAAAGAGCCTGCTGTGGGGCATTGTGGGGAATCAAAATGGAATCGAATTTGTGCCCCACCTTTTTCTCCAAGGAGTTCAAGGTGGCGTACGTGACTCTCCCCCTCTTCCTTCAATCCTCACAACAACCCTGTGAGGTAGGCTAAGCTGAGAGGCAGCGTCTGGCCCAAGGTCACCCACAAATAGGGAGCACGGCTATCGCCTGCCATCACCACTAGGGAAGCCTACCTGCCAAAGATCCTTGCTCCCGTCACTCCCAGTCTTTCGCCCGGGCGATGTCTCCGTATTTTTTGCAGCCCTTAGCATGTACAATTGCCAACAAAGGTCCGTATAGTTAAAGCTATGGTTTTCCCAGTAGTGATGTATGGAAGTGAGAGCTGGACCATAAAGAAGGCTGATCGCCGAAGAATTTATGCTTTTGAATTATGGTGCTGGAGGAGACTCTTGAGAGTCCCATGGACTGCAAGAAGATCAAACCTATCCATTTTGAAGGAAATCAGCCCTGAGTGCTCACTGGAAGGGCAGATCCTGAAGCTGAGGCTCCAAGACTTTGGCCACCTCAAGAGAAGAGAAGACTCCCTGGAAAAGACACTGATGTTGGGAAAGATGGAGGGCACAAGGAGAAGGGGACGACAGAGGACGAGATGGTGGGACTGTGTTCTCAAAGCTACCAGCATGGGTCTGACCAAACTGCGGGAGGCAGTGGAAGACAGAAGTGCCTGGCGTGCTCTGGTCCATGGGGTCACGAAGAGTTGGACACGACTAAATGACTAAACAACAACAACAGCATGTACAAAAAGCCACCTTTGTACAAGCGAGGCCACGAAAGGAGGCACACTTACCTGTCGGCTTACTCATGACGACAGGGAGCTCAGAAGTGCACTTGGGCTTAACGGTGCTGGCAAAAGGATCAACCTGCAAGAGAGAGCAAAAAAGGAAAGGGCTGTGAAATATATTTGGATTCGAGAGTGGATTTCATGCTCTTTATTCAGCTCATAGTGGTGAGGAGGAATGGAAGTTCCCCCAGAATGTCTGCTTTATATACATTTATTTACACAATGGGCCCCACGTGATTGGCTAATTCCAGGATTCTCCTGTAGGCCAATCAGGTTGCGGATTCACTTCCACCTGGAGCTGGATTGGGTGGCTCCTGTGGACCAATCAGATTGCTGCATTCTTGACCCTATTGTTCTAGGACCAATCAGACTGCTGCATTCTGAATCCTATTGTTCTAGGACCAATCAGACTGCTGCATTCTGAATCCTATTGTTCTGGGACCAATCAGACTGCTGCCTTTTGGATCCTATTCAACTCAGTACATAACAGGCTGAGTGCAGCCAACTCTGAATAGCTGCATCTCTCCATTTAGACAAGGAACCCTCAGTGGTCAAAAAGAGGAAGCAGGGTTTATTAGGGGCCAGCGTCTCGGAAACAGGGGCTGTAACTGCTGAGAGGGGCAGCTGGAGCCTATGAATTTTGCTAGCGGAGCTGTTTTGAATGCTTGTGGCGGGCTTGGATGGGTTTTTGACCTTTTAAAAATTCATTCTCTCAGAATATTTTAGTTGGTGTGGAGGCTACAGATTTCCTGAGTCATGTAATAAACAAAAATCTGCCCTTATTCCCTTATGGGGGACACAAGAGCCCTTATAGAGTCCTTTGTAGGTTCTCCATCGGTCGGAGAAAATAACAGAGGCCAACCAGAGAATATTGAGAAGCAAAGCAGCTAGTAAGCCTGATCTTTATTGATCTGTTGCAACAAGGTGCTCCCCTCACACGCAGGAAAGGAGGAGTACCCCGAACAAAGGCGTGCCTGCCCTTATATAGACATTTTAAATTGCCCGCCCTGGAGTCCAAGACCACCCCCAGAAACATCATACATACATCACAGAAAGGGCGGTCTACAACAAAAATCTGAGTGCGCTGTTTATCTCCTGTCTGGCAGATTACCTGTTAATGGTCACTTGATTGGATACCCTGGGGAGCCTGGCCAGATTTTTGTTTATTACAGTCAGAAGGGTGTCTTCATGAAGAGGATTGGGTTCTGGCTGCATTATTATTATTATTATTATTATTATTATTATTATTATTATTCACCACCTTCTAAAGCTCCGTCTCAAGGAGATTTGCACATAAGAAAATAAGAAAGAGTTAACAACACGAAAACAACCAAGATATTTAAAACAGTGCCAAAAATCTAACAAGCGGACACTTGTGGCCAAGACCCATTCATCCAACTGGGAAAGCCTGTTTAGAGCCAGTGGGGTGTTAGTGGAAGCAGGGTCAGAGTAGGACCTGGGAGAGGCCAGGGTTCAAATCCTGACTCTTGGCTATGAAGCTCACTGGGAGACCTTGGGTCAGTAGGCCCCCTTGAGCTCCTTTGAGGAAAAGGTGGGATATAGAATAAATAAAATAAATTGTAGCCCTAGGAATCATAGAATCATAGAGTTGGAAGAGACCACAAGGGCCATCGAGTCCAACCCCCTGCCAAGCAGGAAACACCATCAGAGCACTCCTGACATATGGTTGTCAAGCCTCTGCTTAAAGACCTCCAAAGAAGGAGACTCCACCACACTCCTTGGCAGCAAATTCCACTGTCGAACAGCTCTTACTGTCAGGAAGTTCTTCCTAATGTTTAGGTGGAATCTTCTTTCTTGTAGTTTGGATCCATTGCTCCGTGTCTGCTTCTCTGGAGCAGCAGAACACAACCTTTCTCCCTCCTCTATGTGACATCCTTTTATATATTTGAACATGGCTATCATATCACCCCTTAACCTCCTCTTCTCCAGGCTAAACATGCCCAGCTCCCTTAGCCGTTCCTCATAAGGGGAATAGGAGGGGAATAGTGTGGGGGTTTCCTAACAACTCTCTGCACCCCTAATGAACTACAGCTCCCAGAATTCTTTGGGTGGAAGCCATAACTGCTTCAAGTGGTGTGGTACTGCTACGGGGCCTAACTTTGGAAAATTGAGAAACCAAAATGAACAGATTATCCATTCTCCCCCCACCCCTGACCCCAATGACTGGGATTGGTGAGAGCTCCTGGTCCACCCACATCTGGAGGGCCACACCTGAACTTCAGTGACAGGTGGGTAGATTTGGGTTGAATTTTAGGGAAAACACATTGATGGTAAGTGGTTGATAAGTCCCCTCCCTCCAATGTTAGGATTTTATGAGCCGCTCCCATCAGACAGTGGAAGTGCAGGAACTCTTCACTTGTTTTTGAAACTACATCAGAGACTGGAGCGGGGTATATATGGACCGCTTGCAGGGAGGGTGTTCCAGCGCTCTGGAGCCACAACCCAAAAGGCCCTGCTTCTCGTGGGAATTACTTACCTCTGAGGGGACCAGCGTGGTTTCTGAGTCGCGGTCCTTGGTTTCTGAAATGGCAAGGAGAAAAAGAAGGGATTGAATAAAAAATATATCTGGGGGTGAGGCACAGAGAGAGAGAGAGATGCTTTGTTGGGCTGTGGACAAAAATCTATCTTGAAGCTAGACCCACAAGTCCATCTCCTCAGAGGCCAGGCATCAGTGACTCAGGCTTGTGTATGTGTTCTGCCCACCCCATATAAATATATAGTACCACTTTGCAGGTCCAAAATACATTTCCCTCAACTCCTCAGGAACTACAGCCAGCTTCCACACAACTGATATTAGGGGTCGGGTGGTTTTCGTGCCAAAAAGCAAAGCTGGGGACCCTGTGCGCCGCCCCCTAGATATCGTTGGACTCCAACTCCCACCAGAACAGCCTGCCAGAATGGCCAATGCTTCGGGGATGATGGGAACCAGAGTCCCAGCAATATCTGGAGGGCCGCAGGTTCCCCAGCCCTGTCCTAGATGCATGTCCCAACCAATCAGGGATTCACATGTTAAATGCACTTACAGAGGCGTCAAGCAGGGAAGGGGAGCCCGTGACCCTCCAAACAGACTCCAACTTCCATTAGACCATTGTTTCTTCTAGCTTAGTATTTTCTACACTGACCCGCAGTGGCTCTTTGGGGCTTTGGCATGCAAAGCTGATGTTCTGCAGCTGAGCTAGAGAACTGTTAGGAGGCCTAAAGGCTACAGCTGAGCCAGCTCTGACCTACCGTATTTTTCGTTCTATAGGACGCACATTTCCCCCTCCAAAAACTAAGGGGAAATGTGTGTGCGTCCTATAGAGCGAATGCAGGCTGCGCCGCTAAGCCCAAAGCCAGAACAGGAAGACGGAGCACTGCGGAGCGCTCCGTCTCGCTGTTCTGGCTTGGGAACAGCCTTGCTAGCTTCTGCAGGACAGCGGGGTGAAGGCACCCCGCTGCCCTGCAGAGGTTTGCGCGCAGCCCTCCCCAAGCTAGAGCAGCGAGACGGAGCCCTCCATCTCGCTGTTCTGGCTTGGGAACAGCCTTGCAAGCTTCTGCAGGACAGCAGGATGAAGGCACCCCGCTGCCCTGCAGAGGTTTGCGCGCAGCCGTCCCCAAGCTAGAGCAGCCGTCTAGCTTGGGGAGGGCTGCGCGCAAACCTCTGCAGCCCTCACCCCGCTGTCCTGCAGAAGCTAGCAAGGCTGTTCCCAAGCCAGAACAGCGAGACGGAGGGCTCCGTTTCACTGCTCTAGCTTGGGGACGGCTGCGCGCAAACCTGTGCAGGGCAGCGGGGCGCTGCGCTCCAAAGGCTTCAGGGATCTTTGAGGCTGGCGGTGGGGGAAAGCAGCGCTTCCCCCCACCGCCAGCCCCACAAGCTCTGGTGAATGTACCTTGAACGCACCTTGTTTTGGAGGGGGAGAATAAGAAAAAAAATCTTTTTCCCTGTTCTCCCCCTCCTATGATCCGGTGCGTCCTATGGTCCGGTGCGTCCAATGGAGCGAAAAATACGGTAGCTAACCCCTCATTCTGCTCCTTGGCAGGTTGCAAAATGGCGGCCCTTGTGGCATGCAACATCACAGAAAGCAGTCAAGTACAACATTTCCTGTTTGCCCAGAGTGGACACACAGGGGGATGTTACTCCAGCCAGGAGGACTTCCTGCCACACCTGTTTGGAGCATCTTTCCCCTGCGTGTGACCAGGTAGATGGGCATGATCCTGGGAGACCCTATAAAGGCCTAGTCATGCAGCCATCTTCCCTTCTCCTTCCGCCTTTCCGCCTCGTTCTGTCTTGATGTTTTTGCTGTCTGCTAGCTCTCAGCCAGCAGCACATGGGCTCAATCCCATATGGTTGGTGCCATTTTACCATTGTACTGTGGAGAGTGTATTAACTTATGGTCTCTGTGTGTGGCTTGGGAGCTGCTCAGGGAAAAAACAATGCTGTCCAGGGTTGGAAAGACTGCAGAGAGAATAATTGGGTGCACTCTTCCCACCTTGGATCAAATCTATGCTTCCAGGTGCCATAAGAAAGCTGCAGAGATAGCGCAGGATAGTATGCACCCCAGAAATATCTCTTTCAGCTTCTGCCTTCTGGAAGAAGGTACAGGGTTATAAAGACCGGGACTAGCCACTTGAGAAACAGTTTCTACCCAAATGCAATTCTGGTTCTAAATGCAGTATAAGGAGTCTCTATAGTATATTGTGGGGACACGGGTTGCGCTGTGCGTTAAACCACAGAGCCTAAGACTTGCCAATCAGAAGGTTGGCGGTTCGAATCCCCACGACGGGGTGAGCTCCTGTTGCTCAGTCCCTGCTCCTGCCCACTTAGCAGTTCAAAAGCACGCCAGTGCAAGTAGATAAATAGGTACCACTCTGGCGGGAAGGTAAACAGCGTTTCCGTGCGCTGCTCTGGTTCACCAGAAGCGGCTTAGTCATGCTGGCCACATGACCCGGAAGCTGTACGCTGGCTCCCTCGGCCAGTAAAGCGAGATGAGCGCCGCAACCCCAGTCGGCCACAACTGGACCTAATGGTCAGGGGTCCTTTTACCTTTATAGTATATTGTATTTTAAAATGGGGTTTCAGAGTTTTTAGGGGTTTTTGAATGTCTTATGTAGATTTTTCAATTTCATTGTTCTGTATGGGACAATGACAATAAAGATATCGTATCGTATCGGGATGAACCCACAGTCTCTTCTGCAACTACAAGCTAAAGCCTGCCTTCAGGATCATACTGTGAACTGAATGTAAGTAAACTCCCTGTTTTTCTTAATAGAAGACTGTTGCGTCTTTATCCTTTTAAGAGGGAACAAAGGGGATTTACCAGGAACAAATCCAATTTGGACAAGCCAGACTGGATTGCTTAACTCAAGAGATTCAAATGAATCTACCAACTAGTTTCCTGCAATATACAGGGGAGTATACTCTGCTACCAGCTCACTAGTGTGAGTGAGAAAAAACAAATACTTAATCAATACAGTGGTATCTCTGGTTGCGAACAGGATCTGTTCCGAAGGCCTGTTCGCAACCTGAAAAGAACGCAACCTGCGTCTGCGCACGTGCGGGTGGCGATTTGCCGCTTCTGCGCATGGCGTCGTTTTGCGCGTCTGCGCATGTGCGAGTGGTGAAACCCAGAAGTAACCCTTTCCTGTACTTCCGGGTCACTGCGGGACGCAACCTGAAAACGCGCAACCTGAAGCAAACGTAACATGAGGTATGACTGTATATCCTCTCCTACTATCCACAACATTCCATATAAGGAAGGGCACGGGAGGGGCAACGGAAAGGGCACTGCCAACCTGTCCAGGGCACTCCAAAGCTCTCCCGGCTCCATTCGCTCCAGATCCCTTGGTTGAATTCTTCCCGGGCCCGTACCTGGATGACATGGCGGACACCTGGCATCACGTCAGAGATGGTGTAGGAAGTGTATTCATCCTGAAGGTGAATCTGTAGCCGAGAGAAAGGGAAAGGGGCGCAGCTCAGTGGCCTGGCATGCAAAAAGTGCCAGGTTTAATCTGTGGCAGCACCGCCAGGTGAGTCTGGGAGGGACATCTTTCCTGAAACCCTGGAGAGCTGCTGCCAGTCCGTGTAGGCAATGCTGAGCTAGGTGGACCCAGAGTCTGATTTGGTATCAGGCAGCTTCCTGCGAAAGCCAGATCTTCAATATGGGACCATGAGGACTGGAAACTTGGTATGTAGGGGAAGGAACAGAGCTCAGTTGTACAGCAGATGTGCTGCATGCAACAGGCCCAAGTATCTCGAGGGAGAGCGGCAGATGGCTCTTCAAACCCTGGGGATTTGCCACTGCAAATTAGCACAGCCTAGTGGAGAACCTGCGGCCTTCCAGTTGCCACAACTCCCATCATCTCTAACCAGTGGCCTGGTTGGCTGGGGCTGATGGGAGTTGTAGTCTGACAGCATCTGAAGGGTCACAGGCTCCCCAGCATCGCTCCATTAAAGTGCATTAAATATGTGGTCCCTGATTGGTTGGGATATGTGTCCAGGACAGCGATGGGGAGCCTGCGACCCTCCAGATGTCGCTGGACTACAAATCCAATCACCCTGATCATTGGCCACGCTGGCTGGGGATGATGGGAACTGTAGTCCCAACAACGCCCAGAGGACCACAGGTTTCCCCGCCTCTGGTCTAGTGAAAGATGCAGCCAAGAGGCACACAGGAAATAAGGTGGGGACGCCCATTATTTCCGCGTCCCGAAATCGAGCATTGCAACTTGTACAGGTTCAGGGAATGCCTGCCCTCTCCTCACCCCAAAATCAAAAGTAAGGGCAGACCTTGTTGTACGCTGTTGAGGCTTCCACCCGGTAGCGGATCTCGAACTGCAGGCGGAAAAAGGAGGAACCCCAAGAGGGGGGTTTGCGCCAGGTCACAAACAGTTTGCGGGGGTGCAGCTCCACGTTCCTCACCTCCACATCGACTGGTGGGTCTGGCTTCACTGTGGGGGGGGGGGGCGGGGAGATCAGCCAGAAAGGTTTAAAAAAACTGATACTACCCTTGCTGGTACCTTTCCCAGGAAAATCAGAGGCTCACTATGTCAGGTTCCTATTGGAAGACCGGACAAATGCTAGAACATTAGCAGTAGCAAAGTTTTTATCGGTCGTTGCAAGAACAAATAATCCCTATATTCTGAACAAAATGCTTGTTTAACCAGGAGGTAAGCTGTATGAATTGTATATTGCTTTGTAATGATTTGTTGGGTCTCTGGACCGTAATAAAGATTGATGATGATAATCAGGTTTAAAAAAGGAGAAAGGAAAGTCTCTCTCTCTCCTGTTTTCTTCAACATGTCATCGATGCAATAATGGAGCATTTGTGCTGGATTCATGCTGGACCGGAGTATCAAATGAGAACCAAACTCCCTTTCCCACAGACAACACATTCACAATTAGAAAAACGAGACTTGGTTCATTCACATCTTGACTACTGCAGTATAGCTTTCTCTCTTTGATTTCATTTCCTATTCCTTCTGTGGTACCTAACATAACTGGTGTATGTGCACAGACATGCATATATATTTTTAAACTAAATGGCCAATGGTATTTTTCGATCAACATCATATGGAGATGGGGTGGTAAAAACAAACTGGTCTGTGAAAATGCCCCATTCCTCCATGGCATGCTCCTCTAACTTTTATCTTTATATTCCAGTAAGTTATTTTGCTCTCATTGTTGAAAAACAAAAACCTTGAAACCTGATTTGACTGGATAATTTCAATGTTTTTCTTTTATCGTTGTACAAACAAGGACGATTTTATAACTTTTTTTGTACGTAGCTGTTACATGCAGAGCAATCTGTCTTTAAGTAGGGGTAAATTACTCTAAACAAAAATTTGATCTTGGATAGTTTTCCCTTCAAGTAAAGCGTCTTGTTGTTTAAATAAACTTCTCGTTTAAAATAAAAACAAAACCTTTCCCGAATCTCCCAACCTTCAGCTTCATTAAAAAGGTAAAGGGACCCCTGACCGTTAGGTCCGGTCACGGGCGACTCTGGGATTGCGGCGCTCATCTTGCTTTATTGGCCGATGGAGCCGGTGTACAGCTTCCGGGTCATGTGGCCAGCATGACTAAGCTGCTTCTGGCGAACCAGAGCAGCGCATGGAAATACCATTTACCTTCCCACCAGAGTGGTACCTATTTATCTACTTGCACTTGACGTGCTTTCGAACTGCTAGGTTGGCAGGAGCAGGGACTGAGCAATGGCAGCTCACCCCGTTGCGGGGATTTGAACTGCCAGCCTTCTGATCGGCAAGCCCTAGGCTCTGTGGTTTAACCCACAGCACCACCCGCATCCCCCAGCTTCATTAGATGCTCACAAATTCAGATGTTATGAGAGAGTGAGAAAAACCTCTCTCTGTCGACCATGCCGGGAAGGAAGATGATAAGAGTTCACGGTCGCTTCCCAGCCGTGTTAAACCATTCACGGCACATGAGGGGAATGACCAGAGGCTCGGGAAGGATTCCGAGGGCCAAATGGAGAGATCTGGGGGGCCGCAGACTGATGCTCCCCCAGTCCTGATTCTACACTTTGTAGAATTATGAATGTGGAGTTGGAAAGCACCAATTTTTGCCCCATGTGGGGCTCTAAAGCACAGCCCTGAAATTAAGAGTCTCATGCGTCCAGGAATATTTGAGAGAATTTGCAAGCAGCAAAAATCTGCAGGGAGGAGAGTCGGGCACAGGTAGATTCACTCTAGCTCCAGCACAACATCATAGCTGTCAACCGTCCCTTATTTGGCGGGAAAGTCCCTTATCCCAGTGCCATGTCCCGCTGCTGTCTCTTATTGATGATGTCCCTTAAATTTCCCAGGTTTCAAAGGAAGCAGCTCCTCTCCCTCCCTCCCTGCTGGCCAGGGAGGAGGGAGGGTCCAACTGTGTTGCTTGGCTGTGTTGCTCACCCAATAAGGAGTCTAAGAACGACTGGGGGGTGGAGCTTGCATGCCTTGTGCCCATCAAATCAGCCTCATTGCCTGGAGACTCCCCTTTGCTCAGCGCTTCCCAGCGGAGAGGTGACGGTGGTTTTCCTTGCTGCATCCCCTTTGCCAGGTTGCTGCGCTGTGGGAACCACCGCTTGAGGCTTTGTTTGGCTGCTGGCTGACTAAAATCCCTTATTTTGGCTGCTGATCCCTTATTTTCAAGGCTGCTGGCCCCTTATTTTCAAATCTGTAAGTTGACAGCTATGCACAACATGCGCCCTAGCACATGGCGTACCGGCCCCGATTCAGAGTAAAGGTGCTGCTACTCACACAGATTTTCGGTGCTGATGAAACTGTGGCTACTCAGGGCTCCAGCCAGGTTGAAGATGCAGACGGACACCTTCAGGATGTGCACGTCGTCAGCGATTCCTTCTATGCGGCAAGAGAACTTCTGGGACTTGGTGTAATAGCGGCAGGGCTGCTCGACGCGGTTCACCCCGACGAAACTAGGGGACACGGGGGGAAAGTGTGATAGGAATTTTGAGGTCTTCGATATATGGTAATGTTCATAACTGCACGTACATAGATCAGCACAGGAAGGCCAACCTGAAGCCATTTTGATTCCTAAACTGAGCAAATGTTTTCTATGCATGGTCAAAGTGGAAAAGCCTCCCCATTGTCTTTTCCTTCACAAATCCTGTCTTAAGGGTATGTCTGTGTTTGAATAGGGTGTGAGCCTGTGACCTGGCCCAGGAACTAAGTATTTATCACTACAAAAGAATGGCCGGGCTCCCCAGGCAATCCAATCAAGTAACCTGCCAGACAGGAGATAAACAAGGACAGGAGAAAAACAACATTCAAATTTCTGTTTTAGACCGCCTTTTCTGTGATGTAGGTGTGATGTATCTGAGGTGTGGTCTTGGGATGTCTGTATGATGTTTCTGGGGGTGGTCTTGATCTACAGGATGGGAATTTCAAAAGTCTTTATAAGGCCTTGCATGCCATTTTTCTGGGTCCCTCCTCTCTCCTGCGGGTGAGGGGAGCACCCTGTTGCAACAGATCAATAAAGATCAAGCTTACTACCTGCTTTACTTCTCAATATTCTCTGGTTGGCCACTTTTATTCTCTCCTACCAATAGGGAACCCATGTAAGGACTCTATATGGGCTCTTGGATATCCCATAAGGGAAAAGGGCAATTTTTATTTACAACCAAAGAACACGGAATGCTCAGCCGGAGGAAGGGAAGACACTGGATCTCGCCGCGATTGAGCACAGCCAGCATGGAAATGCCATGTCTCGCCAGCTACAGCGCATGACAGCGGCCGATGAGCAGACCCTGCCTTGAAATTAATGGGCGCAGCTGACGGAAGGCCGGTTGATTTCAACGGATCTTCTCTGCGGGTGATCAAGGGTGGTACGCACTGTGCATTTAAAGCACATGTGCGTGTGTTTTCTATTCATCTTGCACTTAACAGCAGACCCACCTAATCTGCACTTCCCAAAACAATGTGCAAATTGAAACACAGCCATGCTTTTGAAACTTGCACTTCTCCAAATTTTGCAACGGGAACAAAAAGCACACGCATATACTGTACTTCAATAAGGCATGGGTAAAAAAATGCACACACTGGCGAAATCGCCATGCATAATTGTACCTTTGTTCCTTTGTGCGCTCAAAAATAAAATAAAATGTGCCTATTAAGGAAAATTACATACTGTGTAATTTCACTACAGTGGTGCCCCGCAAGACGAATGCCTCGCAAGACGGAAAACCCGCTAGACGAAAGGGTTTTCCGTTTTGGAGGTGCTTCGCAAAACGAATTTCCTATGTGCTTGCTTTGCAAGACGAAAATGTCTTGCGAGTTCCTGCGGGGTTTTTTCCCTCCCCCCCCCTTTTTCCCAAGCCGCTAAACCGCTTATCAGCTGATCGGCTAAGCCGCTTAACAGCTGATCGCTAAGCCGCTTATCAGCTGATCCACTAAGCCCGCTAAGCCGCTAATACTGTAGCGCTAATCCGCTAAACCGCAAATGGACTTGCTTCGCAAGACGAAAAAACCCGCAAGACGAAGAGACTCGCGGAACGGATTCTTTTCGTCTTGCGAGGCACCACTGTATACCGTACCTATTAATCGCCTTCTAAGCTACCGTCTCAAGGCGATTCACACATCAGATAAATTAAAAATAGTTAAAAGCACAAAACAACAGATGCATTTCAAACAAGACGGAAACCCTAATAAACGGCCCTTGTGATTCAAGACCCATTGATCTAGCAGGGAAAGCCTAACAGAACAAAGATGTTCTGACTCTCCTTCCCTGAAGATTCACAGCGATCAATAGCTCAGTCAGTCAGCATGAGACTTTTAATTTCAGGGTTGTGAGTTCAAGCTCCACATTGGTTGAAATTCCTGCATTGCAGAGGGTTGGACAAGATGGTCCTTGTGGTCTCATCCAAATTGTTATAAGAATGCTAAGGTTTCAAATATAAATTAAATGTTCATAAATGTGCAATGCAAACACATACACAAGTACATAAACCATGTGTCTGAAATAGTATAGGAGAGTAATCCTGAAGCCATTTTTACTCTACCAATGACCTCAAATGCAGTAAGGAAGGCAAATGGGGAAAGCCTTCCCAATGCCTTTATGCTTGCAAATCCTGTCTTAAGGACACATTTGTATATGAATAGGGTGAGCCTGTGACCTGGATTCAGGAACTAAAGAATTAACCATCACAAAAGAATGGCCAGGCTACCCAGGTAATGCAATAAGTGACCATTATCAGGTATCCTGGCAGACAGGATTTCTGCTGTAGACCACCTCCTTCTGTGATGGATGGATGGATGGATGATGTTTTTTGGGGGGTGGTCTTGGGCTACAGGGTGGGCAATTTCAAAAGTCTATATAAGAGCTTGCGCACCGTTGTTCAGGGTTCTCCTCCCTCCTGCGTGTGGTGAGTGGGGACCCTGTTGCAACTGTTCTTTGAATAAAGATCAGGCTTACTAGCCGCTTTGCTTCTCAGTATACTCTGGTCAGCCTCTGTTATTTTCTCCTACCGATAGGGAACCCATTTAAGGACTCTATAAGGGCTCTTGGATACTCCATAAGGGAAAAGGAGCAATTTTTTCTTATAACAAATTCTATGATTCTGTCTTCTAGGTGATAGATAAGGGTGATCACACAGGGTCCCCGGACATTTCACCGTCTATTGATCCCTGTGCCACCACTTTATTTCTCGCTGCCACCACCTAGGCCCTACCTGGTACAATACTGAGTCCAGTCAGGGTTAGAATGGAACATAAACTTCTGTTTGTTTATTTATTGCAGTTTAACAAGCGTGTGGTTTCATAAACGGTATCGGTCAGTTACAATCATGGGGTGCCTATCCAGACCTATAACTTCCGCTACCTGCTCTCACTCACTAAACCACCTCTCAGATATTTGCTTGTCTTCCTAGCCCCTAACTGTTCCTGACTCAGCTTATTTGGATTTGATATCCCGCTTTATCACTACCTGAAGGAGTCTCAAAGCAGCTAACAATCTCCTTTCCCTTCCTCCCCCACAACAAACACTCTGTGAGGTGAGTGGGGCTGAGAGACTTCAGAGAATTACACCATTACACCAAACTTAAACTTATTACACCGAGCTTATTTCACTACACCAGCTCAATCTACCCACAGACTCTATCCCAATTCACTCCTACTCCAACCAACCACCCAACTCCCAACTGAACTCTCCCCTTTGCCCACCCCAGAGCTGGTTTTATAGTCCCTCTGACTCCACCCCCCTGGGTTCTGATTGGGTAACCTGTTTAACTATTTCACCTCCAGCACTCTCATCTGTTAACGTCACACAGTCTCTCAGGTGATATCTAGTAGGGTAAATTAGCATTGGAATACGGAAGAATTCCCATCAGGATTTACTTTATCAGCGCAAACCGATGTGGAAATATAGAAAAGCGAACTCAAGATTGGGGTGGGGGTGGGAATGACAGGGTTGCCCATTGCTAATGGGAGGAAAGCTATGACAAACCTAGACAGCATCTTAAAAAGCAGAGACATCACCTTGCCAACAAAGGTCCGTATAGTAAAAGCTATGGTTTTCCCAGTAGTGATGTATGGAAGTGAGAGCTGGACCATAAAGAAGGCTGATCGCCGAAGAATGGATGCTTTTGAATTATGGTGCTGGAGGAGACTCTTGAGAGTCCCATGGACTGCAAGAAGATCAAACCTATCCATTCTGAAGGAAATCAGCCCTGAGTGCTCACTGGAAGGACAGATCCTGAAGCTGACGCTCCAATACTTTGGCCACCTCATGAGAAAGAAGACTCCCTGGAAAAGACCCTGATGTTGGGAAAGATGGAGGGCACAAGGAGAAGGGGACGACAGAGGATGAGATGGTGGGACAGTGTTCTCGAAGCTACCAGCATGAGTTTGACCAAACTGGGGGAGGCAGTGGAAGGCAGGAATGCCTGGCATGCTCTGGTCCAGGGGGTCACGAAGAGTCGGACACGATTAACGACTAAACAACAACAACCCAACAACCCCGACATCCCTCATATCATATCCGCTCCCACGGTTTAAATGTTGCCCCAGCCTCCACTCACTTTTTCTGAACCCACATCCTGGCTTTGGTGTGGCTGGACATCCCACGAGGCGTCTTCCACTCGCAGAAAATGTCCTTGGCTAAGCTCTTTCGGAAGCAGGTGAAGTTTGGCGCCTCTGGCGGTTCTGAAAAGGGGGAAGAGACTGTTTACGTGGGGGCAGGATACGCAGCCTTCCGCATATTCTCAGGATCTCTGGTACTGGCTAGTTAGTTCAGTTTAACAAAGTTCACCGGATTCCCTCTGCATATGCAAATGTCTGGCTTGTTTCGTTCCACATTTCACTTGCATGCGCTACCTTCTCAAAGCTAAAACCATGTGCAAGGCTGCTTACCCTACGGGATTTATTTATTTTTTTACAAAATTACAAAAGCATTCCTAAAGAATAAACCAACCATCAAAAAGTGCGCAACCCAACAATTTGCACATGAATCACAGTAAGATCCAAGATAAAGATATGGAATAAAGTGTATCAATAAAAGGAAAAAACAACGGTCAACAATGTTTTCCCTCAGGAGGCAGCAGACTCTCCTTCATCAGAGATTTTTTAAGCAGAGGTTGGGCGGCCACCTGTTATGGATGCTTTAGTCGCATGGGGTGGGTCTAGATGACCCTCAAGGTCCCTTCCCTTCTACAATTTTAATGATTCTATAATACCCCAGCCCAAGAGTCTGTTCAGCAGCCTCAGCTTCTGTAGCTGGAGGCAGCCAGGGTCCCAATTTGTCTCTATAGAAGCTTTATTCTCTATAATGATGGAACTGACAGGTAGAGAACACTTTTATTTTTAATAATAATAATAATAATAATAATAATAATAATAATATCCTGCCCATCCAACTGGGTTGCCCCAGCCACTCTGGACAGCTTCCAACAAATATAAAAGCACAATACATGTTTGTTTGTTTGTTTGTTTGTTTGTTTATATATAATATAATATATATTTATTATATGGAAATGGAATCTTTGGATTTTATTTATTTATTTATTTAAAGCTTTTATTTATACATTTTCAAATTTATACATTTCATTCATTTTACAATCATTTTAACATTACAATGTTTGACTTTGACCTTCCCCCTCTTTCTGCAGTTCTTTAAATTAATTTTTTTACTATCTTCTGCATATCCAAATTCATTTAATTTGCTCGTTTCATTATCTACTTTAAATATAAACTCTTATGAAACTGCAGGTTATTCCAATAATCCTCCCAATGTTTCTGTCTGTTTGCAATTTATCTGTAAATTACACACACACACACACACTTTCTTATCCCTTTGGAGCTATGCTGTACCTTTGTAATTCTCTTTCCAGGCTGTGGCGTTTTACGGTTTAAATGTCTGGTTCTTATTTTATTTCTCTTTGTTATGTTGCACTGTTTATCATTATCATTATTATTAGTTAACAAATCGTATATCCCCTAAAACATCCGAGCCACACCAGGAAGCATTTCCCACCCTTCCCAGGTGAACAGAACAGAACAGAACCCGAATAAAAAGTGATTATACCATTGCCCGAGGAGGGTGCAATGGGAGACGGAGGAGGGGGCGTGTCCTGGGGAGAGGGGACATGGCCACGAGGAATCCCGAGGGCCAGGTGGAGAGGCCTGGGGGGCCACATTGGGCCTGAGATCCCCCTGCCCTGGCTCAGGCCCTGGGAAATCAATTCCAAGGAAGAGGGAGGGCAGTAAATGACCCAACCGGGCGACAACAAAACCCAGTCAGAGGTGCAGCTGAGCAGAAAGGGCCCTAACGCTCTCGAAGCGTCTCCCTCACCTTCTACCATCAGGCGCAGGGAGCAAAGGAGGCGGCGGCTGTCGGTGTAGCAAGCGTAGCGGCCGGAGTCACTGAAATATACCGACGGCAGGAAGAGGCTGGGTCCGGGGATCACCTGCCTGCCGGTGGATGCACTCAGGTTCCTTCCGTTGAACATCCAGTGCACCTGCGTGATGTTCTCTAGCTCCCCCTCCAGGCAGGGCAGGGTAACGTTCATCCCTGGCTGAACCAGAATCGTATTGGGAGACACATCTGGGGGCGGAAATAATGAGGAAAGAAGAGAGAAAAATGGTCGTCAGGTTATTTCCCCAGAGATGTTTATCCTCTCTTCCCTGAGATGAACCAAATAGAATAATACCTCGGGTTACATACGCTTCAGGTTGCGCGTTTTCGGGTTATGGGCCGCCGAAACCCGGAAGTACTGGAACAGCTTACTTCCGGGTTTCGGTGGTCGCACATGTGCAGAAGCGCTAAATCGCACTTTGCGCATGTGCAGAAGTGCCGAATCACAAGCCGCACATGCGCAGATGCGCCGCTGCGGGTTGCGAATGCTGCAGGTTGCGAATGTGCATCCCACACGAATCACATTCTTAACCCAAGCGTCCACTGTATACAGAAATCATAGAATCATAGGGCTAGAAGGGACCCTGAGGATGGTCTAGTTCATGAATATGCAGCCGTCCCACAGGGATGGAGAACCGGGCGCATCGAAAGAAGAATGGCAGACGAAATTAATGGACTATGCAGAATTGGGCAAAATGACAGGAAGGCTTCAAAACCTGCTGGACCAGAGATTTACAGAAGATTAGAAGAAGTATATGAATTACTTGAAGAGCAACTGTAGTCAACAAATTACGCTAGTAGGACTACAAGAAGTTTTGTAAGGAGGAATATACAAAGTGTTACAAAGTAGAAAAAGATAGAGATGTTGGTTATGAGTTTGAAATGTCATAGGGAAAAAAAGAAATGCATACTAAGAGATTAGACTGGAAAATTTTCAGACAGGACTGATGGAAGTCCAAAAATTGAATAAGATGTAAAAGTATGTTTCATTACTGTTGAAAACGGTATGTTAAAAAACTAATAAAAATTTATATTTAAAAAAAAACCGAGTGGGGAAAGTGTTGTTGCGCTCATTTCCTGTTTACATCTGTAGGCATCAGGTTAGCCACCGTGAGAACAGGACGCGGGCCTCGGATGGGCTGCTGGCCTGATCCTGCAAGCTCTTCTTCCTATTTCTAAGCTGGAGAAAGGAGCACAGCTAGCAGGCAGCTGCCATCATGAAGCAGAAGCTGTCCCAGGAGGATATGCTGCAACATTTTGTTGCAAACCCCACTTTCCCACACAGTTACATAAACAGGCCAGGCAGATTCATTCATTCTGGCTGGTTGGGCACCTGTTTGTGTGTCGGGGAAGGGGGGCGCAGTCACCTCCGCACTGCTTTGCCCACCCAGTAAATATTGACAAAAGCTACCTTCACCTTTCCAGGAGTGGTTTCCTAGCAACAGGAAAGGACACGCTGTGCAGGGAAACGCACCCCCCACCTTGCTCTATGGGGCCCCTCCAGTGGCGAAATCCACCACTTAGCATGAGTGGTACCCAGGTTACATCAGAGGACCTCATCCACAGCATACAGTCCAAGCACATTTCATGCACATAGCTTCCCCAAAGGGATTTTGGGAAATGTCGTTTACTCTGCATATACTCCGTATAGTTACTGGTTTTCCCAGTAGTGATGGATGGAAGTGAGAGCTGGACCATAAAGAAGGCTGATCGCCGAAGAATTGATGCTTTTGAATTCTGGTGCTGGAGGAGACTCTTGAGAGTCCCATGGACTGCAAGAAGATCAAACCTATCCATTCTGAAGGAAATCAGCCCTGAGTGCTCACTGGAAGGACAGATCGTGAAGCTGAGGCTCCGATACTTTGGCCACCTCATGAGAAGAGAAGACTCCCTGGAAAAGACCCTGGAAAGATGGAGGGCACAAGGAGAAGGGGAGGACAGAGGACGAGATGGTTGGACAGTGTTCTCGAAGCTACCAGCATGAGTTTGACCAAACTGGGGGAGGTAGTGGAAGACAGCAGTGCCTGGCGTGCTCTGGTCCATGGGGTCACGAAGAGTCGGACACGACTAAACAACAACAAAGTTTACTCTGCACAGAGCTACACTTCCCACCCCAATAACAAACAACAGACTATCACTGGAAGAATTTCAGCAGCTGCCAATCAGCTATCAAAGTAAGTTCTACAGTAGGTGCCAGTCTTGGCGGATAAAGCCCTATGAAGCTTGGAACAAGGATATCTGAAATATTGTCTCATGTTGTTGTTGTTGCCATATGTGACTGAATCACTGAAGGCAGTTATATGAGAGAAAGAGCAGCCAGGATTAATCATCATCATCATCATCATCATCATAATTTATTATTTGTACCCCGCCCATCTGGCTGGGTTTCCCCAGCCACTCTGCGCAGCTTCCAACAAAGATTAAAAATACATTAAAATGTCACACATTAAAAACTTCCCTGATCAGGGCTGCCTTCAGATGTCTTCTAAATGTCAGGTAGTTGTTTATCTCTTTGACATCTGATGGGAGGGCGTTCCACAGGGCAGGCACCACCACCGAGAAGGCCCTCTGCCTGGTTCCCTGTAGCTTTGCTTCTCACAGTGAGGGAACCGCCAGAAGGCCTTCAGCGTTGGACCTCAGCATCTGGGCAGAACGATGGGGGTGGAGACACTCCTTCAGGTATACAGGGCCGAGGCCGTTTAGGGCTTTAAAGGTCAACACCAACACTTTGAATTGTGCTCAGAAACGGATTAGCCACACGGGTGATCCCAGGAAATCAGGGATCACGCAATGATGTCACCCTGCTATGTGGCCCACCTGCTTTGATGATGATCATCTCAGGGCAGGTTACAACAATTAAAATGCAACACCAAAAAACAGTTGAAAACAACTTAAAACGACAGAAGTAGCATGGATCCTAAAAAGTACATCTCAAATATTAAAGGCCGGACAAAGGTTTTTTATTTTCAGCATTTGTCAAAAGCTGTGCAACGGGAAGCACACCAGGCACGTCTGTCTAGGGAGGGAGTTCCACAACTGCAGCAGAGAAGGCATGCTCTAGTTATCTCTCGCTTAGACTACTGCAATCCGCTCTATGTGGGGCTACCTTTGAAGGTGACCTGGAAACTACAACTAATCCAGAATGTGGCAGTTAGACTGGTGACTGGGAGCGGCCACCAAGACCACATAACACCGGTCTTGAAAGACCCACCTTGGCTCCCAGTACGTTTCCGAGCACAATTCAAAGTGTTGGTGCTGACCTTTAAAGCCCTAAACGGCCTCGGTCCAGTATACCTGAAGGAGCATCTCCACCCCCATCGTTCTGCCCAGACACTGAGGTCCAGCGCCGAGGGCCTTCTGGCGGTTCCCTCGCTGCGAGAAGCGAAGTTACAGGGAACCAGACAGAGGGCCTTCTAGGTGGTGGCACTCACCCTGTGGAACGCCCCCCCACCAGATCTCAAAGAGAAAAACTACCAGACCTTTAGAAGACATCTGAAGGCAGCCCTGTTTAGGGAAGCTTTTAATGTTTAATAGGTTATTGTATTTTAATATTCTTTTGGAAGCCGCCCAGAGTGGCTGGAGAAACCCAGCCAGATGGACGGGGTATAAATATTATTATTATATTATTATTATTACTGGGCTGCTGCCACTACCCAAGCTTCTGAGAATGGAGGAACTAACAACAGCCCCCTACCATTTTAGCACCGGAGAAGGTCTGTAGGGAAGGAGGACAACCAATTAATAAGCTCTGTCGAAGAGGGCCTCTTTATCAGGGCCATCTCATCAGGAGGTACTTTCCACCTACAACACAGAAGTCGGGGCTTTAGCATGGCAGCACCCCCCCTTTGGAAAACCTCCCATCACATATCAGACAAGCGCCATCTCCATCGTCTTTTGCCAACTACGGCAGAATCTCCTCTTTTAATGAGCTTCTCAATCGGAGATATTTATCCCAGTCTTCAACTGCAATGCACCGGTTTTTGGAACTAGTTACAGGTAGGTAGCCGTGTTGGTCTGCCGTAGTTGAAACAAAATTTAAAAAATCCGTCCAGTAGCACTTTAGAGACCGTCTAAGTTTGTTATTGGTATGAGCTTTCGATAACAAACTTAGTTGGTCTCTAAGGTGCTACTGGAAGGAATTTTTTTTATTTCATTTTTGGAAACTGTTATTCTATATGTCCAAGTGTTATAAAGTGCCTCTATTTTATCTATCTATCTATCTATCTATCTATCTATCTATCTATCTATCTTACCAAACAATGATTCCCCAAAAAGGTCCATAGATGATAGATAGATAGATAGATGATAGATAGATAGATGATAGATAGATAGATAGATAATCAATTGATCAATCAATCAACCAATCATCTATGGACCGTTTTGGAGAATCATTGTTTGGTAAGCAGAACCAGTCCTTCATCTTCCTTTTTGAAGCCATCCAAGTTGGTGGCCGTCCCAGCCTCCTTGTGGGAGTGAGTTCCACAGTTTAACAATGTATTGCACTTCCATTTGTCCTGAGCCTTCCAACATTCAATTGCCGCTCTGTGAAGGGAATGGAAGGAGCCTAACAACTCCCTGAACCAAATGACAGCTCTCAGGATTCTTCGGGGACGGCCGGGTGGTGGTGGTGGAGAACCATGCCTGCTTAAAGCGGTATGATACTGCTTTAAATGTATTGTGCGGACAGGCCTCTCCTCTCTGTCGGAGGCCTGCGGGTTCCTTGCCCTTTCTTGCAGTCTCTCCTCCCATTGCTCTTGAGCCGAATTAATCTGCTTTTGGGAACCCGGCTGAGCTGTCGGGGGGGGGGGGAGTGATTAGCATCTTGGGGAAAAGGTCATGGGGGGGTGTATCTATCGCTGAGCGGGCAACACGGCCCGCACCCCCTCTGCCTTTCCCTGCTGCGTTGCCGAAACCCAGGACACAACGAAATGTCAACAGCCCAAAGCAAACAGTCCGTTCACCTCCCTGGGCTGGCCTCTTGGCCCTTCCTGGTCCTCTGCCAAGAACAGTTGGTACTCGGCCACGGAAAGATCACGGCACTTTGCTAATCCGGGAGCTTTCATCTCATCGCATGGATTTGGGGAGGAGGGACACAGTGCCCACAACCAGGCTTAGGCCCAGACTATCTGAAAGACCGTATCCTCTCATACAGATCTGCCAGGGCTCTGAGATCTTCAGGAAAGGCCCTTCTCTCAGTTCCATCAGCCACACAGTCCCGAATGGTGGGGACGTAGGACAGGGCCTTCTCAGTGGCTGCCCCCAAACCGTGGAACTCAGTTTTCCTCGGGAAGCTAGACTGGCTCCCTCCTTGCTGTCTGCCTGCCAGCAAGCAAATGCTGTTTTATTCCACTAAAGGTAAAGGTAAAGGGACCCCTGACCATTAGGTCCAGTCGTGGCCGACTCTGGGGTTGCGGCGCTCATCTTGCTTTACTGGCCGAGGGAACCGGCGTACAGCTTCTGGGTCATGTAGCCAGCATGACTAAGCCGCTTCTGGCGAACCAGAGCAGCGCACGGAAACGCCATTTACCTTCCTACCTATTTATCTACTTGCACTTTGACGTGCTTTCGAACTGCTAGGTTGGCAGGAGCTGGGACCGAGCAACGGGAGCTCACCCCGTCGCGGGGATTCGAACCGCCAACCTTCTGATCAGCAAACCCTAGGCTCTGTGGTTTAACCCACAGCGCCACCCGCGTCCCTTTATTCCACTAGGGCTCGTGAATGTGCTTTTAACAGTGCTGTCCTGTTTTCACTGCCTGCAGATTAATAAGATTTGGGGTTTTTAAAAAATATATTGCTTTAATTTTATGATTACTCTTTGATGATGATCTTTTATATGTTTGTAGCTTTTTCGTTTTTTACCTGTGTTGTTTTTAATTTGCCTAAGCCACCTTGAGTCCCAGTCTGGGGGAAAGGCTGTGTATAAATAAATATCAGCTGGATAGCTCAGTTGGCTAGAGAGTGGTGCGGATAATGCCAAGGTTGCAGGTTCAATCTGTGTAAGGGACAACTGCCTTGCAGGGGGTTGAACTAGATGACCCTCAGTGTCCCTTCCAACTTTATGATTCTATGATGATCAATATCAAACAACAGGGGAGGCTCTGTCCCTCCAGATGTGCCTAAACTACGACTCCCATCATCCCCTGCTATTACCAATGTTGGCCTTCTTTTAAAGCAAAGGCCTTTTTTTTAAAAAAAAAAGAAAAAGGTTTTAAAGTTGTGCTGAACTAAAGTTTGGGCACCTCTTCTTATTTTAATAGATTTTGTTTTATTTCGTTTTAATTCTGTTACGGCTTAATTCTTTTTAAACGAACCTCTTCTACATGTTTTTATCCCTGTTGTTTTTAATTTGTGTAAGCGGCCTTGAGTCCCGGGACTGGGAAGGATGTGAATAAATATAACAGCAGCAGAAGCTGCACGGTTTTCACAGTATGATTTGGGGCTTGATCCTGGCATACCGAATGGCATATTAGCTACAGAAAGACAACACAACTGCGGTTTCGTTATCAACTTAGGAGGAAGAGGAGCCACACAGAAAGATTTTTTTTTTTTAAGGTTTCTAAATCGAGCCTCCTGCCTTCTTCCTGCTGTTGGTTTTCTTTCTTCAGAACTTAAAAGATCTGGTTTGCATGCAGGAGGTATCAGGTTCGAATCCAGACACCTCCAGGTAAGACTAGGGAAAGACCTCTAAAACCCTAGAGATCTGCTGCCAATCAATGTAGACAGAGAGAGATGGACCTATGATTTGATCATTTTTTAAAAAATGGTTCGTATCAATATAATAATGAGAATAAATAATAATAAATAATTCTCAAGAGCAGCAGGTCTGAACACATGTCATCTCTGGAAGCAGAGAAGGTCACTTTCCATTGACGACTGGAATATGGATGAGTCAGTTAAACTGGCAAATGTAATTAGTGCTGGAGAAAGTTGTTCAGCTGTCTGAACGGCTTAGGAGTCAGAAAACCCGTTGCTGGTTCTGCAACAAATTGTCCTGAGATCCACCAGCTTCCGCCTGTCCTTAATGTAGTTTCATTGTTCTTTAGATAAGGCAGGCAAGGCTGCGTACAACACACATCTCCCCCAAGAAAAGAACCTGGAGAACTGTAGTTTTAAGGCGCTGGGAATTGTAGGATTGTCAGAGGCAATCTACGGTTCCAGGGGTTCTGCAGGGGATGCTATGTGGTTTAGATATTTGGTGCGCCCGCAACCACAGATAAGATAGCCCTTATCTTCCTCTATCCTGCTGCAACCACCATTCGAAGCCGGCGGCGCGATCATTCAAGAATCTCAAACCACTTCTCCCCTCCAGCCTATTCTCACAGACCGAAAACTCAGAGGTGTGTGGTCTTCCCAAAGGTGAGCCCCGGACTCCATTCCCACAATTGGGAGCCAGGATTCCTGGCCTTCCATTCTCCCTCTGCCACTTCCTGCCGCTCTCAAGCACTAACCACTAGGCGCCACATCTGTGCCGTCCCCTCCATCCGGACCCCTAAACGCCAGCCCCTTCCACAAGGCGCAACGACAAGTTATAGGAAGAAAAAGAAAATAGAGAACCAACAATTCAGTTTCTCCAAACTTTTGAGGGGTGGGTGCACACACAATTTGCGCGCGCGCAATTTGCCAGATTAAATGTGCTAAACTGAAATTGCGGAGGCTTCACCTTTCCATTCACTGCCTTCTTATCCCAACAAATGTCCACCGGCAGAAAGCCCAGTTGAAGGAGCATGGTATAGCGGTTAGAGCAGTGATGGGGGGGAAACCTGGGGGCACCTTCCATATATACCCAGGCTGCAACTCAACTCATATGTAAGAAATCAATATTTGAGCATGGCAGCGTCTGAACGTTGGAACTCCCTGCCTATTGATGTTACCCTTTTGTTTTACTCTTTTCAGCACCCGCTATGAACATTTTTGTTTTAGTCAAGCCTGTCTAGAAACGTAGAACACTGATGCACGAGTTTGAATCTGCTTTTTAGCTTATCGTTGGTTTTAACAATTTGTTGAATATTTCTGGGTTTTTGGCTCTTTTTAACTGGCTGTTCTTAAGATGAAACATCACCCAAGGGTAAAAGTGTCCTGAGGCACTTCCTTAAAAATTTCATTCTGTCAGCTTAGCCTGCGTACTTCCTTGCTGTGAGGGTCAAACGATGGGAGAAGCAACAGAGAGATCGATCATAATAAATTTAATTAAGTTCATCCTGACAGGGCAGACAATCTCTTGCTCTTAAGAAGAAACATACCCCCAGTTCGCGTTTCCCTAACATGCCATTTTCTCTCAGCCTAACCTACCTACAGGGCTTTTGTGAGGATTAAATGAAAGGAGAAATAAATCTAATAAATTAATTTAATACATTTCCTCCTTACAGGAGGAATTGTTTGAAACGTGCCCCCAGGATATAAAAGGGAGACCCCGCCCCTAATTTTTCATTCTCTCAGCCTATCCTCCCTCACAGGGTTGTTGAGAGGATCAAACGAAGGAAAACACAGAAAAAAAGCTTTAAAAATTCATCCTTACAGGGCAGGCACCTCTCGTTCGAAACATGCCTCCACGATTTATTTTTAAAGGAGATTTCCCTTTATTTCCCCCCCTTCTCTCTTAGCCTAACCTACCTCACGGGGCTGTTGTGAGGCTCAAAGGGGACAGATCGCAGGGCGCAATCATTGAAAAAAAGCGCATTTTTGCAGGGCAAAGGACTGGGGGACTGGCTCGTTTACGCAGCATCGCGCAAATGTTTAAGCCGTGCCAACCAGCCATGCAATGGGCGAAACAAGTCTCTTTTTCTCACCCGGCTTCGGGCACAGCTGCTCCTGGTCCACCAAGCCGCTTGCAGCCGCGACCAGCTGCGCCACCCAGGAGACCCCGAGCAGCCACATGGTGCCAGGCAGGTGCCAGCTGCTGCCGCTGCTGCCCCCCCGGCTTCTTCCAGCCAGACCCCCCGGGCTGCAGTGCCACCTTCGCCTTGGCACCATCCTCGCTCAAGCAGCGAAGCGTTTGAGGAACTGTCCCGAGGGGAGGCTGCTGCTGCTGCTGCCTGCCTGGCAGGGTTGCTCTGGTTGGTTGTGCAAGCCGGGGCGGGCAAGTGGGTTGTGCAATGGGGTGGAGCTGAAAGGGGAAGCAGGGCTAGGGGGCAGAGTGACAGCTATGGGGTGGGGAAGAACCCTCCGCAAGAGAGGCCGCCCCAAACCCCTTGGCTCAGCGTTTTCTTTTTAACTTCTGTTTTTAAATTTGAAAGGAGAGGCGCTAGATCTCATGGAGGAAATCTGGGAAAGGCCCTGCCGCCCGGAACCATAGAATTGCAGAGTTTGAAAGAAGGGCCGTCTAGTCCAGGGGTCAGCAAACTTTTTCAGCAGGGGGCCAGTCCACTGTCCCTCAGACCTTGTGGGGGGCCGGACTATATTTTTTGGGGGGAAATGAACGAATTCCTATGCCCCACAAATAACCCAGAGATGCATTTTAAATAAAAGGGCACATTCTACTCATGTAAAAACACGCTGATTCCCGGACCGTCCGTGGGCCGGGTTTAGAAGGCGATTGGGCTGGATCCGGCCCCCGGGCCTTAGTTTGCCTACCCATGCTCTAGTCCAAACCCCTGCAAGGCAGAGAATCTTTCACTCAATATAGGGTGCTCAAACCCTGAGATTTTAAGACTATTAACTGAACTCGACCCACCTAGAAGAGGGCAGCTGCATATAATAAAACTGAGCTGCCTGCTTTCCAAAGGCGCAGGTTTGCCCGATGTGAAGCCTCCTTGGGCAGTGGCAGTGTACCTCCACACAGGCTTATTTGCTGGGAGTGGAAGTGCAAGGGGTATTTGCAACTGTGATGCTGCCCGAAACAGTCGCGGCTCCCCTCCCCAGAGAATCCTGGGAATTGTAGTTTATTAAGGGTGCTGAGAGTTGTTAAAGGTAAAGGGACCCCTGACCACTAATTCCAGTCGTGACCGACTCTGGGGTTGCGGCGCTCATCTCGCTTTACTGGCCGAGGGAGCCGGCGTACAGCTTCCAGGTCATGTGGCCAGCATGACTGAGCCGCTTCTGGCGAACCAGAGCAGCGCAAGGAAACGCCGTTTACCTTCCCGCCGGAGCGGTACCGATTTATCTACTTGCACTTTGACGTGCTTTCAAACTGCTAGGTTGGCAGGAGCAGGGACTGAGCAGCGGGAGCTCACCCCGTCGCGGGGATTCGAACTGCCGACCTTCTGATCGGCAAGTCCTAGGCTCTGTGGTTTAACCCACAGCGCCACCCGCATTAGGAGACCCCTATTCCCCCTCACAGAGCTACAATTCCCAGAAGCGAGCAGGGGTGCCAACTTGAATAAAATATTGGGCAGGGCAGGTAAAATGGAGAGGGAGAACTAAGAACACTCCGCTAACCCAGAAATAGTGCTTCAGGTTAAGAACTTTGCTTCAGGATGAGAACAGAAATCGTGCTCCGGCGGCGCGGCGGCAGCAGGAGGCCCCATTAGCTAAAGTGGTGCTTCAGGTTAAGAATAGTTTCAGGTTAAGTACGGACCTCCGGAACGAATTAAGTACTTAACCTGAGATACCACTGTATAAACTTGGCCTGATCCTGGCGGGGGTTTCCCTTGCGCTTCTTCCTCCTCCTCTCGAGTAGCCCAACATGCAGGAACAGAGCAGTAATAAATCTCCAACCTACTTTGCTGCCACGAGATGGGAGGGTGGGCGAGAGAGCCGGCAATGAAGCCTACCCACAGTTGAAATCTTAAAACTGCAATGTCCAGATTCGATGGTTCTTCAGGGATTCCGTCAGTGTGTGGGTCTGCTTGGGACATAGGTGCCAGCTCCCTGAGTGCCCAAACACCCACAAAATTCCCCACGAAGGTGCCTGGCACCCACAAAATTTGGTGCCAGGGAATATGCACATTGCATTGCACCCAGAGCAGGCCTGGAGAACCTCCGGCCCCCCAAGGCCCCCACCCGGCCCTCAGGACTCTCCTGAGGCCTCCACCACACAGTATCTCACTCTCCTTCTGGGTTTCTGGCTGAAATGTGCGCTTGACAGCATTTAGCAAAAACCATTGACTGCCAAATGACCCCCCCACCAGTTTATGCCAACAGCCAGTCGAAACAGTGACCGCCTGGGATTTTGGGCAAATGTGCCTTTTCTGGACTTCCTGTCATTTAAGCAACAAACACAAAAAGACACGACGATAGCTTTTTTTGGTCTTTTTTAAGAAAATGCAATTTCTCTTTATACCCATAAAATGATACAATTCTGCCAAGTATAGAAATATGTAATAAATTATATGGAATGTCCCTCGGTCCTTGCACGGCACGGCTGCCCTGCTTATAAAGCCCCTCGCACCCTGCACCCCCCCCTCAAAAAAAACACACAATAAAAATAAGGTAGTCCATGGCAATCCGCCCCCCCCCCCCGGTTCCTAATGAACTTTTCTCTTTGGTATCGAAGTCGGGTTTGAGGCAAAAAGGGGGACAGGTGAGAGAGGCAGACCTAAAATGTTGCCGCTGCAAAAAATAGCCCCCTACCTGTGCCTCTGAGATGGGGGGGGGAGAGAAAGAAAATTTGGGGGATATGCCAGGAAACTTCAAAAACTGGGTAGGGGGTGGCCCAAAGTCACACAGAAGAGTAAGGGAGGAACCCACCCACAGAGAAATCTTAAATTTGCTGGCTTTTCCTTATCCCGACAGTGGCAGGGAAACTTGAGGCCTCCTAGGCCACAGCATTTTGGCCTATGAGGCTGTTGGGACTTGTTTTGGTCAAACTCAAGACTCTGTATATGTGTGTCTATATAGACACGACAGAGGTGTTATGCATTTTAAAATTTGCCATTTAGGATTGAAGTGCAAGCCAGTGAGAGAAATACATGCTCAAAGCAGAATTTGAGGCTATCAAATCCTGACTTTCAGGCCTTGCTCATTTGCGTACGAGGCTGGCGATCCTCTTTGTATCCACTCCAGAGCCAGACCGACTGAAATGTGCCCAAGCTGGTCAGAAACATTTGCTTCAGTAGGTCTACTCGGAGTAGGGCTATCATTACATACAACGCCCCAGTTCCTAGCATATCTCTGGAACGGTTCCACGAGGCGCGTCCTCAAACAGCGACTCGCCACAAGTGCCTGGTTTATTTATTTTTAAATGAACTTTTGCAGGACAAGTAAGCCATCGGGACGTTTGCCAGAATAGATGTTGCTTTGTGGGAGTGTGGTGAGGAAACTGGGTGCCCAGGGCTTGACGCCCTCTCACATCCTCCGCGGGCTGCAGTAGCAAAGCCCCAAGCTGAGCGCAAGGATGGGGGAAGCCGATTCCTCATCCTTGACCAGTACCACAACAGGTGAAGTCCTATCTCCCTTGCCTTCCCATTCTCAGCTCAACATTTTCCCAATCCAGTTAGCTCTGCTGTGATGGGTGGGCCTCTGCTGGCGGAAACCAGAGAACCAGCAGAGGTGGTTGGTTGGGTGTTTAAGAGGAGGGAGCTGCTTGCAAGCCGAGGTCCTACGTTATATAAAAATATTTTTTTTTCTTTTTCTTAAACTATTTCCTGCCTTGGGAATAGCAGACCCAAGGGTGTAGACTCTCTGGGGCGCAGACAAGAGGGCAAAATAGCAAACCAAGCGGGTTCTTCAAGGGAGGGGGGGCGAGAGAAAATAGCCGATGTGTTTCAAAGCTTCCCCCGCAACCTCTTTCCCCGGAAAAAAAAAAAAAAAAGGCAATCCATGCTCCAGGCATCTTGCTGGAGGCTAGCAACCTCTTGTGCCCGAATTCTTCTCCCTCGCACTTGGGGTGGCACAGCTCCTGCGGAAGCGGGCACCACGGATCTCCCAAGCCGTGCCAGTCCAACCTTGTCCTTTAAACACCGCTGCCCAGTGCCCGAGGGAGGCACCCCTAGAGAACTTCCAATGCCAATGTGGAATAGAAAAAAATAATAATCTTTTTTTTCTCCTTTTTTTTTTTTTGTAAACGTGGATCGTTTTCTTTCATATAGATCTGTATATATATATATATTTTAAAAAGACACGATTAGATGATAGGAGGACAAGGCATGGAGGGGGGGGTCGAAAGCGGGGTGCAGGGCCCCCGCCCCCCAATCTTTCGCCCGCCGCCTCTTGACGCGAGGCTCCAGCCTCCGACGCACCTTTAAGCGCCCCCAACCTTCTTGCGCCTCCAAGCCAGATACATTCATGTGCGGTTCAGGGAGATGTCACTGGGTTTTTCATTCTTGGAAGAAGAAAAAAAGACTCCCTTTTGCACAACAGTTCAGGGTAACATCAGTCAGGGGTGTGTGTGTGTGTGTGTGTGTGTGTGTTTGTTTGGGGGTTACACCTGTGCACCCCCTACCCCAGCCAGTGACCTGTTTGCCACTGTAAGCCAGCAGTCAGTTATTCTTATGATTATTATTATCATCATCTTTTTGGTTATACGGCCGCAAGCCTCCTAGGCCTCCTCGATCCATCCGGTAAGATCCGCATCTCTGCAGCTACCGGGGGGGGGGGCATTTCTGGCCTGTGGGGCAGCCCTCCCCGCCCCTCCTGAGGCAGGGAGTTCCATCCGTTGCATGTGTCTATCTGTCTGTCCCGGGACCTTCCTCCTCACACCTTCAGCGTCTTGTCGGGCCCACCCCCACTAGGGCTGCTGGCCACGCTGCTGCTGTCGCCGCCGCCGCCCTTCTTCTTGCGCAAGGTCTCGATCCAACTAGCGCTGGGGCGGCCGCTGAAGCTGGAGAGGGCGAGGGAACTGAGGCGCATGTTCTTGCCGGACATGATGAGCTCTCCGAAGCCCTCCTGGTGGGAGAAGGCGTAGCCGGAGCGGCGGGAGCCTGCCCGGCCCACCCTCCCCATGCAGCGATGCTGGGCTTTCTGCTTCTTCCTCACCAGCTGGGTGTAGCGCACCTGAGGGGGGGAAATGAGAAAGCGGGGAGGAGGGGAGAGTCAGAGGCAGCAAGGAAATCTGGTTCCCCCCCTCCTTCGTGGGGGCACCCGTCAGTCTCCCCGTCCCCACATTCCTCACGACAACCCTGTGAGGCATGTCAGGTTGAGAGAAAGTGACTGGCCCCAAGATCACACCTGGGGATGAGTGGGGATTCGAACCCAGATCTCCCAGGTTCTAGTCTGAGACTTTTAACCACTACGCCAGGTTAAAGGCCTAGGCTGGGACGGTCTGTACTCTTTTAAGAAGTAGGAGGCAACTGCCCAGGGGTTACGAGTTTGAACCCCAAAAAGATTGGGCAAAAAGATTCCTGCATTGCAGGGGTTGGACTGGATGACCCCTGTGGCCCCTTCCAAATCTGCAGTTGAACGATTCAGCAATCTGAAGAGCGCCGGGATGATTAAGATTCAGAGTCTCCTGCTCCATCGACTGACTGTTTCAGACTACATCTCCCATCAGCCCCAGGCCATTGTGTCTGTAACTCTATGGGCGTGCTGCCTAGAAACTCATGGGAGTTGTAGTCCATAAATGATCGTGCCGGCTGGGGCTGATGGGAGCTGTAGTCCAAAATAGCCACGCAGATCAGGGAGGGTGATGGGAGATGTAGTCCAACACTTCTGGAGGGCATCCGGTTGGCCGAGGCCGGCCTTGCCCAATATGGCTGCCAGCAGTATCCCAAGGATTTGGGCTGCGGACTTAAGTGAACTGGCACCTCTCAGGGCAGACAGATGAGACCTGCTAGAAGCAGAAGCTTTAATGTGGGATTATAGAATGCTTTATGCTCTGCTTGGAAGAGCCTCTGGGCATTTTCTGCATGTAGCTACCTGGGCAAGAGTGTCGTCAGAACCCTTGATGCGCCACGATGGAGTGGCAAGGGCGGGTCACAAAAAGAGTTGGATCCAAAACCGGAAGACACAAGATCTACCCACACTGGAGGAATGGCAGATGAAAACGATGGAATACATGGAATTGGCGGAAATGACTGGCAGAATCCGTGACCAGGGAGAAGAGTCGGTGGAAGAAGATTGGAAGAAATTCAAAGACTATTTACAGAAATACTGCAAAATTAATGAATGTTAGAATGATGTTGGATTGAAGTTAAGGGGTTTCTAGCTGTACAGGCTAAAAGAATATGGAAAAATTGGTTTTAATATGTAAAATCTAAAATTAAAAGCTATATTATATCAAGATTAAAGATTAGGATTAAAAAGGAGGGAAAGGAACTGTTGGACTAACATATTTAATTAGAATACAAAAAAGGGAGGTAAGAGGAGGTCCGAGAAACAAGTAAATGTAAAAGAAGTGAGGAAAAGATGAAATTGTTTTTAATTGTTTTTTCCTTTTTTCCTTTGTATTTTTTCTTTTTATTGTTAATTTTTTCTTCATTAATGTGGTTTTTTTTCTTATGAAATTTTAATAAATATTATTTTAAAAAAAATAACAAAACAAAACCTTACAGATGCCCTGCTTTACGTCAGTGTCCCGTGTTGATACGCAGAGAGATGCTGTACGAAACAAACCCTGAATAGCCACTGTCGACATAACAGATAACAACCGAACGCAAGAATGGCACTTCTTGTTTTATTCCAATCTCTCTGCGCTCTGGTTATGCTTGACAGGTGTTGAGAATCATATCGAGTTGGAAGGGACCACGAAGGTCATCCAGGCCACCCCACCCTGCAACGCAGAATATTTTGCCCAATGTGGGACTCAAACCCACAACCCTGAGATTTAAGAGTCTCATGCTCTACCTGCTGAAACCATCTCAGTTCTTTTTTTGCTTGCATCGAAACATATTCATTTTTTAAAAAATAATACCGTATTTTTTGCTCTATAAGACACACTTTTTCCCTCCTAAAAAATAAGGAGAAATGTGTGTGTGTCTTATGGAGCGAATGCAGGCTGCGCAGCTATCCCAGAAGCCAGAACAGTGAGAGGGATCACTGCGCAGCGCTCCCTCTCGCTGTTCTAGCTTTTGGCTTAGCCGCGTGCAGCCTCTTCAGGGCAGGGGGGGCCTTCATCGCTGCGCAGCGATCCCTCTTGCTGTTCTGGCTTCTGGGATTCAGAATATTTTTTCCCCTGTTTTCCTCCTCCAAAAACTAGGTGCGTCTTATGGTCTGGTGCGTCTTATAGAGTGAAAAAATACGGTTAATTAAAAAGAGATGGAAATTTAGAACCTGAGTTTGCCAGGGAGTGGGGGGGCTGGCAGACAGACAAGGTGTCTACCTTGCGGGGGAAAGGAAGGAAGGAAGGAAGGAAGGAAGGAAGGAAGGAAGGAAGGAAGGAAGGGCCTCTCCCCCATCTTCCATTTGGGATCCATCTGCACCCAAACTCACCGTATCTGAGAGCTCAGGCTTCAGGTCTAGCTTGAGGAACCGGAAGGCGACCACTGGCATGATGCAGACGACAGTGGTGAGGGCAATGGTCAGCCACACGGCAGGTTGGGCTAGTGTGTTCTGGGCATTGCCTGGGCAGAGGAAGGAAAGCAGGAGGTCAGGGAGAAAGGGAGAGATTCAGAGGCACCTCTGATCTGGAAAACAGGGGAGCTTACGACAGCCTGGACACCAGGTCCCCCTCCCATCCCCTCCCCTGTACAAAAGTGTAAAGGAACTTTCCCAGAACGCACCTTGGCCACCTCGCAGAAATGTCCCCTTTGTGGCTTAGGGCCCTCGTATTTACGGGACCGCCTCTCCTGGTATGCCCCGCAGAGGACCTTAAGGTCCATGAATCATAGTTTAGAGGTCCCGGGCCCTAAGGAAGTTCGATTATCCTCCACCAGGGCCAGGGCCTTCTCAGTGATGGCTCCGACCTGGTGGAATGCTCTGTCCCATGAGACCAGGGCCCTGCAGGATTTAACCTCTTTCCGCAGGGCCTGTAAGACAGAGCTATTCCACCTGGCTTTCAACTTAGCCTGATCTTTTATTCCCCTTCCTTCCCTCCCCCTCCCCTTTTTATGAAGATTACCTGCTCTGGGATCCCACAGCTAATTCTCCCCTGGTCTCCTCACTGGCCCAAATAGGACTAATTTAGCCAGTTAGCTCTAGTGATCATCTAATGTTTACTGGATGGATTTCCCCCCTAAATTGATTTTGAATTCTGAATTTATCGTTATTCACGTTTTATACTGTATCTTATGCTGTTTTTCGTTGCATCAATTAAGTGTTTTAAATTTGTTGTTAGCCGCCCTGAGCCCGGTTTCTGAACCGGGAAGGGCAGGATATAAATAAAAATTTATTATTATTATTAATGCACGAATGCTGGCCATGCAGCAGAAATCTCCCAGAATGCACAGCCCTTGGGCCCCAGTAGAAATCTCCCAGAATGCACCACCTTTGTCAATAATAGTTCTGCAACGAGGCAAAAAAATGAGGCATGTGTGAGAGGGCAGGGCGGAGAGAGAGGAAGTTGTAGACCCAAACAGAGAAGCAGTCTCCAGACTCACCCACAAAACGGAACTGGTTGGGGAAGAGCTGGAAGAGGCCGTCGCTGTGCATGGCGAAGAGGATGGCGAAGTAAACAGCCAGGCTGCCCCAGATGAAGAAATGGTTGATAGCCGTCCAGAATCCTGTATCCAGGCCAATCTGTTGAGGGGGGTGGGGAGAAGGTCAAGCAGAGCATCATGGGGGCGAGGGATGAATGAATGAATTTATTAATACGGTCACAGACCAGCGTCAACACACACAATGTCACAGATCATTAAAATATATATATATATATCAGAAATACAGAGGACAATATGAATATAACAAGGATTTAAATATAAAAAATTAAAATTAATTATTAGCGTGGCCCCTGTAATTAACATTTGGGGGTTTGGTCATTATGGGATACCACTTGCTTCCTGCGATTAATTGCAGACGCACAGAATTTGGCTACATTTAATGTAGTCTTGGGATTCTTGTCCTCTAGCAGTAATTTTAAACTATGGTGTTCCGATTCTTTCCTGGACTTTTGCAAAACAGGTGTAATAAAAGTCAAACGTATATCCTCATAAAGATGGCAACGTAATAGTACATGTGAAGCAGTTTCAACTTCCAACGAGCCACAGGGGCAGACCCGTGCTGTGTATGGTTTACCCTCAAATCTGCCCTGAAGTAAGGCAAAAGGGAGAACGTTGAATCTGGCGAGGGAAAAAGACCGTCTGTATTTGGGTACCTGAAGACCTGACAGATAGTTAGCTGGAGAGAAACCTCTCCCATGGTCCCTTATTGCTGGATGTTTGATCATTTCGCTCATGTGGCCTTGTAATTCTACGTCCCAGATACGCTGGGGGGCGAGGGATGACACAGGCGCTTCCTGCCACCTCACAGCGGAGAAAAGGTTCCACTGAGCATATGTGGAGTGCTATCCCTTCACCACCAGCGGCAAATTCAGAAGCGCAGGGTCCCTTCCTGATTTTCACAGTGACACCCCCTCGCAGCCATGCCTCCTTGCAAGATTATACAGTAAACTCATAATAATGCAATAATCATAACTGGGGATGCGTTGCAATGATCCCCTTTCACCAATGCCAAGGGCTAGTAGAAATCTCCCAGAATGCACTGCCCTTGCGGAATGGACGAAATTCAAAGACTATTTAGTTAAATATGCTAAGATAATTTAAATAGAAATACTTGCAAATAACAGATAGACTTAGGATTTAAATATGTGAAGTTATAGAATAATATGTTTGAAGTAAAGATGAAAAGAAAGAAAGATGGTGGTTAAGTAAATTTTATGAGAAATTTGTTTTGGAAAACTGTTACAATGATATAGATATATATATACACATGTATAAATATATACAGTGGTACCTCGCAAGACGAATGCCTCGCAAGACAAAAAAACTCGCTAGACGAAAGGGTTTTTGGTTTTTTGAGTTGCTTCGCAAGACGATTTTCCCTATGGGCTTGCTTCGCAAGACGGAAACGTCTTGCAAGTTTGTTTCCTTTTTCTTAACACCGTTAATACAGTTGCGACTTGACTTCGAGGAGCAACTCATAGAACGCGGTGTGGTAGCCTTTTTGAGGTTTTTAAAGACTTTGGTGATTTTTGAAGCTTTTCCAAAACTTTCCCGACACCGTGCTTCGCAAGACGAAAAAAATCGCAAGACAACAAAACTCGCGGAAAGAATTAATTTCGTCTTGCGAGGCACCATTGTATATATTCAGCCAGGGGGATTTGAGGAAGTCACTTAACAATGTTACTAAGAGTGGATTAAATACAGCTAGGATTTATGTTTGTTTGTGTGTTTACAAATTTTGGAAAATTAATAAAAAAAATTGAAGGGAAAAAAAAAGAATGCACTGCCCTTGGCCACTGAGCAAAAATCTCCCAGAATGCGCTGCCATTAGCCCCCTAGCAAAAATATCCCAGAATGCACCACCCTTGGCCCCCTGGGCTCATGCAAATGCAAATACACCTTGGGTAGAACAGCTGTTTTATTCGCAGCAGATAAGGACTAGAAAGCCAGGACTTGTGGGAGATATATCTATAAATATATCTATATATACAGATATCTAGATATCTAGATATATATGTTGTTGTTGGGGTGGGTGGGTTTGTTGTCCTACCTGCACGCTGACGACGATGACGAGGGAGGTCGCCACGGTGACGGCAAAGGACTGGTAGTCGGTCAGGTGGGAGTTGTCGCTGAAGACCCCGTAGGGGATGAAGAACATGAAGACGGAGGTGTAGATCCCTTGAGCGATGCAGATGAAGAACTCCCGCTTGTTGAAGAGCAGGTTGAGTTGCCCCGGTTCATACAGCTTGGGGTACTCCAAACTGCGATGCTCAGGCACATCCTAGGAAAAGGGAGTGGGACAGGGCTAAGCCGTTAGGCCTGAGGGCAGGACCTCCCCAAGTGGGGCACGCAGGCCAGGGACAGACAGGGACAAAAATTGGGTGTGGCACACTCAACGCAGACTCGCCAGAGGGGATAGACACACACGCACAGAGAGACACAAACCAGAAGAAGTTGGCCATTCTGGCAAAGGAGGCACTGCTCGGTCAATATCTAACCCAGGGGTTCCCAAAGTAGTAGAAGAAGAAGAGTTTGGATTTGATATCCCGCTTTATCACTACCCGAAGGAGTCTCAAAGCGGCTAACATTCTCCTTTCCCTTCCTCCCCCACAACAAACACTCTGTGAGGTGAGTGGGGCTGAGAGACTTCAGAGAAGTGTGACTGGCCCAAGGTCACCCAGCAGCTGCATGTGGAGGAGCGGAGACGCAAACCCGGTTCCCCAGATTATGAGTCCACTGCTCTTAACCACTACACCACACTGCCCCCCAGGGGATAGTGGGATTACCTGGGGAAGGGTGTTAGGAGGCAAGGGGGCTGCATGGGGACGTTGGAGGTGTAAAGGACTTTGAAAAGCTTCTATCGCTGGATCAAGCCCATTCATTGTGTTGAATTAAACTAAATACTTCTAACTAGATTTTTAATAAAAGTGCCATAATGCAACTTTTATCTTCCCTGGTAAGTCATGCAAACTGCAGTTCTCAGTACAGTGGTACCTCGAGTTAAGAACTTAATTCGTTCCGGAGGTCCGTTCTTAACCTGAAACTGTTCTTAACCTGAAGCACCACTTTAGCTAATGGGGCCTCCTGCTGCCGCTGCGCCGCTGCACGATTTCTGTTCTCATCCTGAAGCAAAGTTCTTAACCCGAGGTATTATTTTTGGGTTAGCGGAGTCTGTAACCTGAAGCGTCTGTAACCCGAGGTACCACTGTAATGCTTTTTATAGGGTAGGGAGCACTGGGGAATTGGTCTATGGAACCAGGGGGCAGTCGCTTGAACAGTCTGGGAACCACTGACCCAAGCTAAGGATCTAACCCACCGATCTAACCCTGTGGCCCTTGCTGGACTTGCAGCGTCCCTGACCATTGGGGCCGGCGGGAGTTGGGAGTCCGACAACATCTAAATGCCCATGGGGTTCCCCACCACCACCTTACCCCCCTGTAATTACATTTGATAGTTCAGTAGGAAGAGCATGAAATTTTTAATGTCATGGTTGTGGGTTTGAGCCCCATATTGCGCAAAAGATTATGTTGGACAAGAAGATGATCCTCGTGGTCCCTCCCAACTCTACAATTCTAGGATCCCTGATTGGTTGGGACATGACGGGTGGGAAAAACATGTGGGGCCCACATCTGAGACAGCCATGGGTTCGCCGCCCCTGCCACTGGTCCATCTGGCTCACAGCAGCCTTTGCCAATCTGCTGCCCTCTAACCGCTATATCACACTGAGGAATTAACAGGACTGACCTGGTCAAAGACACCCATGGCAAGCACTGGCAGCGAGGTGTAGACAATGTTGTACAGCGTGATGAAATATTGATCGTAGACAGTCTTTGAAAAGATAAGAGGGAGAAATTGAGAGACCAGGGAGAGGAGAACAAAAGGAGTCTTTGCTGCCCCCTGCAGGCCCACTGGTGTAAAACAAAACCCAGTCACTCAGCTGGAATTTGAAGTTTGCTGCATTTCCATAACATTTTACAGTAGCTTTTTTGGGGGGACGGGGAGTAGGATTTTCAAACCTCCAACTTCATCAGCTCTCAACCACATCAAGTCCCTAATCAACTCGGGACCCAAATAGCTGAAAACCAGGCCCTCCTAGTTATTTCATTGCCCTTAGATCATGAGTAGGCAAACTAAGGCCCGGGGGCCAGATCCGGCCCAATCGCCTTCTGAATCCGGCCCGTGGACAGTCCAGGAATCAGCGTGTTTTTACATGAGTAGAATGTGCCCTTTTATTTAAAATGCCTCTCTGGGTTATTTGTGGGGCACAGGAATTTGTTGTTTCCCCCCAAAAATATAGTCTGGCCCACCACATGCTCTGAGGGCCCCTGCTGAAAAAGTTTGCTGACCCCTGCCTTAGATGGTTGTGGGGTGGCAGGACAGGGCCTTCTCTGTGGTAGCCCCTAAGCTGTGGGCCTTCTTCTCCACAGAGGTGCATCGGACAACTTTATTACCCAGCTTTTGGAGAATTCTGAAGATGCACTGCTTTATTATTATTATTATTATTATTATTATTAATCCTGATTGCAAGTTGTTTTAAACTGTTTGTGTTTCAGTTGTTGTAAAATTCCCTGTGACCTTACGGTGAAGGTCATCACCAAAGAAGACTGGCTACTTAGCAGGGTGGCATGATCCCCTTCACTGCGTGATCCTTGATAGGCTGGGATCACCGGTGTGGCTAATCCACGACAACTCTCCTTTCTCCCGGGGTGAAATTGCTGCCTTCAGCAATGCATTTAGCGACTTACTAAATCTACACCCCACCTTTTTCCTCCAAGGAGCTCAGGGTAGGATGAGTGGTTTTCCCCCGCTCCTCGTTTAATCCCCACAACAACCATAGCTTAATTCATTTCTATGGCAGGGATGTCCAACAGATCGATTGTGATCTACTGGTCGATCCCCGCGAGGTTTTGGTAGATCACGGTTGATCTCTGGCTCCCTTTCATTAGCATCGCTAAAACTGACTTCTGTGCCACCCCCTTGCCCCGCCCTCCATTGTTGTTTGATCTCTGGAAGGCGGAGTGTTCTCTGTGCTGCTGTTTTCACCCAAAAAGCTCAACAACTTTGAGCTGAACTCCCAAAAGATGTGGGTAGATAATAATAATAATACAGTGGTCTATTAAACATTAAAAGCTTCCCTAAAGAGGGCTGCCTTCAGATGTCTTCTAAAAGTCTGGTAGTTGTTGTTCTCTTTGGCATCTGATGGGAGGGCGTTTCACAGGGCGGGTGCCACTACCGAGAAGGCCCTCTGCCTGGTTCCCTGTAACTTGGCTTCTCGCAGTGAGGGAACCGCCAGAAGGCCCTCGGAGCTGGACCTCAGTCTCCGGGCAGAACGATGGGGGTGGAGACGCTCCCCAGATCACTGCCAGCTTTTAAATCTGAAAGTAGATTGCAGTCTCTTGAGAGTTGGCCACCCCTGGGCTATGGCAATCAGGTAGCCAAATTAACTGGGCCGGATAGCTTTCCCTGCTTTCCGTGACCCTGATAGGCTACGCTCACTCAACGTGCGGCTCATCCAGGAAGCAGGACGAAGCATGAGCCTGGAGGAAGCCGCCATTGCGGACCCCCGCCCCACCCACCCCTCCGATTCGCCAGCCGAGTCACCTGGGCAGAGAAGCCGCAGAAGAAGCCGAACCAGAAGTGCACCATGGTGAAGGCAAAGTTCTTGTAGAAGAAATAGCAAAGGAATTTGCACATGCGCAGGTAGGACCAGCGCCCGTGGACCAGCAGGAGGCGCTGCAGGAACTTGAACTGCGAGAAGGAGTAGTCTGAGGCCAGCACTGCCTGGATGCCCTCCTGGCCGCTGATTCCAACACCGATATGGGCGGCTGGCGGGAACGCAGGAAACGGAAAGAGGGGTAAGGGGAAGTCAGGCTACTAAGGCATCCCAAGCTCAGATCCCCCACCTTCCATCTTAGGAAGGACAAAGCACACGTGGTTCTCTCTCTTTCTAAAACAGGAGAGAGGAGCCTTTTCCCCATATAGGTAAAGGGACCCCTGACCATTAGGTCCAGTCGCGACCGGCTCTGGGGTTGCGGCGCTCATCTCGCTTTAGTAGCCAAGGGAGCTGGCGTACAGCTTCTGGGTCATGTGGCCAGCATGACTAAGCCGCTTCTGGCGAACCAGAGCAGCGCATGGAAACGCCGTTTACCTTCCCGCCGGAGTGGTACCTATTTATCTACTTGCACATTGATGTGCTTATGAACTGCTAGGTTGGCAGGAGCAGGGACCGAGCAACAGGAGCTCACCCCGTCGCGGGGATTCGAACCGCCGACCTTCGGATCGGCAAGTCCTAGGCTCAGTGGTTTAACCCACAGCGCCACCCGCGTCCCTCTTTTTCCCATATAGAGGACCACATTTCCTTCCAAGAGGCCACATTTTAATTATAGGCAGGGCCAGAGGAGGGAAGCAGGTGTCTCAATCCATCAGGGCAGCCAATTGGCTCTGCCTCTCTTTGGAACTTTCCCACCCTGCAAAGGCCTTCGTCACGGAAGTCTGCTTATTTCCTCCTCCCTCCCAACGCGTTTTCCTTTTGTGCTGTGGCATTTTTTTAAAAAATACGCATCCGCGGAACTAAAAAGACGAAAGCTCACGCAAGCGCCGCCCCGGGACTCACTCTTGATCATGCTGACGTCGTTGGCCCCGTCGCCGATGGCCAGTGTGACGGCCTTCTTGTACTTTTTCACCAGCTCCACCACCTGGGCCTTCTGCAAGGGGGTGACACGGCAGCAGATGACGGCTTTGCAGGCGCAGGCCGTCTCCAGGAACTCCAGCTCCATGTCGGCCTCCAGGGCGTGTGCCTACGGGGAGAGAGAGGAGAGTGAAGGATGCTCAGTGCGACCAGCTGAATAACTGGATTAGACCCTGGGCAGATTCCCTGCAGATAAAAAGGTGATGGGAATGGTAGCTCCGGGGGGGGGAGGGGAACTACAGTTCCCATGATTCCTTTGGGGTGGGAGCAAGTCGTATGTGTTTAAGAGGTGACAGGATGGAAGCTTATAAAATGAAAATATTACATGGAGGATAGAGAATAGTTTTTTTCCCCTTCCCTCTCTTGTTACTCCAGTGTGGTGTAGTGGTTAAGAGCGGTAGTCTCGTAATCTGGGGAACCGGGTTCGATTCCCCGCTCCTCCACATGTAGCTGCTGGGTGACCTTGGGTCAGTCACACTTCTCTGAAGTCTCTCAGCCCCACTCACCTCACAGAGTGTTTGTTGTGGGGGAGGAAGGGAAAGGAGGATTTTAGCCGCTTTGAGACTCCTTAAAGGGAGTGAAAGGCGGGATATCAAATCCAAACTCCTCTTCTTCTTCTTATAACTTACAAGCAGCCGAGCCAAGTGCTGGAAGGTCCAGGGCAGCTTAAAGGATTTTAGAGTTAAACTGTGGAACTCACCGCCACAGGGGCAGTGATGGACGCCAACTTGGATGACTTTAAAAGAGGATTGGGCAAATACACGGAGGAGAAGGCACAATGGCTATGTTCTACCTCCACTGCCAGAGACATTATGCCTCTGAAAACCAGGTCCTGGGGATCGCAGCTGCTGCTGCTGCGGTCAAATCTAGCATGCAGGCTTCCCAAGGGCACCTGGGAGAGCAGGATGTTATCCAGCAGGCCTCAATCCCACATATTTATCATCCAGACAAAGAAGCAAATAGCCACTCCAGGAAATAATAATAATAATAATAATAATAATAATAATAATAATAATAATTATTATTATTATTATGTACAGCCCTTCATCCAAAGATCACAGGGTGGTTCACAACATGAAAACACAAAACTAAGCATTAAGATATATTCAACAGTGTAAATAACTTTTGACGGATGTAATAATGGAATACTGAATGGCTCGATTTATTTAAAATATGCAGGGATTTATGTTATGCAAAATGAACCATGGAAGGAGAAGAAGGGAAGTCACTGATATTTTACGGTTGGTTAAATGAATATTCTAAATTTTAAAGCAGAAAATTTAATAACAAATACACACACACACACACAAAATGAGAACACAAAATGAATAATAAAACAAAAACAAACCAGCAATCTGCCTCCCACAAAAAGACCATACGTAGAATGTGTAACTGTAGCTGCGAGGGGCAATATTGTCTCCCAAGGACTTTCTGGGCCCTTAAACTACAGCTCCAAGGATTCTATGTTTAAAGAGGTATTAAAGTGCTTTGGGTCACTGGTGGCGCTGTGGGTTAAACCACAGAGCCTAGGACTTGCCGATCAGAAGGTCGGCGGTTCGAATCCCCACAATGGGGTGAGCTCCCGTTGCTCGGTCCCTGCTCCTGCCAACCTAGCATGTCAAAGTGCAAGTAGATAAATAGGTACCACTCCGGTGGGAAGGTAAACGGCGTTTCCGTGCGCTGCTCTGGTTCGCCAGAAGTGGCTTAGTCATGCTGGCCACATGAGCCGGAAGCTGTACGCCGGCTCCCTCGGCCAATAAAGCGAGATGAGTGCCACAACCCCAGAGTCAGTCACGACTGGACCTAACGGTCAGGGGTCCCTTTACCTAAAGTGCTTTAAATGTATGGTGTGAATGCGGCCTAGGTACCTCCCCCAAGGCGCCCACTTACCAGGCTGTGCCCATTGATCACCAAGGCGTACTCCCCAGCCACAGCCTCCAGCACGGACGTCAGCTTCGAGGCAGAGAGCTTCTCCTGGTAGGTGAACCCATTGCCCACAGACCGGGAAGAGTCCACCAATTTCTCTCGAGCCTTCCTGCCGGAGAAGGTGGGGAGGAAAGCGGGAGGGGGAAAGGATTTGAGAAGCAGCCAAGGACTCACCTGCCTTCTTTCCAAACCTTCTAGGGACAGATTTGGCAGGTCAGAAGGAGATGCAGCAAACCATTCCTGTGGGGTTTTGTTGTTGTTGTTCATTGGGATTAATTTTTTGAATGTTACCTTTCTGTTTGTGTGGCTTGGAAAGGGGCAACGGGTAGCACAGAGATGAGACAGAGAGAGAGAGAAGAAAGAAAGGAAGGAAGGAAGGAAGGAAGGAAGGAAAGGAGAGAGAAGGAGTAGCAGAGAAAAGTGTGGAAATGAGAGAGAGAGAGAGAAAGAGAGAGAAAATAGAATAGAATAGAATAGAATAGAATAGAATAGAATAGAATTTATTATTTATACCCCGCCCATCTGGCTGGGTTTCCCCAGCCACTCTGGGCAGCTTCCAACAAAGTCATCTAAAAGAGAAAGAGAAAGAGAGAGAGAGAGAGAGAGAGAGAGAGAGAGAGAGAAAGAAAGAAAGAAAGAAAGAAAGAAAGAAAGAAAAGGTGAGAGAGAGAGAGAGAGAGAGAGAGAGAGAGAGAGAGAGAGAGAAGTGTTGCCCCTGACCATTTTTGGGTTTTGCTCCACCCACTGCTGTCTTTAGACCTGTCCATTTCACGAATCTGGCCCCAAGAGATCACCACTGTTGGAACAACACCAGTAGCAGGAAACGCACCTTGACTAGCCAACAGAGCAGCACTTTCTGCTTGCATTCAATGTTTGGTGCCAGAGAAATGGAAAAGCAGAGAAAGCCCCTAATGGAGGGGCCACCACCAAGTGGGCCACACCCGCGGGCCTCCACTCACCGCAACTCCTGCCGCACCTCCAAAACCGTGTGCCCCGTGATGATGAAGACCTCCGTCATCTCGTCCGTCAGCATCTTGCAGGAGTAGCCGATGTTCACGGCCGTCTCTGAGGAAGGAGAGAGAGGACAGGCCCAAATCAAAACCCAAACCCTCCAGGAGTTAAAATTTTCAAAATGGGGCCCTGAGAACCTATCTCAAACGGCAGAGCCACAGTTCCCTGGAAAGGGGGACCGGTGGTTAAACCACTCTGGAACTGCAGCTCTGTGAGGGAAATAGGCAGGGGGGGTCTCCTAACAACCGTCAGCACCCTTCACAAAATGGCAGCTCCCAGAATCCTTTGGGGGGGAAGCCATGACGGTTTATGGTAGTATCACAGCGCTTTGAATGTACAGTGTGAAAGTGGATTTAGGAGGCCCCTTGAACCCAGCAAGCTGTGTCGTAATAAAGAGTTGGGAGGACATTCCTGGTCGGGATGCAAAATGGGACACGTTCCGCTGGCATTTGGAACGGCCGCCTCACCTTGCTTGTCTCCCGTCAACACCCAGATCTTGATGTTCGCCAGTGTGAGGAGGGCAATGGTCTCCGGGACGCCCTGCTGCAGTTTATCTTCGATGGCGGTGGCCCCCAGCAGCTGGAGGGAGACAGAAACAAAAGGCAAAGTTACCTGATGCCACAAAATGGGAGACCTCTGACTCCTGGGTTCAAATTTGGCCCATGAGGCAGCTCCTCACAAACCGCAGCCACCTGTTGGCATTTGCGACCTCTGGCAAACGGCAGGAACACACGCAGCGGCGAAGGAAAGATCAGGAGGTTAAAACGAGGGGCTCCTTTGGAAGCTCCCGGTAAAAAAAGGGCACTGATTTATTTAAAGCAGTCGATGCGGTTCCTTCCAGATATATTGCTGGACTCCCGGCTCCCATCATCCCCGCCCACTAGGCAAAGCTGTCAGAGGCTGATGGGAGTCCAGAGGGCTGTTCCTGTCAGGCTACCCCCTGATCTGAATTATTTGTAGGTGGGTTTTCAGGGTTAACCCTCCCAAAGGGTTATTTCAGCATACAATGGAAAAACCAACACGAATTTTAAAAAACTAAATTTTGTTTGTTTGTTTAAAAAAGGGTTATCTAAGGTATCTAACTGTTGGAGATGCAATAGGGATAATGCTTCTCTAAAACATGTTTGTTTATAAAACGGCTTTTACATTTTAGCGAAAAAATTCCCTCCAAAGAGGAGTGGATATGTAAAATGAGTGACTATACAGTGGTACCTTGGTTTACAACCATAATCCATTCCAGCCGCTCCCGGAGCTTGCGGGGCTGGGGACGGGGGAACCCCAGCCCCCAGAACAGGCTATCTGCAAGCCTTCGGAGTGTGGCGGGAACTCCCGCTGGGCTCCGAAGGCTTGCGGATAGCTGCCTAAAGCCTGGAGAGCGAGAGGGGTCGGTGCGCACCGACCCCTCTCGCTCTCCAGGCTTCAGCGAAAGCCTGCATTCGCTCCATAGGATGCACACGAATTTCCCCTTCATTTTTGGAGGGGAAAAGGTGCGTCCTATAGAGTGAAAAATACGGCAATTGAAAATAACTTGCAGGTGACAGATTGGCTTACGAATTTATATAAGTTAAGTGATGTTTAACATGTACAATTTTGAATTGAAAAGATATAAGGATGTTAATGAACTAAGTTAGGTTTATAAGAATTAGGACTTGGAAAGCCGTTATAAGGATATGCATGGAAATTCAACCAAGGGGAAGCGAGGAAGTCACTTAACAATGTTAATAATTGTAATTGTAATAAGGTTATGAATTATGTTTGTTTGTGTGCTTTATTCGTTTATAATTTTGTGAAAATTAATTTAAAAATTGGGGGGCGAAAGAGTGATGTTTGAATTGAGATACGAAAGAAAGTTAAGACAAGGAATGCAATGTTAAAATTTAATATACAGTGGTGCCCCGCAAGACGAAAGCCTCGCAAGACGAAAAACTCGCTAGACGAAAGAGTTTTCCGTTTTTTCAGTCGTTCCGCAAGACGAATTTCCCTATGGGCTTGCTTCGCAAGACGAAACGTCTTTCGAGTTCTTGCGAGTTTGTTTCCTTTTTCTTAAAGCCGCTAATAGCCGCTAAGCCGCTAATAGCCGTGCTTCGCAAGACGAAAAAACCGCAAGACGAAGAGACTCGCGGAACGGATTAATTTCATCTTGCGAGGCACCACTGTAATCAAGAAGAGATATCGGGTAGTGGTGGAGGCGAGTCAAGGGTGGGTGGTGGGACTATGTATGTAATTTTATTTATATTTTCTTTAGGTTTTTTCCTTTTGTCTTTTTTGTATCTTTTTGAATTGTTTAAAATAAAAATTCATTATTTCCCCCCAACAAACGGCTTTTAGATTTTAACACGCCCTGGCCCAACACAATACACCTACAGTTGCAATTTATGTAACACATGAACAACTAGATTTTATATTTTAAAATTGTAAATAAATAAATATAAAAATAATAATTTAAAAATAAATAAATCACACACCGCTCAAGCAATAAGAACAAGAACGAGCAACGTAAACAAATTACACTAGTAGGACTACAAGAAGTTTTGTAAGGAGAAATGTATGAAGTGTTGCAAAGTAGAGAAAGAACAGAAATATTAGTTATGAGTTAAATGTAATTGTGGAAGTAAGAAATGTATATTTAGTGAATAGACTGGAAAATTTTCAGATGGGATGGATGGAAGTCAAAAAAATGGTGTAAGAGATGAAAGTATGTTTAATTACTGTTAAAAATGATATAGAATCATAGAATCATAGAATCATAGAGTTGGAAGAGACCACAAGGGCCATCGAGTCCAACCCCCTGCCAAGCAGGAAACACCATCAGAGCACTCCTGACATATGGTTGTCAAGCCTCTGCTTAAAGACCTCCAAAGAAGGAGACTCCACCACACTCCTTGGCAGCAAATTCCACTGTCGAACAGCTCTTACTGTCAGGAAGTTCTTCCTAATGTTTAGGTGGAATCTTCTTTCTTGTAGTTTGGATCCATTGCTCCGTGTCCGCTTCTCTGGAGCAGCAGAAAACAACCTTTCTCCCTCCTCTATGTGACATCCTTTTATATATTTGAACATGGCTATCATATCACCCCTTAACCTCCTCTTCTCCAGGCTAAACATGCCCAGCTCTCTTAGCCGTTCCTCATAAGGCATCGTTTCCAGGCCTTTGAGCATTTTGGTTGCCCTCCTCTGGACACGTTCCAGTTTGTCAGTGTCCTCCTTGAACTGTGGTGCCCAGAACTGGACACAGTACTCCAGGTGAGGTCTGACCAGAGCAGAATACAGTGGCACTATTACTTCCCTTGATCTAGATGCTATACTCCTATTGATGAAGCCCAGAATTGCATTGGCTTTTTTAGCTGCCGCGTCACACTGTTGGCTCATGTCAAGTTTGTGGTCAACCAAGACTCCTAGATCCTTTTCACATGTACTGCTCTCAAGCCAGGTGTCCCCCATCTATGTCGGAAAACTAATAAAAAAATTATATGAAAAATAAAGAACAAGAACGAGCAACACAGAGGTGAAAAACACCAACCATCATGTCGTTCTCCACTTCCTCGTAAAGCCGGGCCAATCTCTCCTCGCGACCCTCGCCGGCGGAACTGGCTCGCTTCAGGCGCTCAGCCCAACCCGCGTAGTAGCTCTCTTCGAGGTCGCGATAGGCCAGCACCAACGTCCGCAGACCCTCGCCGGCATATTCCTGGGGGTGGAGAGGGGAAGAGAAGGAGGAGGTGGAAAAAGAAACCAGAAGCCTTTTTACTAGGCATTGTTGGGAGTGATATAAATAGAAATGAATGTAAGATTTTTTTTATATGCAATAACAGCAGTAAGAATATTATTGGCCCAAAAATGGAAGCAAGAAGAATTACCGACGATTGAAGAATGGAGGATGAAGTTAATGAACTATGCCGAACTAGATAAACTAACAGGAAGGATTCGAAACCGGCGAGACCAGAAATTCACGGAAGACTGGAGTAAATTTACGGACTATTTGAAAAGTATTTGTGAAGATCAGACGACGTTTGTAGGTTTGCAATAAGTTTTGTGAGGCGTATTATTGGAAGTATTGCAAAAATGGAGAAGGGGAAGGATGATTTGTTAAGAGATGTAAAGGCAATATCAAGTTAAGAAATGCATAACAAGTGGTTAAAACGGTGGATCATCAGAGGGGCTGATGGAAGTCCAAAAAGATTGTATAAGTGATAAGTTTTGTGGTACATTTTATAACTTACATGTTAAAATCAATAAAAATTATATTAAAAAAGAGAGAGGAGGAGGTAGAGAAGCCGGAAGCACTTTTTGCAGATCACCGTGGTTTGCCCCCAACTCAGTACAGTCATACCTCTTGTTACGCTTACTTCAGGTTAAATCTCTTCAGGTTGCGTCCTGCGGCGACCCGGAAGTACTGGAAAGGGTTACTTCCAGGTTTCGCCACTCACGCAAGCGCTCAAAATGACATCATGCGCATGCGCAGAAATGGCGAATTGCGACCTGCGCACATGCAGACGCGGGTTGCAATCTGTTCATGTTGTAATCGGGGCTCTGGAATGGATCCCCATTCACAACCAGAGGTACCACTGTACGATTCTATTAAATTGTCGCTTTTTTTTTTAAACGAAAGCATCCGAAAGGGGTTTAGAATGCAAGAATAGCAACACGAAACCAAACGTAAGAACAGCCTTTGAACAAGAACCTAAAAATGCCGATCCGCAGAGAATACGTCAAGAGGACAGCTCGCACCCCACCCCGTTAAAAGCAGGAGCAAGAAAACAGAGGACACACACACATTCCCAATCCCCCTTCAAATTAAGGCCCAAATGCCCAGGCCAAAAAGAAAAAGAAAAGAAAAAGGGTTGGCATCTAAAACGCCTCTATTCAAGTCGCCCAAAGTGGCAACCATCACTAGCCCCACAGAACGGCAGTCTTGCTTTTCACTCACCCCCTCTCTTGCTCCCCCCAAAACTACTTACATTCAGATGGTCAGTGGTGACGTTATACAGCTCCTGGTGTCCCGGGTGAAGCCTCTCCAGCAAAATGGTGTCTGCTCCTTTGCAGTACAGCCGGATCTGCCCCTCGTGGTTCCGTACTTATGGGGAGCAGGGAGGGGAGGCAAAGGGAGAGGAGACAAAAACCCCACAGATTTTAAGCACAAGCAGGTTGAAATTTATTTATTGCTGTTTTAGCTCGTTTTTCCTCCAATGAGCTAGAGGTGGAATATATGTAGTTTCAAGTTGAAAAAAAATGTTTAAAGACACCTGCTTCTTGGGAGAAAAGCAATGACAAACCTAGGCAGCATCTTAAAAAGCAAGAGACATCACCTTGCCCACAAAGGTCCGGATAGTTCAAGCTATGGTTTTCCCAGTAGTGATGTATGGAAGTGAGAGCTGGACCATAAAGAAGGCTGATCGCCGAAGAATTGATGCTTTTGCATTATGGTGCTGGAGGAGACTCTTGAGAGTCCCATGGACTGCAAGAAGATCAAACGCATCCATTCTGAAGGAAATCAGCCCTGAGTTCTCACTGGAAGGACAGATCCTGAAGCTGAGGCTCCAGTACTTTGGCCACCTCATGAGAAGAGAAGACTCCCTGGAAAAGACCCTGATGTTGGGAAAGATGGAGGGCACAAGGAGATGGGGACGACAGAGGACGAGATGGTTGGATAGTGTTCTCGAAGCTACCAGTATGAGTTTGACCAAACTGTGGGAGGCAGTGTAAGACAGGAGTGCTTGGCGTGCTCTGGTCCAGGGGATCACGAAGAGTTGGACATGACTAAATAACTAAACAACAACAAAAAACCTGAAACTTTCCTTTTTGGAATTCTAGGTGCCAAAATCCCAAAGGAGCAGAAAAGACTACTTATGTATGCGACTACGGCTGCACGGATGTTACTGGCCTAGAGATGGAAAGAAGATAAAGTCCCGACCAGAGAAGAAGTTAATGGACTATGATGAAATGGCTAAAACGACTGGAAGAGTCAGAAATCAGGAAGACCAAAATTTTAATAAGGAATGGGGGAAATTTTACAACTTATCTTAACGTTGTGAACAGTTAAAATTGTTAGTAGGATTGGAGTAACACTTGTAGCTTAAGGTTGAATTCTGGACATACTAGAAGAGGTAAAGGATTTGGAGTATCATAAAAGATGCAGGTGGAAATGATTAATAATAAGACCCACAAAGGGGAGGATGGAAGTCCAGGAGATTCCTTGGAATCTAGTTTTTATGTTGTATATGTGACTGTTAAATTTCAATCTGAAAAACCAAATCAATAAATTTCTGGGAAAGAAAGAAAAGAAATATATGCAGTTTCTTCCTCCTGCTGTATTTTATCCTCACAACCACCCTGTAAGGTAGTGCAAGCTGGATCGGGGGGAAAGAGCAATGAGACTGACTGGCCGAAGGTAGATAACTGAAATGAGTCACGGAATCATAGAACTGTAGAGCTGAAAGGGACCCTAAGGATCATCTAGTCCAACCCCTGCAATGCAGGAATATGCAGCTGTCCCATACGGGGATCAAACCTGCAACCTTGGCGTTATCAGCACCACGCTCTAACCTATTGAGCTATCCAGTGAGTCTACCCTCTCTCTGTGGCTGTAGACTGTTTTTAATCCTGAATTTCAAATTGTGGTAACCCGGACTTGCTGGAGAAGGGCGGGCGATAAAGTTAACCCATGCCTCCTGCTATGATTTATACTCACGCCAGCCTTGTGAGGTAGGATAGGCTGAAAGAAGATGGAGAGACACTAGTCCAGAGGTCGGCAACCTAAGGTCCATGGGCCGGAAGCAGCCAGTGAGGGTCGCTTAACCGGCCCGAGCCATCCAATTGGCGAGTCACTGTGCACTGCGCTAAACCAGTGCAGGGACTCTCTTCCGTGGCTCCAGAAATCGCTTCTGCGCATGCCCAGACACTGAAAATCGCTTCTGCGCAGGCGTCTGGGCCTGCGCAGAAGCAATTTCTGGAGCCATGGACATGCGCAGACGCAATTTCTGGCGTCTGGGCCTGCGCAGACGCAATTTCTGGCTCTATGGACATGCGCAAATGCAATTTCTGGCATCTGGGCATGCACAGAAGCAATTTCTGGCGCCGCAGACATGCTCAGATGCAATTTCTGGCGCCATGGACATGCGCAGACGCAATTTCTGGCGTCTGGGCCTGCGCAGAAGCAATTTCTGGCACCATGGACATGCGCAGACACAATTTCTGGCGTCTGGGCCTGCGCAGAAGCAATTTCTGGCGCCATGGACATGCGCAGACGCAATTTCTGGCGTCTGGGCCTGCGCAGAAGCAATTTCTGGCGCCGCGGACATGCGCAGACGCAATTTCTGGCATGTGGGCCTGCGCAGAAGCAATTTCCGGCACCGGAGACATGTGCAGGCGCAATTTCCAGCGTCGCACTGCGCTGGCCCAGCCCACGGAGGATCTCCGCAGGAGTGATCCAGCCCATGTCCGGTAAGCCTTGCTGACCTCTGGACTAGCTCAGGGTTTGGTAGCCACTCCCCTGGCCTCCCATCCCCATCTCCACCGGCGCCTCCCCCGTTCTCACCAATGACTGACATGCGCTTGCGGACGTTGTTGAAGTCCAAGATGGCGAGAAGCTGGTAGGTGACGGGCCGCCCCAGCTCCTGGATCACGATGGTCTTGGGGGTGCGTCCGCGGAAAACGAAGCCAAAGTTGCGGGAGGCGGTCACCAGGGCGCCCTCATCTGGGGACTGGGCTTTGTAAAACAGCTCCCCTGTTGGGGTAAATAGAGAGAAGAAAGAGAGAGAGGAATCTGAAACTGGCGCTGCAAAACGGCTGCATTTCCTCCTGAAATACAGTGGGCACTCAGGTTGCGAATGTGATCTGTGCGGGAGGCACGTTTGCAACCCGCAGCGCCGCGTGTGCGCATGCGCGGGTTGCAATTTGGTGCTTCTGCGCATGCGCAAAGCGCGATTTAGTGCTTCTGTGCATATGCCAAAACCCAGAAGTAACCCATTCCGGTCCTTCCGGGTTTCGGCGCGTCCGTAACCCGAAAATGCGCAACCTGAATCATCTGTAACCCAAGGTATTACTGTACGAGACCGCCATCAGCATTGGCATTCTGCGGGCTCCTGAAGTCACATCTCCTTCGCCCCTGAAGTTCAGGTTGTTGTTTTACCTGCTTTTTACTCGCTGGAATAGCTCAGTTGTTGGGTTAAAGCCCCACGCTGGGCTAGACGACCCTCGTGTCCCTTCCACCTCTACAATTCTATGATTAACCAATTTAATTGTTATGCTTCTTAAACCACTTCACTGCATGTTTTAGTTAAGGGTGGTTTTGGCGCACCCCTTATCTCTCTCCTGATCACTTGCCAATCAGCTGCTCAGCGGCTTCTTTTCAACACCCCCTTCCCTCTTGTTTGCCTTAGTGTCTTTTCCTTAGCTGGAGCAGTTTTTTGCTCCTCCTTTTCGTCTAACTTCTCTGCTCATTGCTTGTTTTAGTTTTCCTGTCTCCTCTCCTTGCAAGTTCGCTGTCTTTAACTCCCCCTCCCCCAGGCAGCCTCCTTTCTCGCTAGCGTGCCTTATCTCCCTCCCGATCGCTTGCCAATCAGCTGCTCAGCAGTTTGGTTCAACACCCCCTTCCCTCTTTCTAAAAAAAAAAAGGAACAATCTGCTTTTCGACCCTGGGCAATTCGGCTCCATTTCCCCTTACAGTGGTACCTTGGGTTACATCCGCTTCAGGTTACATACGTTTCAGGTTACAGACTCCGCTAACCCAGAAATAGTGCTTCAGGTTAAGAACTTTGTTTCAGGATGAGAAAAGAAATCGTGCTCCGGCGGCAGCAGGAGGCCCCATTAGCTAAAGTGGTGCTTCAGGTTAAGAACAGTTTCGGGTTAAGAACGGAATTCCGGAACTAATTAAGTACCGTATTTTTCGCTCTATAAGACACACCAGATCACAAGACGCACCTCGTTTTTGGAGGAGGAAAACAAGAAAAAAAAATTATGAATCTCAGAAGCCAGAACAGTAAGAGGGATCGCTGCGCAGTGAAAGCAGCAATCCCTCTTGCTGTTCTGGCTTCTGGGATAGCTGCACAGCCTGCATTCGCTCCATAAGACACACACACACATTTCCCCTTACTTTTTAGGAAGGAAAAAGTGAGTCTTATAGAGCAAAAAATACGGTACTTAACCCGAGGTACCACTGTACTTTTTAGGAGGAAAAAAGTGCGTCTTATGGAGCGGAAAATATGGTAGTTCTCCTTCAAGGAATAACATGCTGTAAACTTCAGAAGACTCTCCATCCCTGTAGCAGGACCAACACCTCCTCCTCTTTCCCCTGATTTTTTAAAAGACCCCGATCCCAACCTGGGCTCTTCTCCTCGGACATGACCGTGTGGCAGAGGGAAAGGAGGCGGAAGAACTCGTGTACATGAGGGTCACCGAGCTTGACCGCTTCCAGCAGCGCCGCGTCCCAGAAGGTGAACTTGGGGTCCGCCAGGGGATTGAAAGAGAAGTCCACTGGTTCCGTCTTCTGGGGGAGGCCGGGAGAGAGGAGGAGAAGAAAGGGTTACAGTGGTGGCCGGGTGAGCGTGGGGACTGGTAGGGTGGGAGGTCGGGAGCTCAACAGTAGGGGGCGCCAGAGGCAATGGCAGGTGGAACCAGCGAATGCAGTTTCATCCCAATTCTCCTGCTCCTGATCCCTGCTGAGTTCTGACATGATCAAAACTGAGTGGAAGGAGGGGGAAGATGCTGGGAGGCAGAAACACCTCCTGGACTGGATGTAAGAAGAAAGGTAGGCAGGTGAGGAGCTGGCAGAGAGCCGAGTGAAGCTGGTGGGGCACAGCCCCCATTTCCCAAATAGAGCAGCCTCCAGCGGCCAGCAATATCACCCAAGATAACAATTTGCCTATTTTCTGAGGCTATTATCGGATTGTTGTAATTGAAAACTAATAAACCTAATAAAAACTTGACGTTTTTTATCCCCAAAAAAGTTTTTGATTGAGTTTCCACTGAAATGAGGCTGCATTTTAATGGTTTAATGTTGTATTTTAATCTTGTTTCTTAAGCTGTATTTCAATCAATTGGTTTTATATTTGGTGTTAGCCACCCTGAGCCCGGTCTTGGCTGGGGAGGGCGGGGTATAAATATCTAAAAAATAAAATAAATAAAATAATAATAATGCCTGTTTTGACGAGGGCTAATGGAGGGCATATAAAAAGCCACCCTACATAAACTTTTCTTTGGGGGGGGGGGCGGGATTTGCAGCGAAGGTTTCATTTGGTCCACGTTTTTAAGTCAATGGGACCACATTTGTGCTTCCAGGACAAATATTCCGCTCGGGACACAAAAGCTCCTCCTTTTGAACGATGGATTTTCATCCTCCAGACGGGACATTGGGGAGTTTAAGATTACTTTTTTTAAATAGATTGTAAGCTCATCGGGGCAGGGACTTTGTCCTTTTACGCGCTGTGGAATGCCATGCATCCTAATGGGAGTATATAAATTAATTAGGTGACCATTATCACTGTTATTACAGTGGTGCCCCGCAAGACGAATGCCTTGCAAGACGGAAAACCCGCTAGACGAAAGGGTTTTCCGTTTTGGAGGTGCTTCGCAAAACGAATTTCCTATGGGCTTGCTTCGCAAGACGAAAATGTCTTGCGAGTTCCTGCGGGGTTTTTCCTTCCCCCTTTTCCCAAGCCGCTGCCGCTATCAGCTGATCCGCTGCCGTAACAGCTGATCGCTAAGCCGCTTATCAGCTGATCCGCTAAGCCGCTTAACAGCTGATCCGTTAAGCCACTAAGCCGCTTATCAGCTGATCCGCTAAGCCCGCTAAGCCGCTAATAGCGCTAATCCGCTAAACCGCTAATGGGCTTGCTTCGCAAGACGAAAAAACCGCAAGACGAAGAGACTCGCGGAACGGATTCTTTTCGTCTTGCGAGGCACCACTGTATTCCCGATAACAGGTGGCAGCTCTGTGGGTGGGTGTTTCTGCCACCACTTTCCTTCCCCCTCCCCTCCCCACCCCCCACTCCCCTTAATAAAAACCCCTTTCCCCGCTCCTTTCTGCCATCTATCTCGTCGCTGAGATTCTCCCACAGCTCCTACCTCTCCAAGCTCAGCCTTGTAACCCAGAACATCCAGGACATCACCTGCAAAACAGAGAAAAATAAAGAGCCAGGGTTACGACCCAGGAGGGCGAAAGAGAAAGGAGGTATTGACACACCATAGTAGGGTGCTACCATAGTAGAACACCATCGCTGTTCTGGCTTCAGCGATAGCTGCGCAGCCTGCATTCGCTCCATAAGACGCACACACATTTCCCCTTACTTTTTAGGAGGGAAAAAGTGCGTCTTATGGAGCGAAAAATACGGTAGTTGTTTATTGCCTTGACATCTGGTGGGAGGGCGTTCCACAGGGCAGGCGCCACTACAGAGAAGGCCCTCTGCCTGGTTCCCTGTAACCTCACTTCTCGCAGGGAGGGAACCGCCAGAAGGCCCTCGGCACTGGACCTCAGTGTCCGGGCTGAATGATGGGGGTGGAGACGCTCCTTCAGGTGTCCTGGACTGAGGCCGTTTAGGACGAGCCCCATCTGCCCCTCACTTCCCTCTACAGCATGTGCAGAAACTGCTTTCTTGACCATCGGGCCCATTATTGGTCTTGTCCGTTCAATCCGCTGGAATCTGTCTTCACATGCAGTGGAAGTCCTTAACTCACTGGGGTTTGAGACCCACTGGCTACCCTCGCCTGGTGCAGCCAGTCAGTTGAACAGTACAGTGGTACTTTGGTACTCAAACAGCTTGCCTCCCGAATAAATTGGCTCCCAAATGCCACAAACCCGGAAGTAAGTGTTCTGGTTTGTGAACATTTTTTGGAAGCTGAATGTCCGACGCGGATTCCGTTTGAGCGCAGGAAAGCTCCTGCAGCCAATCCATAGCCGCAGCTTGGTTTTCGAATGGTTTCGGGAGTCGAACGGACTCCCGGAAAGGATTAAGTTCAAAAACCAAGGTCCTACTGTAGTGAAGAAGAAGAAGAAGAGGAACAACCACCAATAACAGCAACTAATAATTTGAAAGAGAAGAAGAAGAAGAACCAATAACAGCAACTAATAATTTGAAAGAGAAGAAGAAGAAGAACCAACTAATACAGTGGTACCTCGGGTTAAGTACTTAATTCGTTCCGGAGGTCTGTATTTAACCTGAAACTGTTCCTAACCTGAAGCACCACTTTAGCTAATGGGGCCTCCCGCTGCTGCCGCGTCGCTGGAGCACAATTTCTGTTCTCATCCTGAAGCAAAGTTCTTAACCTGAGGTAATATTTCTGAGTTAGCGGAGTCTGTAACCTGAAGCGTATGTAACCCAAGGTACCACTGTAATTTGAAGAAGAACCAATAACAGCAACTAATAATTTGAAGAAGAACCAATAACAGCAACTAATAATTTGAAGAAGAAGAACCAATATCAGCAACTAATATTTTTTTTAAAAAAAACCCTAGTCATAATGACAGCAAAACTGGTTTCGAACCCGGCTTTGCCTGCATTTTGGGCCACCTGGCTTACCGTAGCTGCGCCCGTTCACCGAGCACTTGCTGAAGACCATGATGTTCTGGGTGAGGGTGCCCGTCTTGTCAGAGAAGATGTACTCCACCTGCCCCAGCTCCTCATTGAGGGTCGTGGTCCGGGCCTCGGCCGGCGTGCACCTCTTCACGCAATACATCTTCTTATCCCAGTTGATGAAGTAGCTGTGCCCAAGGCGAATCACCTCCACGCTGCGCAGACACGGGAGGAGGAAGAGGTTAGCTCAGGGATAGAAACCAGCCCACTGCACCAAGGTAAAATTCATTCCCCCGCTCTCCCTTTCTGCCTCTGGCCCAGACTACCACTGGAACATGGCCCTCAAAAACATGCCCAGAAAGGCCCTCGAGTTGGAAAGGGTTCCTTGCCTCTGGATTGGGCCCAGGGCCTGGAGAGATCCAGCAAATGCCCCCTGGCCTGCCTGGAGGCTCCCCAAAACCACAGATTTACAGACATGCGGGTGTAAAAGCTGCTCTGAGCCCACAAGATAGAAGTCTGAAGAATGAACGAAGAAACAAAGAGAAGCCCCGAGAAATGAGAGGAAGATCTCGGAATCGGCCAGGCCTGAAACGCTATCTCCTACCAGGGTTTGGGGAAGGGGTGGAAAGATAGCAGACTATACCTTATAGAAATACAGAAAGTTGCCTCATATTGAGTCAGGTCATTTGGTCCATCTAACTTAGTACAGGCCACTCCCCATTAAAAAAGGTAAATGGACCCCTGACCATTAGGTCCAGTCGTGGCCGACTCTGGGGTTGCGGCGCTCATCTCGCTTTATTGGCCAAGGGAGCCGGCGGACAGCTTCCGGGTCATGTGGCCAGCATGACTAAGCCGCTTCTGGCAAACCAGAGCAGCGCACGGAAACGCCGTTTACCTTCCCGCCGGAGTGGTACCTATTTATCTACTTGCACTTTGAGGTGCTTTCGAACTGCTAGGTTGGCAGGAGCAGGGACCAAGCAACGGGAGCTCACCCCTTTGCAGGGATTCGAACCGCCGACCTTCTGATCGGCAAGCCCAAGAGGCTCAGTGGTTTGGACCACAGCGCCACCCGCGTCCCTACTCCCCATTTACAAGTGACATTTTTGCATGCAACTGTTCACACTTGTAGTACCAGGAACCTGGAAATGGGGAGCGCCCTGGAGAGCCCAACTGGCTTGCAAGGAAGGTAAAGGACCCCCTGATGGTAAAGTCCAGTCAAAGGCGGGATCGCGGCGCTCATCTTGCTTCAGGCAGAGGGAGCCAGCGTTTGTCCACAGACAGCTTAACAGGTCATGTGGCCAGCATGACTAAACCACTTCTGGTGCAACAGAACACCGTGACGGAAACCAGAGCATACAGAAACGTCGTTTACCTTCCTGCCGCAGCCGTACCTATTTATCTACTTGCACTGGCGTGCTTTCAAACTGCTAGGTTGGCAGGAGCAGGGACTGAGCAATGGGAGCTTACTCCGTCGCAGGGATTCGAACCGCCGACCTTCTGATCGGCAAGCCCAAGAGGCTCAGTGGTTTGGACCACAGCGCCACCCGCATGCCCGGCTTGTGAGCAGACCCTCCACAGAGTCCAATGGTCTTCTCGCGAGCTGGAGGCCTCACTGCTTAACACATGAGCAAGCCCCACTGCTCTCCAGGCTTGTGCGAGCCAGAGGGGCAGCGGAGGTCTTCTTGACCAGCTCAGCTGATGGGCAGGGAAGCTGCTTCCCTGTGTGTCAGCTGTGCAAGCTGGAGATGTCACTGGGATTGAACCCGGATCCTTTGGCAAGCAAAGCAGTTGCTCTATTACTGAACTATGGCCTTCTCTTAAAAATAATTGCTTGTGCAACTGAACTAAGCTACCTTATATCTATCTATATTTATCTATCCAGGTCAGCACTGTCAGCACTGACCTGTCTCTCCAGGTTTTAAGGCAGGAGATGCTCTCATCTGTACCTGGGAGATGCCAGGATTTGAACCTGGAACCTTCTGCATGCTGTAACCACTAAGCTACATCCCTTATGCAGCTCACAGAATGCTATGGAACGGGACATCCCACTCACCCCCTACCTCACCGTAAGCTGCAAGGACCCAAGCAAAGCTGGAAGAGGATTTCGGGTGGCGGCGCATGCTCTTACCTGGGGGCTAAGGGTGTGAGAGAGAAAGAGAAATTCGTGCTGAAGAATTCAAAAGAAAAAGAGAAATTAAACCAACCAAAAAAAGAACAGACACAGATAGCAGGGTTGCAGGCAGAAAGGCAGGGAGAAAATAAGATGAAACCAAAAAATAGGAATGTAGCAGTGCAGCCATCAGGACATACTAAACGTGGATGACAGAGGCATCGTCAGGAGAAGGTGGGAGAGATTATCAGATCATTCCTGATAATAGCATCAGATGCCCGCTTCCTAAAATTCTGCCTGCTCACCTCTTTTAGAATCAAAGCTGGAAGGGGACCCGAGGGTCATCTAGTCCAACCCCCTGCAATGCAGGAATCTCAACACGCAGTCCCCCATCCAACTTGAAACCACACCGGACTCTGCTTAGCTTTGCAAAGGTGCAAGCAGTTTCATCGCTGCACCACCAGGAGGATCCCAACTCTCAATCCCGTCTCCTCCTGAAGTTATAGGTTGGTTTCGAGGGAGCTCAGGGGTCTGAACACTGCCTGCCTAAAGACTCTGGGACGAGATCAAGGATTCAGGGACAGCAGCTAATAAGCAAAAGCTGCAGTTGCAATCTCAGCCATGAACTCATTGGAGGTGAAGGAGTAGGTAAGTCACTCGACCTCAACCTTCACCATCTGTAATAGGGGTGTAATAAATGCTGGCATGTCTTACAGGGGTTGATGAAAGGATTGTTGACCTGTATTACGTAGGGGCTGTGCCTGAAAGAAGCTGCAGAAGGATCAGTCTCACTGACCCTTTCTTTCTGCAAGGAGGAGAATGGGAGATTTCACTTTCGTTTTAGACGCCTTGCAGTTTGTCATGACATCCAAAACTGGGCAGAATACTGTCAGTTGAAACTACGCGCAGCAGAAGCAAGCTACCTCCAAACCCTAGTATATGAAGCTGGCTTGTTTTCCCTAACCATGGTTAACATTAACCATGGCTAAGATTAACCATGGTTAACCACAGGCCCTTTTTAACAAGTCAAGGCAACCATACGTCAGGCCTTTACCCCGTTAATATATTAAAGGTAAAGGTAAAGGGACCCCTGACCATTAGGTCCAGTCGTGACCGACTCTGGGGTTGCGGCGCTCATCTCGCTTTACTGGCCGAGGGAGCCAGTGTACAGCTTCTGGGTCATGTGGCCAGCATGACTAAGCCGCTTCTGGCGAACCAGAGCAGCGCACGGAAATGCCGTTTACCTTCCCACTGGAGCGGTACCTATTTATCTACTTGCACTTTGATGTGCTTTCGAACTGCTAGGTTGACAGGAGCAGGGACTAAGCAACAGGAGCTGACCCCGTTTCGGGGATTCGAACTGCCGACCTTCTGATCTGCAAGTCCTAGGCTCTGTGGTTTAACCCACAGCACCACCCGCGTTTATATATTACTACCCCCTTATTGGAGAACTAAGCTACTGAGAATATTGAAAGGCATATCCCATAATTGCTAGGAATTATTAAAGGTGACAAAAATGGGGGGGGGGGAGAGATGAGAGCGCCCCAAAATACCTGACGTAGAGGGAGATGGGGACGACTGTGTTCAGGATGATGATGTAGGACCAGAAGGAGAGGAAGCCAGAGAAAAAGGCACTGTCGACTGCCTCGTCCCAGGGCAGGTAGATCTGGAAGCAGGCGCCCACCTCGTACTCCCAGATGGAGTTGCCAATGGCCAGGATGACGCCCATGCACACGAGAAAGCCGAAGATCTGCCGGGGGAAGGCGCACAGAGTAATAAAAGCAGACAAAGAAAACACACAAAGAGAGGGCAGGATTTTCTGTGCTCAGGTGGAACAGGAGGGGAGAAACCTTGCTTAAAAACCGTGGAGAGAAGGGAGCCCTCCTGTGGCGCAACGGGTCAGTGCACCCGGCTGTTAACCAAAAGGTTGGTGGTTCAAACCCAACCAGGGACGGCTGCAGGCAGAATTCCTGCATCGCAGGGGGGTTTATCAGGGATAGGCAACGTGTAGCCCATGGGCCGGAGCCACCCGCGAGCTGCCCCCAAACCGAGCCACCCGCTCAGCAAGTTCCCCACACGCTGCACGTCGGTGTAGCGACGCAGGGACTCACCAAGCAGTGCCGGAAATCACGTCTGCGCATGCACAGATACTGGAAATTGCGTCTGCGCATGCACAGATACTGGAAATTGCGTCTGCGCATGCACAGATACTGGAAATTGCGTCTGCGCATGTCCAGACGCCGAAAATCGCTTCTGCACAGGTGTGATTTCCGGTGTCTGGGCATGCGCAGAAGCAATTTCCAGCGCCGCGGACACGTGCAGATGCGATTTCCGGCATCGCACTGCACCAGTCCGGCCCACGGGCAATCTCCATAGGAGAGATTCGGCCCATGGCCAGTAAACCTTGCTGACCCCTGGTCTAGATGACCCTTGGAGGGTCCCATCCAACTCTAGAATTCTAGGAAGGGAGGGAGAGAGAAGGAAGCTTTACGTACCCAAAGCACCAAGGTGTTCATCAAGCGGTCAATGCTCGTTCTCTTGAATTTCGTTCGGCCGCTGTTCTGCATCAGTTTGGTGTCTGGGCCTGTAGGAGCCAGAGAAATAAACATACAGGAGGAACGTGATGTAATTTACAGTGGTACCTCGGGTTAAGAACTTAATTCATTCCAGAAGTCTGTTTTTAACCCGAAAACGTTCTTAACCTGAGGCGCGCTTTAGTTAATGGGGCCTCCAGCTGCCACCGCGCCGTGCGATTTCTGTTCTCACCCTGAGGTAAAGTTCTTAATCCGAGGTACTACTTCCGGGTTAGCGGAGTCTGTAACCCAAAGTGTTTGTAACCCAAGGTGTTTGTAACCCGAGGTACCACTGCAACGTGACTCCAGCATTTAAAACATTTGCGCTGGCTGCCTATCTACTCCTGAGCCAGGCCCCAGGTCCTTGTCTTACGTTATGAAGCCCCAAACAAATTAAATTCCAAGGTACTGCAGTTACTGCTTTGAGGACTTGCACCCGTAACAATGTAGATTTCCTGCATTGGCCTAGATCAGGCATGTCCAACTATCTTTTTTAGGGGAAGAGACCACGGTTGTTGAGCATTTTCTCCCTCTTTCCTTTCCTTTTTTTTGGGGGGGTGGGGGTGGGGGAGCTAACAATCGCTTTCCATCTCCACCAAGCTAAGCAGTTGGCTCCTTACCTCTCTCGCCCTGACCAAGCCACTGTGATCCACGCGACGGTCACCTCCAGACTGGATTATTGTCACTCGCTCTACGTGGGGCTGCCCTTGAGACTGACCCAGAAACTCCAGCGGGTGCAGAATGCTGCGGCGAGACTCCTTACGGGGTCTTCGCTGTGAGATCACATTCACCCGGTGCTATACCAGCTGCACTGGCTCCCGGTGGAGTACAGGATCAGGTTTAAGGTGCTGGTTTTAACCTTTAAAGCCCTATATGGCCTAGGACCCTCGTACCTACGGGACCGCCTCTCCTGGTATGCCCCACAGAGAAACTTACGGTCTTCAAATAAAAACATCTTGAAGGTCCCAGGCCACAGGGAAGTTAGGCTGGCCTCAACTAGAGCCAGGGCCTTTTCGGCTGTGGCTCCGATCTGGTGGAACACTCTGTCACAAGAGACCAGGGCCCTGCGGGACTTGACATCTTTCCGCAGGGCCTGCAAGACAGAGCTGTTCCACCAGGCCTTTGGCCAGGGCACAGCCTGACTCCCTGCCTCGGCAATCTTCACGGAGCTCTGGCCCAATGGTTGCCAGTGGCTTGATTTGAATTAATTTTATAATGAATGATTTTAGAGTGTTGTTTGTGCTGTACTTTTGTACTGTTTTATTGTTGTTAGCCGCCCTGAGCCCGGCTTTGGCTGGGGAGGGCAGGATATAAATAAAATTTATTATTATTATTATATTTATTATTATTATTATTATTATTATTATTAGGGTCAACCAGGAACATCCCGCGATTGACCGGTTGGACTTGCCTGGCCTAGATGACCCTTGTGGCTCCTTTTCAACTCTCCAATTTTATGGTTCCATGAAATGAAATGTAATAAATAGGTCAAGGGTTGGGGGGGCACTGACTTCCCCCCATTGTTGTGACCTTGTGAAACAATTCTTCCTCTTTTCAACCAGATCCTGACAGAGCTTCAGGAAGCCATGAGAGATCAGGAGAGGGAGGGACGATAAGCTCCCTCCCTTTTTCCTTGCGTGTGTGCTGAGCCCGGCGGTAACCCATGAAACGCGGTCCAGGACCGGACCAGAATCCGAAGGTTCCCCTGGGAGTCAGTCCGACAGGGCCAAGGCAGGAAACCAGGCAAGAACAGGTACAGGATCTCAGGCAGGATCTAGCATACAGCCATGTTGCTCCCACAACCTGGGGCGGGGTCCGACAGCCTTTTATCTTTGTCGGGGTAACGGCCGGTCCTGATCCCCCAGCGACTCACCTCCCTGTCTCGCCCAAAGGCGAGCACTCCTCCTGCGAGTACTCAGGTCTCTCCTTCTCTCAGACCTCAGTCTCTGCAGCTCGGGAGACGTCGGTGGGTTACTAGACCCAGGGGCCGCCTCAGCCTCCCCTGACCCAACCGGTAGGGCCCAGCTGGAGGCAACGAGGTCATCCCCGCCTCTGGAGCCAGGGCAGGCTCAGGCCCCTGACTCGGCCCAGCTGGTGCTTGTTGCAGGGGAACCTGTGCAGACTGGGACTCTTCAGGTTCAGGCCCCAGACTTGGTTCAGATGATGCCTGAGGCAAAGGATGCCTGTGCAGACTGAGACTCCTCTGGTTCCGAGTCTGAGCCCGAGTCCCAGGCCATCACAGCGTGTCGGGTCTTTCCAGATTGTGCACCGAAGGGCAGGCTGGTTTTGGGGTGGGGAGGCAAGGTGCTCTGGATGAGGCTCCTTGGCTGAAGAGCAGGGTATCAACCGCTTTAAGGAAAACTGAAATAAGCTGGAAATAAGCTCACGCACCTGCGAAGATGACAAGGCCAAAACACCACTCCGTATTCCGGAGGACGCAGCCACGAAGCAGCATGTTCTGGTTGCTCAAGGAGTGCTTGCTGTCCTTCCAGTAAAGCGTCCCGCTGAACTTGTCCAGCTTATTGTTGGGCGGCTCGCAGATCACCTCCCCTGAAGTCGAAAGGCATCAATTCAGAACAAATTCCCCAGTCGGAAGTACCTTGCATTTCCTCCAAGCTAGGAAATTTTGCTGGGTGCAGCGAGCAGAGGCTGGAGGTGCCCACTGGGTGGCAGGCAGGGAGCCCAACAGCAGGTGGCGCCAGAGCCAATGAGAGACTAAGAGGAAGAGGAAGCTCAGCTATTCCTGGTACACCTAAACGGCCTCGGTCCAGTATATCTGAAGGAGCGTCTCCACCCGCATCGTTCAGCCCGGACACTGAGGCCCAGCTCCGAGGGCCTTCTGGCAGTTTCCTGACCGCGAGAAGTGAGGTTACAGGGAACCAGGCAGAGGGCCTTCTCGGTGGTGGCGCCCGCCCTGTGGAACGCCCTCCCATCAGATGTCAAGGAAATAAACAACTATCTGACTTTTAGAAGACATCTGAAGGCAGCCCTGTTTAGGGAAGCTTTTAATGTTTGAAGTTTTATCGTGATTTTAATATTCTGTTGGGAGCTGCCCAGAGTGGCTGGGGAAACCCAGCTGGATGGGCGGGGTATAAATTAATTAATTCATTATTATTAATTATCATCATCATCATCATCATCATTGTTATTTTCACCATCACCTTGCCCTCAGTCTCTTTTCCAATTCAACGAAACTTCATATCTGGAAGATCCTCGGGGCAGAGACTTATCTGGTTGGAGTTTTATTGAGGATGCTCCCCTTGCCCTCCACCTGTTCCCTCAGCATTTTATAATGTAAGCTACCTGGGGCAGGGACCCGGCCCTTTGCAACCTGCAAAGCACTGGTGGCACCAGGCAAACCAGAGGTGGGGAGCGTTTCTCAGCCTCAAGAGACGAAGGACAGTCGGCCCAGGCCGGGGAAAACACACGCAAGGAGGGAGGGGGTGTCCCGAGGGCCAGTTAGGAAAACCTGAATGCTCTGTGTCGCATGCAAAACTACGCTCCTCCCCCCCCACTCACCATCAAAGTGCGCAAGCTTGCTGGTGTCACTCAGCTCCGACGTCACTGGGATGGCCTGACGGACCTTCATGTTGGTCTCCCTGGAGGCAAAAGCAGCATTAAGCATGGAGGGGAGGCAAGGAGCAGGCCCAGGCGCCTAGGTCCTGGATCCCTGTCCAGGGGGGCAGTCCTCGCACTCAAGCCTACCCCCAATGAAAAGAGGCGAAGTAAGAACTGGATCAGGATGAAGGGATCCAAGATGCACAGCGTCCTGCTCCTCACAGGTTGAATCCTGATTGAGGTTGAATCCTGACAAGACAGAAGTACTGTTTTTGGGGACAGGAGATGGGCAGGTGTGGAGGACTCCCTGGTCCTGAATGGGGTAACTGTGCCCCTGAAGGACCAGGTGCGCAGCCTGGGAGTCATTCTGGACTCACAGCTGTCCATGGAGGCACAGGTCAATTCTGTGTCCAGGGCAGCTGTTATCAGCTCCATCTGGTACGCAGGATGAGACCCTATCTGCCCGCGGACTGTCTCGCCAGAGTGGTGCATGCTCTGGTTATCTCCCGCTTGGACTACTGCAATGCGCTCTACATGGGGCTACCTTTGAAGGTGACCCGGAAACTACAACTAATCCAGAATGCAGCAGCTGGACTGGTGACTGGGAGCGGCCGCCGAGACCATATAACACCGGTCTTGAAAGACCTACATTGGCTCCCAGTACGTTTCCGAGCACAATTCAAAGTGTTGGTGCTGACCTTTCAAGCCCTAAACGACCTCGGTCAAGTATACCTGAAGGAGCGTCTCCACCCCCATCGTTCTGCCCGGACACTGAGGTCCAGGGCCGAGGGTCTTCTGGCGGTTCCCTCATTGCGAGAAGCCAAGTTACAGGGAACCAAGCAGAGGGCCTTCGCGGTAGTGGCATCCGCCCTGTGGAACGCCCTCCCACCAGATGTCAAAGAGAAAAGTAACTACCAAACTTTTAGAAGACATCTGAAGGCAGCCCTGTTTAGGGAAGCTTTTACTGTTTTATAGGTTATTGTATTTAATGTTTTGTTGGAAGCCGCCCAGAAAGGCCAAAAGGCAGGCAGGAAAGCCTACAGCCAAGTGCCAGCTGGTTTACCTACCTCCCCCATCAGCAACTTACATTCAGATAGACTGTGACCGAACAGGGAGGCTCCACCGAGCTCGCTTGCCATTTGTTTGCTGATTTAAAAACCGCTTGATGGGCAAATTTTTAAAATGTTTTGATTGAAAGGCTGAGGTTCCATTTTGCTGTCGACAGCATTTTATAGAACGTAGAAATTCTCTATTCTTTTCTAATATATATTTGGACATGTTATAACCGTGAAGAGCCTTGTTTAAACGTAAGCAGTTCATAATGAATGAAATGAACTAGGTAAGCAGTTCGGATCGCCTTGGAATAAAAATAGCTGACATGCCAAAAACAGCCACCCTATAGAACTCCCTGCCTTTTGACAAAAGCCAGGCACCTTCACTAAAAACATTTTTATTTTAGCAAGTCTATCCAGACATGTGGAACGCTGACATGTGCTTCAATCTGGTTTTCAGCTTATCGGTTTAAATTATTTTTTGGAGGTTTCAAATTGTTGCTTTTAACTGTTTTCTTACCGATAATGTCGTCGTTCTATTCCTCTTGTAAACTGCTTTGGGGTTTTGTTTTTACAATTACAGTGGTGCCCCGCAAGACGAATGCCTCGCAAGACGGAAAACCCGCTAGACGAAAGGGTTTTCCGTTTTTGAGTTGCTTCACAGGACAAATTTCCCTATGGGCTTGCTTCGCAAGACGAAAATGTCTTGCGAGTCTTGAGATATTTTTTTCGCTCCCCCCCCCCGTTTTCTAAGCCGCTAAGCCGCTAATAGCCTTTTAGCAGCTAAGCCGCTAAGCCTTTAATAGCCGCTAAACCGCTAATAGCGCTAATCCGCTAAGCCGCTAATAGGGTTGCTTCACAAGACGAAAAAACCGCTAGATGAAGACACTCGCGGAACGGATTAATTTCGTCTTGCGAGGCACCACTGTAAGCAGTATATTGATTTTATGGGGGGGGGAATAATAGAGTATCATTTTATTCATTCAGTTCGTGCATATCCCGCCTTTTCTTCCAAGGAACTCAAGGTGGTAGGAATCATAGAATTGTGGAGTTGGAAGGGACCCCTAGAGTCATCTAGTCTGACCCCTCTGCAATGAATGAATCTCAAATAGAAAACATTTTACTATGTTTTATATGCGCTGTAAAGCTGCCCGAAGTGGCTGGGGAAACCCAGCCAGATGAGCAGAGTATAAATAAAATATACTAAGTTTTAATTTATATATTTTTTAACTGTTGCTAAATCTGTATTGTCCCTGCTATACCTAATTGCAAATTCAAATGTATCCCTATCGTGTTTTATGACTTCCTTGATATTGTACGTGGGCTGGAACTGGTCTGTGACCGAAATAATAATATTCATTCAAATAAAATATAAAATATAAAATAACTAAAGCATCCAGGACGTATAGCCAACCAATCTCTCCCTGGTATATACGGTTTTCCCTCCTCCCAATTTTATCCTCGCGACAACCCTGTGAGGTGGGGTTAGGCTGAGAGGCTGCGACTGGCCCAAGCGACCTTCGGGGCTCAGCGGGGATTTGAACCCTGGTCTCTTCCAGGTCCCAGTCTGGCACCTTAACCACTATACCATGCTAGCAGTCCCAGCCCAACGGAGACCCCCATCCAAATGAGCAGACACCTGCTTCAATGCGTAAACCCAATAGCGCAAGGCTCACTTTCCGAGACGGCCCCCTCAACTGCCTCAACTGCTGAGGGAAAAGCATGGAAAATGGGGTCAGCACTCACCCGTCCAGCTCTGCCGTTTCGATGTAGCAAAGTCCGTGAGGTTCGCTGCTGGACAGGAGGAGCAAGTCAGCCTGGGGGGAGAAGAGGAGGAAAGCGGCTAAAGCAGCAAATATCAGCCACAGAGGCTGTGCCTGAATTCACACAAACGTGCAGACTGCACCCTTTATATTCCTAATCTTCTCAAAGAGTATAGCGCACCACACTGGTATTGGCAAGGGGGGGGAGAGACGTCAAATGCATTTAATATGTTGTCAAGTGCAATTTTCCAAAGTGACACCAGATGGCGACGGTGAGCTATGCCAAATTGAATGTATTTTTCAAAACGTTTTTTTAAAAAAGAATTTCCACAGCATTTTTTTATATGTGTGTAGATTCCACCTAAGAGTCTCATGTTCCACTGACTGAGCTATCCATGGTACTATATAGTATAGTACAGTACAGTACAGTATAGTATAGTACAGGGGTCAGCAAACTTTTTCAGCAGGTGGCCGGTCCACCGTCCCTTAGACCATGTGGTGGGCCGGACTATATTTTGGGGGGGAAATATGAATGAATTCCTATGCCCCACAAATAACCCAGAGATGCATTTTAAACAAAAACACACATTCTACTCATGTGAAAACACGCTGATTCCCGGACCGTCCACAGGCCAGATTTAGAAGGCAATTGGGCCGGATCCAGCCCCCAGGCCTTAGTTTGCCTACCCATGGTATAGTATAAAAATAATTTCTCTTTTTTGCAGACTATGGATAAATGTATTTTCAAAACAAGAGCAAGAGCATTGGCTATTCTACAGTTGCTGTGATCAGGGATTTTCAACTCTGACAAACAATTTTGTTATTTATACCCCGCCCATCTGCCTCAGTTGCCCCAGCCATGGGAAGATCAGAAAAGAGAAAGGTTTCTTTGTGTGGATGAGGAAATGAGTGTTGTTTGTCTCAAATTAGACCTAATTTACATTAGATTATCCGGCAAAAGCAAGCTCACACCTCTCATTGAGTTTGTATACATACTTAAGGTACGTATGTAAGAGGATCATTTAGAATTATATTTTGGGAATGAGTCATGTTCTTAGGTGGCCGTGTAGTTTTATACTTTCGGGACGTCCTACGATCATATTATAAAGTTGTTGTGTTCCACGTTACAAATCAACCACTGCTAGCAGTTGTTTGTTTTGCTCTTTGCTTCACAGTGTATTTCTCATTGATTAAAAAATGGTGTGGCACAAGCAAATTCTTACTATGAGTGTGTGGCCCAGAAGAAAAAGTTTGAGAACCACTGTCCTAATCTCTCAGTGCAGTGGTACCTCGGGTTAAGCTAATGGGGCCTCCTGCTGCTGCCACGCCGCCAGAGCACAATTTCTGTTCTCATCCTGAAGCAAAGTTCTTTACCTGAAGCACTATTTCTGGGTTAGCGGAGTCTGCACCTGAAGCGTATGTAACCTGAAGCGTATTTAACCTGAGGTACCACTGTATAGGGACCACATAGGCTATGTTATACTTTAGGAACACAGAAAGCTGCCTTATACTGAGTCAGACCATTGGTCCATTTAGTTCAGTATTGTCTACACTGACTGGCAGAAGCTCTCTAGGATTTCAGGCAGGGAACAGTTCCCAGCCATGCTCAGAGATGCCACTGGGGACTGAACCTTCGGCACGCAGAGCAGGTGCTATATAGTCCTTTCCCTGAAAAGAAACTAAGGTTCCAGTCCTCATGGTTCCGTGCAAAGGTGTGATTTAAGAGGAACATAAGCAATAGGAATATAAGCAAGAGCCTTATAAGGGACGCAGGTGGCACTGTGGGTTAAACCACAGAGCCTAGGGCTTGCCGATCAGGTTGGCGGTTCGAATCCCCGTGACGGGGTGAGCTCCCGTTGCTCGGTCCCTGCTCCTGCCAACCTGGCAGTTTGAAAGCACCTCAAAGTGCAAGTAGATAAATAGGTACCACTCCAGCGGGAAGGTAAATGGCGTTTCTGTGCGCTGCTCTGGTTCACCAGAAGCGGCTTAGTCATGCTGGCCACATGACCCGGAAGCTGTACGCCAGCTCCCTTGGCCAATAAAGTGAGATGAGCGCTGCAACCCCAGAGTCGGTCACGACTGGACCTAATGGTCAGGGGTCCCTTTACCTTTACCTTGCCTTAGTGCAAGTCAGTCCATCCATCTCAGTATTGTCTACACTGACCGGCAGCAGCTCTCCAGGCAGGGAGAGTTCCCACACCAACCTGGAGAGGCCAGGGACTGAACCTGGGACCTTCTGCACGCAAGTCAGGTGCCCCAACATGGCTCACCAGACCTTTCCTTCATTCCCAGACTTGCAGGTACTGGTGGGTCTCACTCAGCTTAAGTGGGGCAAACAGCACTGCGGGGCTGGTCTAGGACTCACCGCCACAAACTGGTTGTTCTCCAACTTTATGATGTCACCAACGCGAACATTCATCCACTGTTCCTGACGGAGGCTGTAAGGACCAGGTGTGGGGAAGATTTGGGGAGAGGGGGTTGGCAGTGGAGAAAAAGGAGGTGTGTCAAATGAAAACAGGCAGACAAGCCCAACCCCATCACTTAAGGTATATTTACTTCGATCAGGTGTGGGGAACCTCTGGCCCGCCAGGTGTGGCTGAACTACAACTCCCATCAGCCCCAGCCAACGCGGCCTTTTTTTTTTAATGCTTTTTATTGATTTTCCAAAACAAGAATAAATAAAATATATACTCTTACATTCAACATTATTGTGTCTTCTTATTTACCATCACGCCCGGACTTCCCTCCATCGGTTTTCATAATTAACATCCACTCTTACAGATTCTTATTTACATTCTGTCCATATCACAAGATTTATATTAGCCCTGCTACAGTCTTTAAGCTTCTACAATTATTCCTTATACATTCAACGAATTTACTCCATTCCTCTTCGAACTTGGTTACTTTTTGGTTCCGAATCTTATAAGTCATGTTCGCCAATTCTATGTATTCAAACATTTTCGTCTGCCACTCCATTAAAGTTGGAATTTCCGCCCCATCCAACACGGTCAATGGCCAGGGATGATGGGAGTTGCAGTCCAGTATTCCCAACACTTGTTTTAACTCGAGGATGGGGAACCACCAATCACAGGCTCCGGCTCTAACAATCACAGGCTCCGTCTCCACCAATCACAGGCTCCAGCTCTAACAATCACAGGCTTCTCCTCCACCAATCACAGGCTCCTGCTCCACCAATAACGCGCTCCAGCTCCACCAATCACACGCTCCAGCTGCTCCTACTGTTGGGCTCCCTGCCTTCTATCTATCACTCTTGTAATGGATTTAGGGGTTGCTCGTGCGGATGTTGCCGCCACTCCTGGCTAGGTTACCTGGTTAAACCCTTTCTGACTGAACAGCCTCCAGCATCGTGACTGCCTCAGTCGCTGGCAGAATCCGTCAGTGGGCGTTTCTTAAACTTCTTCCAGCACAAAAGTTCTTTGATGCCTAGTCTCCGCCTAGACTCCCTGAGCGGAAGCGTTCTGCGCAGGGAGGGTGTGGGCAGCGGAGGACCCGTACTCTCTCCGCTGGTCTCCGGCGAGGAGTCTTGGAGCCTCCTCTCCGATTCCCTCATCTGCCCCCCTTCTCTACTGGTGTTACGCTGATTTCCTTCCCCAGCGGACGGGCTGCCTCTCTCCCTACTGGGACCCTCTCCTCCATCCCTCTGGAGCCTTCCCTCCGCCTCTACCTCCGATGGCAGTTCCCTGACAACTCTCAATGGCCACCAACCACCCTGGGGTGTGTGTGTGACCCCCCACAGCCCTCCAAATTTTGCTGGGCTCAAACTCACATCCTCCTCCTTGATCACTGGCCATGCTGGGTGGCTGAAGCGGGTGTTTTGAGTCCAGGCGTATCCAGAGGGCCACAGGATTCCCATCACCCATTGCTGGCCTGGCGGATTTCCCACCCCTCGCCCAGAAATCCACCACAACAACCACCACCGATCCGCAGTTGCCGTGGTAATACTCACATCCCATTGATCAGCACCTGAGACTGGCGATTGTTCACCTGGTTGTCACTCTTGTGGCGAAACTGCAGAGAGACAGCAAGATCGCAGAATCTTAAGAGTCGGAAGGGACCCAAGGGTCATCTAGCCCAACCCCGCGATGCAGAATGAAAGGAAGGTCCCCCGGCACAATCGAGGAGGGTCAGGCGATCAGGGGCCGCTAGTCACAATGGCTATGTTCTCCCTGCACTGTCAGAGGCAAAATGCCTCTGAACGTCACTTGCTGGGAACCGCAGAGTAGAGAGAGTTGCTCTCGCACTCAGGTCCTGCTTGCGGGCTTCCCAGTGGTATTTGGTTGGCCACTGTGAGAACAGGATGCTGGACTAGATGGGCCATGGGCCTCATCCAGCAACCAGGATCTTTTTATGCCTTTTTATATTCTTCTGCTTTGAGTGCAGAAGGTTCTGGGTTAAATCTCCAGGTAGAATAATAGTGTTGGAAGGTGTCCCAGTGGTCATCTAGTCCAACCCTAGTCAGAAAGTTCTTTCTAACGTTTAGTCGGAGTCTCCTTGTTGTCTGAATCCATTGGTTTGGGTCCTACGCTCTGAGCAGCAGAAAACCAACTTCTGAAGATTGCTATCATATCTCCTCTCAGTCTCTTTTCCAGGCTAAACATGCCCAGCTCCTTCAACCGTTCCTCATCAGGCTTGGTTTCCAGACCCTTGATCATCTCGCTTGCCCTCCTCTGAACACCTTCCCAACTTGTCAATATTTTTCTTAAATTGTGTTGCCCAGAACTGGGCACAGTACTTAATTCGTTCCGGAGGTCCGTTCTTAACCTGAAACTGTTCTTAACCTGAAGCACCACTTTAGCTAATGGGGCCTCCCGCTGCTGCCGCGCTGCCGGAGCACGATTTCTGTTCTCATCCTGAAACAAAGTTCTTAACCCGAGGTATTATTTTTGGGTTAGCGGAGTCTGTAACCTGAAGCGTATGTAACCTGAAGCATATGTAACCCGAGGTACCACTGTATTCTGGGCGTGGTCTGACCAAGGCAGAATAGAGCGTAACAGTGGTACCTCTGGTTGCAAACGGGATCCGTTTCAGAGGCCCGTTCGCAACATGAAAAAAACACAACCCACAGTGGCGCATCTGCGCACACGTGAGTCGCAATTTGCCGCTTCTGCGCACGCGCGTGACGTCATTTTGCGTTTCTGCGCATGCGCGAGCAGCAAAACCTGGAAGTAACCCTTTCCGGTACTTCCCAGTCGCCGCGGGACATAACCTGAAAGAACGTAACATGAAGCGGACGTAACATGAGGTATGACTGTACAGTGGTACCTTGGGTTACATACGCTTCAGGTTACAGACTCCGCTAACTCAGAAATATTACCTCGGGTTAAGAACTTTGCTTCAGGATGAGAACAGAAATTGTGCTCCGGCGGCGTGGCGACAGCAGGCGGCCCCATTAGCTAAAGTGGTGCTTCAGGTTAAGAACAGTTGCAGGTTAAGAACGGACCTCCGGAACGAATTAAGTACTTAACCCAAGGTACCGCTGTACTATGACTTGATCTGGACACTCGACCTCTGTTAATGCGGCCTAGAACTGCGTTAGCCTTTTTTGCTGCCGTATCACACGGCTGACTCGTGCTAAGCAGGTCTGGGTTTGGCCAGCAGCTGGGTGGTTGACCTCCCCTTCCAAGGAACTGCCCCGTACGATCCCGCGAGTTCCACGGCAAAAGAAAGGCAGGATGTGAATTCTGGGAATCCAGCAAAGCACTGGTAAGTGGTCCAAATCGCCACCAGCCCCAACCCAGGTCTCCCCTCTCCCAGACTTCCCCCCCTTGCTTACGTAATCGTCAGTGGCATCCTTGACCGCCGTGATGGTAAGCACAAGAACCAAAGGCACTATGGTGGTGAACCACGAAAGGGAGGATATCTGTGGAATCAGCTGGGTGGAGGAAGACAGGCGAGAGGGTAAGTGAAGGCAGGGGAAGAAGAGGCGGCAGGGTGCTTCTAAGGAGTCTCCTCCACCACTCTCCAAAACCAAAACCAAAATGCCGCCCACGTTAACACTTCCAAAATCCCCTCTTGCCCCAATATGAGAGTCCCGTGAACGGGCCGCACCTGGAGAATAAGGAGGAAGAGGAAGTAAGTGTTAGCCACTTCCTGGAACTGCTCAAAGAGGTTGATGGGCAGGAATGTGACCACGTTGTACTTGGACGTCTTGATGCAGTTACTCTGTGGGGAGAGAGGAAAGGAAACAACATAAGATGGCGAAACGCGCAGGGAGCGCGTGTCTCCGCTCTGCCCCACGGCCAGCTTTCCCAGCAGTCCCCCACCCCAAAACTCCTCCAACAGATCTTCTCCGCCCTGTTTTCAACCCTTGGGGAAGGGCCGTCGAAGCTGGCAGAGCGTCTGCTTGGCACACAGAACGACCCGGGTTCAATCCCCGATAATCTCCAGGAAGGGAAATCCTGAAGAGACACTGCCTGTCAGTGCAGACAATATGGAGGCAGGTGGACTCAGAGGTGATCTGACTCGGAATTAGGCGCCTTCCTGCGTTCCTGTTTAAATCAGCCCCCCTTTTTTTCCAGAACTGTGAAGACTACCAACTTCATTTTTAATTTGTAGAAGAAGCAGCTGGAAAGGACGTGGGAACGGGGGCCTGCTTTCTGTGTGCAAAAAGCCCCGGGTTCAATCCGTTCCCGGTAAGGTTGGGAGGGACTCCCTTCCTGAAACCCTGGAGAATCGTAGAATTCATAGCATTGTAGAGTTGGTCATCTGGTACAACCCCCTGCCATTCAGAAATAAGATTGGTTACTGCCAATCGGTGTGGACAGTACTGAACTAGATGGACCAGGCATCTCGCTCGGTGCAAAGAAACACCCTGTAAAGGTAAAGGTAAAGGGACCCCTGACCATCTGTCCCAGCTCCTGCCAAACTAGCAGTTCGAAAGCACACCAGTGCAAGTAGATAAATAGGTACCATTGCAGCGGGAAGGTAAGCGGCATTTCCGTGCGCTCTGGTTTCCGTCACGGTGTCCCGTTGCGCCAGAAGCGGTTTAGTCATGCTGGCCACATGACCCGGAAAGCTGTCTGTGGACAAACGCCGGCTCCCTCGGCCTGAAAGTGAGGTGAGCATCGCAACCCCTTAGTTGCCTTTGACTGGACTTAACCATCCACGGGTCCCTTACCTTTACTTTACCTTTATATACAGTTATAACAAAAACATTCTAAAACCAATAACAATTTAAAGGTAAAGGGACCCCTGACCATTAGGTCCAGTCGTGACTAACTCTGGGGTTGCGGCGCTCATCTCGCTTTATTGGCCGAGGGAGCCGGCGTACAGCTTCCGGGTCATGTGGCCAGCATGACTAAGCCGCTTCTGGCGAACCAGAGCAGTGCACAGAAAGGCCGTTTACCTTCCCGCCAGAGCGGTACCTATTTATCTACTTGCACTTTGTGCTTTTGAACTGCTAGGTTGGAAGGAGCAGGGACCGAGCAATGGGAGCTCACCCCGTCATGGGGATTCGAACCGTTGACCTTCTGATCGGCAAGTCCTAGGCTCTGTGGTTTAACACACAGCGCCACCCGCGAAACGCCCTGTGCTCCTTGTTAATTCCCCGATGAATAAAGCTGTACTGCTTTGCCATTTTTATTAATTACTGTTCAAGCGGTAAACCCACCTGCAACTCACAGCCTGCTTTCCCGGTGGCAACTCTGTGAGTGAGAACACACCTAGATCTTTCATGGACTTCACAATTACCGTTCAACACACTAGGATGTGCACAAGGCTGTGGGGATAATGTGCGGGTGGACTAGGAACACAATTTACTGTTGGAGGGTAAAGACTCAAAATCTCTCTCTCCACCTTCACTCCAGAAAGAGGAAAAAATATCCCAAAGTTTCTTTGTCTGCCTTCCACACTTAACGCTCTATTTATAACCGCTGAGCTGGGCTGCTGTCCCCAGACAGGAAGTTATTCACAGACACACCCTAGCCAAGATACGAGGGGTCAAGCCCAGTCAGAAGCAGGGCAGTGGTGTGGGAAGAAGCTTCCAGAAAGCGGAAGGGCAGCTCCAAGGTTTCCTGGGATTTCCCGCAAACACCCCACCCCAAAAAAAATACTGAGCAGCAGTCGCCTCCCCATATGGGATGGGCAAATCTGATTCCGTCTCAGTTTCTCATTTCCCCCCCAAAGTTCTGAAAAAGGATGTTCTGTAACGGAATATGCATCTTTGTAAGCTGTTTTTGCTGAAGTGAAATTTACAAGGCACGCTCCATGTGCATTTTTGTACGCTTGGTTTGGGAGAACGACGTTGCAAAATTCAGGGAACTGCAGATTTCAAAGGATGGCTGTGTTTCATTCTGTGCATCATTCCAGAAAGTGCAAATAGTAGTAGCAGTAGTAATTTCCAAGGAAATTTTAATCCAAAATACTCCCACTTCTCATTCAATCCTCGTAACAACCCCGTGAGGCAAATTAGGCTGAGAGGCAGCGACTGCCTCAAGGTCACGCCCAGTGAACTTCATGGATTTGAACCCAGGTCTCTCCCAGCTCCGAGTCCTACCCTCTTAACCACTACACCGCGGGTTAGCCTTTTAAATGTTTACACCCACATCCCTAGAGCCCACCATCACCTCTGATCTCCTTCCCCCACCCAAAAAAAGGTCTGGGTTCTTCCTTTTCTGTCCCTAACTCCCCACAAAACCAAGCTCACCCCTTTCACATCCCTCTCTATGGGATATAAACGCAGCCCCACGCCCCTTCTCTGCCCCGCCAACACAGATTCCGTGTTCCCGCCACGAAAAGTGGGTTGTTCCACCACCACCCCTCCCTTCCCAGAAAACTCACGCACACAATTTATTAAAATATATATATAAGACCTTAAATATTTTATCACAGCCCCCAGCCGCAAACTCCTAACCCCGTACTTACCGCATACTGGAACTTTTCGTTATACTCTCGGGCGTTTGCTTTCACCCGCCTTTCCTCCTCTGAAAACAGAGGCCAAAAATCAGCCGCCGGCACACAACACCCCCCCAAAAAAATCACCGTACCCCACTTTGCCAGGCTTACCACCACCCCTCCAGCAGCTGCCCCCCTGGCTTGCTAAACATTCCAAGCTGAACACAAAGGGTAGCGGATTTGATAACCCGCTTCCCGACTGCATGAGATTGGCTGGCTCTCTTAATTCTTTGCATGCCCCCCACCACCACAAAAAAACCACCCCAGGAGTAGCTTCCCCCCCACCACCTGTCCCAAATACTGAAATAAAACTGCTCTGGGTTTTCGCAACCCCCCCAATCCATTGTTGGAACGGACTCTGTCCCCGTTTCCAAACTTGCGACTCTCGGCAGTCTCAGAAGCAAGGTCATTTGCGGGGATGGAGGGGGACAGGTGGGAAGGAGGGGGGTATTCCTTTGGGTAAAAAGGGGGATCTCCTGTGTCCCCACCACCACCAAAGAAAATATAGTGCAAAGGAGAGGAGCCAGAGTTGGGGGGGGGGAGAAGGAAGCAGGCGCGGTATGAGGTAATGTTTGTGAAGAGAACTGCAATGACAGCTCTCTCCAAGGAGGTCGTGACAGGACAAAGGCTGGACGTGGATATTTGAGGAGCCCCCAACCCTAAAAAGCAAAAAGAAAAAAACCCTGCTAGCCAAACCCCCAAACTTTCACTTGTCAAACCCCCACCCCCCCAAAAAAAATACCTGTCCCCCCAGGCGCCTGTCCGCGGCTGCCCGTCGCCACGGTGACCCAGGGCCATTTCTCGGGCATCTCCTTAGGGATCGTCATGGTTACCGCCGGGCCCGGATTTGCGTGTGTTTTATGGGGAGGGGGGGCCTTGCAGGAGGCCCCCCGGGCTTAGGCAGCGGCCCCCCATCGGCCTCCCCAGTCCGTGCCCCCCATTCTCCTCCTGCCTCGGCGGCGGCTGCTACTGCCCCCCCTCCCCACTCGCTGCAGGAGAAAACTCCACGCTGACATTGAAGGAGACGGGGGCCGCCCACCGCCACACAGCGGCCAATGAGGGGCCGGGACGGCGTTGCTTAGGTAACCGCGGCATGGGGGGGACGAGGGGGGGCGACCTCTCGCCTGCCTGCTTCTCTTCCCCCAGCCCCACCCCCAACCCAGAAAGACCTTACGGAGTCAGTCGAAGGCAGGCAAATCACTATAATGGGACATCCCCCCCCCCCAAAAAAAAGTCATTTTGCTTAGGTTCCTGCTCATTATTAAATCTGTTTTTACCTCAGTCCACCTCTTCTGTCACAGAGACAGCCACCCCACCCCAGCTCTCTCGCTCTCTCTCCTCACAAGAACCCTGTAAGGTAGTCCGGGCTGCTGGGTTGCCAACTGACCAGGAAGGAAATAAGGCAATGCGACTTGCTCCTTCGCTTTAGACAGGAGCCTGACCCAGATGAAAAAGTCATAGGCTGGTAGATTGGGAAGGGACCTCCAAAGGCCATCCAAACCCAGCCCACTGCTCAGCTCAGGAATTTTCACAGGTAGGAAGCTAGCTTAGCAGGGAGAGAGAGGGCCGGGCTAGATCGCCTTGAAGCGCTGCTTGTCTACTTGCAGAACATTTGGCTGGCTTTTAACCTGGGGAACGGGGTTGAATTCAAAAACGGGACAAGACCGCCTTTTGTCTAAAGTGGTACAGTCCCTTCTGTACCTTCTAAAGCGGTACAAACCCCCCTCAAACTCCTCATCCCGCTGGCAAGGGTACATATACTCTGGATATGAAAATCTGTCACAGAGCTTTAGAACTGGAAGGCACCTTGTGCGGTCATCCAGTCTGACCCCAACCCCCCGAGGCACGCAGGAATCTTGCAACTACGCATCCCTGACAAACGATTGTCTGGCCTCTGTTTAAATACTTCCAGCAAGGAAGAGACAATGGCCTTCCAGGGCACCATTGAACAGCTCTGACCATTAAGAAGGTAAAGGGACCCCTAACCATGAGGTCTAGTCGTGGTTGACTCTGGGGTTGCGGTGCTCATCTCGCTTTATTGGCCGAAGGAGCCGGCGTACAGCTTACAGGTCATGTGGCCAGAATGACTAAGCTGCTTCTAGCAAACCAGAGCAGCGCACAGAAACGCCGTTTACCTTCCCGCCGGAGTGGTACCTATTTATCTACTTGCACTTGGATGTGCTTTTGAATTGCTAGGTTGGCAGGAGCAGGGACCGAGCAACGGGAGCTCACCCCGTCGCGGGGATTCAAACCACCGACCTTCTGATCGGCAAGTCCTAGGCTCTGTGGTTTAACCCACAGCGTCACCCACATCCCTTCTCTGACCATTAGGCACCTTTTAATTTACATTTTAAAATTTTTTTTAATGCTTCATGGTCTCTTAGAGGAAGCGATTGCGAATGAAATGGAATTAAGCAAAAGCTTCTCAGAAGCACAGTCCCCCCACCAGTGGCTACACTGGGGGCGCTGGGGCAGAGATCTGTTGGGAAGTTGGCAACCTTGCAATGGCTGAATGAGAAAAAGAGTCTGAGAAGTTAAATCACCTAATTTTTGTGGCTGATTGGGGTGGGTGGGGCGGCCCAGCCCCTGTCAGTCCTGCTCCCTTCCCCACCCCCACCCCCACCCCAAAAAAACAGCCCAATCAGAAGATCTTACCTGGAGGATGTTTCTTAGAACAAAGTTCCATGGCATTCGATGGCAGTTTATCAGGCCCATGGGAGGTGCTGTATTGGGGCGGGAAGATGGGGGGAAAGCAAAGAAATAAAAATAATTGGTTTGGGGTGGGGTGGGGCACACACACACACACACACCTAAAACAAACCAACTTTGGGGGCGGAATTGGCCCTCTGAATGCTTCTGTCTGGCCCTCGGGTCTCTTTGCAAGCTGCACCCTTCTTCCCAGGTCACAGCCCCTCTACAATCCTGTTCCATACCCTCCCCAGGGACTTTTGCAAGCAATGAGAGTTTGCGGGGGGGGGGGGGAGGAAGAAAGAGAAGAAACCTCAGACTTTTGCATGGCTGCAATGCATTGTACCATACAGAGGTAAGAGTCACATTCATTGCTCTGCTCACATTTTTGCTTCCGACTCCATTGGCACATTTTTCCCCAAGGGGCTTCCCAGAGGGAATGCATCCCCTGGGCAGGAAAGGGTTAACCCTGGAAACAAACTAAGGAGTAACATCATCTTGGGGGGGGGGGGGAGAGTGTTCAGAATTTCCCCACCTCGCTGCCTGTTACTCCTGCAGCCCCCCCAGCAAATCTTCCTTCTCCTCTATAAAGCCAAAATTGCCCTTCATCCAAACAGCGCCCAATAACTTTAAAATACGTGATAATAAAACAACACAACTCTCTTCCCTACGAGCAGCAGAACGGAAAAGGATGCAGTTATGATAGGCGTACGGAGTCAAAGAAGCCATCGAGCCAATTTAACAGGGCCACATAAAAAATCCCTTTAAAATCTGTTGCCAGATCTCTCCAGGAGAAAGCACTCCAAAGAGCAATCTGGAAACAGAACAGGAAAAGCTTCCCGCAGGAATTTTTTCCAGAAACAGAATATTGCCTGGAAAACCTCCTAATCTGCCTGCAGGAAATTTTCCATTTAAATGAGCTCATTAGCTAACAGATACCGATTGCAAATCCTCAGGGTTAGTGCCCATTGCGTCTGGTGGGGCAGGAGATAGGGAGCCCGACAGCAGGGGGCACCAGAGCCAATGAGAGGTGGAGCCAACTCATCCTAATTTTGTCCCTATCCTCCTCCACCTCCTCCCTGCTGAGTTCTACAAGTTCTGCAACCCTGAGACGTGGTCGCAGTTGGACCCGCGCCAGTCGCAAACCGCGCCTGGCACCTGGCTAATTTCTAACAGGGTTCCCCACCCCCAAAGGAAGTGATTTAAAAGGCAGTCGACTGAATCACATGAACCTTCCAGCCCAGTCCGCTATTGTCCCTTCCTTTCTAGAACGGACCACAATGCTGCTACAGAACCTGGCTCCAAGTCCAACAGACGAGATGGCTCAAAACCACACTGAGGACTAGAATGCTGGAGAGGCCTGTGGGCTCCTCTAGCGATGGTGGTGGTTTCCCTAAAAGGGCTAGCATGCCGACACATCCACCGCCGACCAGCCAGACAGCTAGCCAACAGCTGCTACGCCCGAGTCCCCGCCGGCAAAAGACACCTCTTCTAACTGTTTCCTGCTCCATTTCCTGTTTTGCTCCTGGTGGCTGATTTGTGGCGAGGAGCACAGAGAGAAACCTAACATCCGGGGGCACTTCAGAGCAGACAGCAGAAGATCTTCCAATCAGTGTCAGGAGAGATGCTCTTCCTTGTTGAACATGTTGTTGTTGTTATTTAGTCGTCTCCGACTCTTCGTGACCCCCTGGACCAGAGCACGCCAGGCACTCCTGTCTTCCACTGCCTCCCGCAATTTGGTCAAACTCATGCTGGTAGCTTCAAGAACACTGTCCAACCATCTCGTCCTCTGTCGTCCCCTTCTCCTTGTGCCCTCCATCTTTCCCAACATCAGGGTCTTTTCCAGGGAGTCTTCTCTTCTCATGAGGTGGCCAAAGTATTGGAGCCTCAGCTTCAGGATCTGCCCTTCCAGTGAGCACTCAGGGCTGATTTCCTTCAGAATGGAGAGGTCTGATCTTCTTGCAGTCCATGGGACTCTCAAGAGTCTCCTCCAGCACCAGAATTCAAAAGCATCCATTCTTCGGCGATCAGCCTTCTTGATGGTCCAGCTCTTACTTCCATACATCACTACTGGGAAAACCATGGCTTTAACTATACAGACCTTTGTTGGCAAGGTGATGTCTCTGCTTTTTAAGATGCTGTCTAGGTTTGTCATTGCTTTTCTTCCAAGAAGCAGGCGTCTTTTAATTTCGTGGCTGCTGTCACCATCTGCAGTGATCATGGAGCCCAAGAAAGTAAAATCTCTCACTGTCTCCATTTCTTCCCCTTCTATTTGCCAGGAGGTGATGGGACCAGTGGCCATGATCTTCGTTTTTTGATGTTGAGCTTCAGACCATATTTTGCGCTCTCCTCTTTCACCCTCATTAATAGGTTCTTTAATTCCTCCTCACTTTCTGCCATCAAGGTTGTGTCATCTGCATATCTGAGGTTGTTGATATTTCTTCCGGCAATCTTAATTCCGGCTAGGGATTCATTGAGCCCAGCCTTTCGCATAATGAATTCTGCATATAAGTTAAATAATCAGGGAGACAATATACAGCCTTGTCGTACTCCTTTCCCAATTTTGAACCAATCAGTTGTTCCATATCCAGTTCTAACTGTAGCTTCTTGTCCCACATAGAGATTTCTCAGGAGACAGATGAGGTGATCGGGCACTCCCATTTCTTTAAGAACTTGCCATAGTTTGCTGTCAAGGCAGTGATCCATGATGCGGCTTGTCGAACATGCAACCCCGCAACGCCACATATGATAGAATCATGCAAGAGTGTGGGAGGAGGAGGGGATGAAATCCCGAAAAAGGATGTTATTTTTTTCCCCTGTATGCCACAACAGCTGCAAGAATATTACTAGCAAAGAATTGGAAGAAACAAGATTTACCAACTATCGAAGAATGGCAGATGAAGATGATGGACTATATGGAACTTGCCGAACTGTCTGGGAGATCCCGAGACCAAAGAGAAGAGCTGGTGGAAGAAGACTGGAAGAAGTTTAAAGAATATTTGAAAAAAAATGTTAATATTTAAATCTTAGAATAGCTTTGGAAGTGGATATAGGCTGTAGGTTTAGAAGACAGTGTATTTTAAAATAGTATTGTCTGTAAAGGATAAAATGTCAAGATTATTATTGTAAAAGTAAGTGGGACAAAATGGTTAAAAATTATGATATATGTAAACTGCTAAAGATGAGGGAAAATGAAAATCAGATAGGGGGGGCTCGGGGAAGCTCACCTAACAATGTTTAGAAGAAATAAGGGTAAGATAAGAATTTGTTTGCATTGTTTGTGTTGTTCATTTGTGTTTTAAAATGAATTTTAAAATTTTTTTGGGGGGGGGGGGTCTGGGAGGAGGAAGTCAGGGGGAAAACGACTCTCCCAACTATTCTTGCTGGGCTCAAAACCATGAAAGGGGTTTAGCTTTGTGGGTGGTGGGGAAATAGCTGGAAAGGGCAGAATTGGTGGGTGGTGGAGGGGTTAAGCACCCTTCCTGCCTGCTATTCATCCCATCTGGACTCTGGTTTTTAACGGTATGTGTGAGAAAAACTGCTCTGGAAAACGTAATTTGCTGGCAGGGGATGGGTTAAGCACCTCCCTCCTCCAATTTCCTCAGGCAAAAGCTCCTCCAACGCTTTGAAATTGGTGCCATGAGGAAACCTGGTCATTCCAGAGAGGTCAGTCCTCCGTTTTTAACCCTAGGGAGAGCCAGGGTAAAGTAGTGGTCAGTGTGTTGGCCCTGGGAGACCCGGGTTCAAATCTCCACTCACCCACTAGGTGGGACCTTGGACCAGTCCCTACCTGTCAGTGTAACCAACCTCACAGGTCTGTTATGGGGATTAAATGAGGAAGCGGAAAACCATGTACAAGCCCCCTGTAGTAAAGGTGGGACGTGAATGTAAGAATGAAACAAAATAAATAAATGCTGGTTGAAGAATACCCAGCTCTGTTTCAGCCGAGAAGGGATTTGTAGGTATGTAGGGCCTTTATATGAACGTGCCTGTCCTCAGACATCAAGGCAGGGCCTTGTCTGAAGTGGCCCCCCTGTTAAAGAAACTGCTATTTCCTCTCTCTTCCAGACCAGAGCATGGTCTGAAGGCACATGAAGCCACCACCTCCCTGAAGCTAAGCAGGTCCAGGCCTGGTCAGCTCCTGGATGGGAGGCCACCATGGAACTCCAGGTATGTTGCCTTGAGTTCTACTATGGGGGGAAAGCAGGACAGAAATGTGAAGAAATAACAGAGGCACAGCAGTTGGAGCTATGTGATACATTTCAGAGCTCCGGCCTTGCTAGCTAGGGGTGATGGGAGTTGTAGTTCAACAACATCTGGGGACCCACAGGTTGAGAACCGCTGCTTCAGAGAGTTCTAGGTGCTTGGTGACGTCAAGCAAGGACTTATCTTCCAGACTAGCCCACTTCGCTGCGTTGTTGTGAGAATAAAAGGATTTTTTAAGATATCAGTCATGACGAGGGAAATGTTCCTGTGTGACCAGTTTCCCCCACAATTCCCAACTTAGAATCATAGAATCATAGAGTTGGAAGAGACCACAAGGGCCATTGAGTCCAACCCCCTGCCAAGCAGGAAACACCATCAGAGCACTCCTGACATATGGTTGTCAAGCCTCTGCTTAAAGACCTCCAAAGAAGGAGACTCCACCACACTCCTTGGCAGCAAATTCCACTGTCAAACAGCTCTTACTGTCAGGAAGTTCTTCCTAATGTTTAGGTGGAATCTTCTTTCTTGTAGTTTGGATCCGTTGCTCCGTGTCCGCTTCTCTGGAGCAGCAGAAAACAACCTTTCTCCCTCCTCTATGTGACTCCCTTTTATATATTTGAAGATGGCTATCATATCACCCCTTAACCTCCTCTTCTCCAGGCTAAACATGCACAGCTCCCTTAGCCGTTCCTCATAAGGCATCGTTTCCAGGCCTTTGACCATTTTGGTTGCCCTCCTCTGGACACGTTCCAGTTTGTCAGTGTCCTTCTTGAACTGTGGTGCCCAGAACTGGACACAGTACTCCAGGTGAGGTCTGACCAGAGCAGAATACAGTGGCACTATTACTTCCCTTGATCTAGATGCTATACTCCTATTGATGCAGCCCAGAATTGCATTGGCTTTTTAAGCTGCCGCGTCACACTGTTGGCTCATGTCAAGTTTGTGGTCAACCAAGACTCCTAGATCCTTTTCACATGTACTGCTCTCAAGCCAACTGGCAGAGGTGTTCGGGGAACACAGCTCACACAAGAGAGGAGTGCTTTTTAAAACCCGAGAATCTTAACACAAAGAGAGTCCGACTGGATCAGGCCAATGGCCCAACTAGTCCAGCATCCTGTTCTCACAGTGACCAACCAGATTCCCCTATGGAAAAACCCGTAAGCAGGATTCGAACTCGATAGCAACTCTCCCCACTTGCAATTCTCTGGTGTTCAGAGGTACATCACTGCCTCCGACAGTGGAGGGAGAAAATAGCAAATATGGCTGGTGGAAACCTTTGAACACCCGCCCAAAAGCACTGATAGGTGAAAGTGGAAGTCAGAAAGGTTACTCCCTTTTCCAACTCTATGGTACTTTTCATGGCTGAGAATGGTACCCATTCAATAATAATAATAATAACTTGTTATTTATACCCCGCCCATCTGGCTGGGTTTCCCCAGCCACTCTGGGCAGCTTCCAACAAAACACTAAAATACAATAACCTTTTAAACATTAAAAGCTTCCCTAAACAGGGCTGCCTTTAGATGTCTTCTAAAAGTTTGGTAGTTATTTTTCTCTTTGACATCTGGTGGGAGGGCGTTCCACAGGGCGGGGGCCACTACTGAGAAGGCCCTCTACCTGGTTCCCTGTAACTTGGCTTCTCGCAGCGAGGGAGCCGCCAGAAGGCCCTCGGCGCTGGACTTCAGTGTCCTGGCTGAACGATGGGGGTGGAGACGCTCCTTCAGGTCTACAGGACCGAGTCCGTTTAGGGCTTTAAAGGTCAGCATCAACACTTTGAATTGTGCTCAGAAGCGTACTGGGAGCCAGTGTAGGTCTTTCAAGACCAGTGTTATATGGTCTCAGCGGCCGCTCCCAGTCACCAGTCTAACTGCCACATTCTGGATTAGTTGCAGTTTCCGGGTCACCTTCAAAGGTAGCCCCACACAGAGCGCATTGCAGTAGTCCAAGCGAGAGATAACCAGAGCATGCACCACTCTGGTGAGGCAGTCTGCGGGCAGGTAGGGTCTCAGCCTGCGTACCAGATGGAGCTGGTAAACAGCTGCCCTGGACACAGATTTGACCTGTGCCTCAAGGTGTTCCGACATAGAGATGAGATATATTTGCGCCGTAAGGAAGCACCAACTTTGATCTGATTGCACAGGAACAAGAGAAGAGACACTTGCAAAGATGGGGAAGGGGAAATGAGGTGTTGAGCTGTGCTATTTAGCCTATTATCATTGTGCAGCGGAAGCTGAGATGAGCCTCAGGCAACCACAAAGCGTAAAAACCAGAGAGGAAACCCCAACCAGTCCATTTCTTTGACACAGGGCTCTGCTGCTGGGGAAAGGGCGGTACTTTTTGGGTAGGGAGTGAGCAGCCAATCCCAACTGCCACCTCCCCAGGCACCAAGCCACCCAAACTCCAGGGAATGTTTATTTTTCAAAGCCACAGACACACATACACACACACAAAAGTTTCTGGGCAGGCAAAGTCACAGATGCCACAAACTCCCTTTGCACCACCCAGATCCCCTCCCACTCGCCTAATCCCAGATCACAAAAGACACGACAACAACTTGAAAAGCACTCTGTGCGAGTCCCAGAGAACTGCGTCAACTTTCCCAGGGCCGTTTGAGCAAAATAAAGAGTTTGTGATGTAGGGCAAAAGATTGGGGGGGCGGGTTGTAGGAGAGTGAGGCACACACAGAGTTCTCCTTTGGCAGTTGCCCCCTCCATAATGTCTGGGGCTTGCCAAAAAATGAGAGAGGCAAAATCAGAGAGCCTGAAGGTACCCCACGAGTCATCTAGTCCAACCCCCTGCAATGCAAGGAATCACAGTTTGAGTATCCCGGGCAGACGGACGACCCAACCTGTGTTAAAAAACCTCCAGCAAAGGATTGTCCTCCATCTTCCCAGGTAGGCCAGATTCACCTTGTTTAGTAGCACAGAGATTTGCCTAAGAAGGTCGATGTCACACAGGTAAAGCAGAGGCACAGAGGAAGCTGTCTCCTACCAAATCCAACCGTGTAGCTCAGTAAGGTCCACACTGGCTGGTAGCAACTCAGCAGGGCGAGTCTCTCCCAGATGCTTGGGACTGAACCCCAGGACCTTCTGCATACAGATTATTCTACCATAAAGCAAGTTTCCAGTCCTCATGGTTCTGAATAAAGGCCCTGATTTAAACAGTAAACGCCAGAAGCTGGCTTATTCCCACTCAGAACAATGGGCCACCTAGCTCAATAATGTCCACACTGGCTGGCAGCAGCTCTCCAGGGTTTCCACACTCTACAGGGTCTTTCTGCTTGGAGATGCCATTGCGGATCAAACCTAGAACCTCCTGCAGATGCTTCGCCACCTTCCCAAACACTGGAGGCCAGTCCTGGGATAGCTCAGCAGGCAAGAGCACAAGGCACTTAATCTCAGGGTTGTGGGTTCGAGCCCCACGTTGGGCAAAATATCCCTGCATTGCAGCGGGTTGTACTAGATGGCGACTCTTTTAAGATTCCATGGAGCTAATCTTGCCTGCACTGACCGGCAGCTGCTCTCCAGGGTTTCAGAGGAGGGTCTTTCAAATGCTCTACCGCTGAGCTACAACCTTTCAGTCCACATATACAGGTAGCGGGAAAGAGGCTGGTGTATTTAGATAAAGCGGCCAAGGCTCTCCTGCCCAGAGGAGGAGAGCAGTGCTGTCACCCTGCCAGAATACCCTGTCTACTGCCTCCGTTTGGTGCCAAGCTAGCTTGTTTGGGCGTCTGGCTAAGGCTTGGGGGGGAGAAGGAAGTGGTGTGTGGATGTGGAGAGAGATTGCCGGTTCGAGATCGTTGGCCATGCCGAGAAGATGACACGAAAGCAAGGTCTGGCTCCCACCGGCAACATCTGGAAGGGGGGCGTTATGCCAAGGAAGAGAGGGATTGTGGGCGGCCAGCAAGCAGGCGGGGTGGGGGCAGGATCCAGAACGTGGAAATGGGGCAGCGGGGAGGTGGAGGGTAAGATATCTCAGCATCAGCAGTTGGGGAAGTGGTGGAGTTGCAGAGGGAGTAAGAATCTGGGCCTAGGAAAAGGATACAGGCTTGGAAATCCAAATCGAGCGGTATAAGATATCTCAGCATCAGCATCTAGGGAGAGGGGCCACCCAAGCAAATGGATTTTTTTGTGGGTGGGGGGGGGTGAGGAAGAAGGACCAGGGAAGAAACTGGGAGTGAGACAAAACAGGATCCGGAATGTGTGGGGAGAGAATTGGAAGGAGGGGTAGTTGTTTTCTACTGTGCTAAGGCAAGGAATGAGGATAGAATATCAAGGCATCAGCGTTTGGGGGAAGGAGGGAGGAGGAGTTCAAGGAGGGGCTGGCGAGCAGGGAAGAGATATGGGGCAGCTAAGGAAGGAGGGTGGGGGAGTCACACTAGGCCAGAGGCACACAGAAACCTGCCTTATTTTGCTCCATCCGCTAAGTAAAAAAACCTAAGACTCCGGTCCTCATGGCTTTGAATAAATGGCTGGTTTAAATAGGAACCCAGAGAGCTGTTTTATAGCATTGGTCACAGGAACAGTCCATCTTGCTCAGTAATGTTTACACTGGCTGGCAGCAGCTCTCCAGGGTTTCAGGCAGGGATTGAAGTTGGGATCTTCCGCATGCAAGCTGGACACACTACGGCCCTTCCCCAACATGGCGCCCTAAAGACATTAATTGAGGTTTCCAGCTCCCATCAACCGCACCCGCTACGCCCAGAAATGATGGGAGGCAGAATGCAACCACAACTTAGTGGGCACCAGGTTGGTTAGCCCTCCGTCGGGCAGAGAGGAATAAGGGTTCAGGGCACCCCCAGCAATTGTGTGTGCAGTGGGGAGAAGGAAGGGGGGAGAAGGACCCAGACCAAGAGTTCAGGTGGGACTCGGAGAGGTCAGTTCTTGGAAGGCACCAGCAAAGAACCCCTGGAATGGTGGTCTGACAATAGACTGGGGGAGAGAATATCAATATTCAATATTTAAGACTACATTTAAAGCACACTGATTCCCCCCCCACACACACAGAATCCTGGGAACTGTAGTTCACTCCTCCCAGAACTGCAATTCCCAGCGCCCTTCGCAAACTACAGTTCCCAGGATTCTTTGCAGGACAGAGAGAGGAATGTGCTTTAGATGTACAGTGGTACCTCAGGTTAAGTACGTAATTCGTTCCGGAGGTCCGTACTTAACCTGAAACTGTTCTTAACCTGAAGCACCACTTTAGCTAATGGGGCCTCCTGTTGCTGCCGCGCCGCCAGAGCACGATTTCTGTTCTCATCCTGAAGCAAAGTTCTTAACCCGAGGTAATATTTCTGGGTTAGTGGAGTCTGTAACCTGAAGCGTATGTAAGCTGAAGCGTCTGTAAGCCGAGGTACCACTGTACTGTATGGTGCGTAAGCAGCCTAAGAGAGGCACCCATAGATGACTTTTTTTTTGGAGGGGGGGACTGAAGGATCCAGAGCATGCATTAGTGAAATTACTACGCAACTGAGAGCTCTAGGCATGAGCATTTGGGTAGGGATCTAGGTAGAAGTCTAGAAGAATCTGGAGCAAATATCTAGAAGAAGAAAAGGAGGTAAGCAGGAGAGATATGGAGCTGTAAGCCTTTCAGGTGCTTCCCAGTGTGGGGGGAGTAAGCCCCACTGATCTGAAAAAGCTTACTTTTGGACCCCTTTAGTGGGTGGCATCCTGATTCAAGGCAGGTCACCACAGGAGCACTCGCAAATATATGGTAAAAGCCCCCAAATGCATGTTTGGGTTACAAGGGAGCCCTGGCTGTGAAAAGGTTGTAGATACCTAGCCCAGGGAATTGGTGCTTAACTAGCAGGGGTTTTTTTGGGGGGGGGGGGCACAAACCTTCCCATGGGGGTCAAGGGTGGGGGAGGTTAAAGGTCAAAAGAGAGGGGATCCAAGAGGGTGTTCAAAAGTTAAGAGAAGGGAATGGGGGAAGGGAATTCTCCAAAATTCATTCCCTTCTCCCCAGTTAAGATATTAAAAGAACTATAAAAAAGCAGAGAAATAATCTGGGGTGGGGAATCTCCAAACCTCACCCCCCCACACACACAAGAAACTAAAATAATAATAATGCAAACACTGGAAGTATTTAGAGAGGCGGTCTTCCAAAATTCACCCCCCCACACCCCAATAACTAATAAAATACGGATAACATGAAAGGATGGGGGGAATCTCCCAAAATTCGCCCCCAAGAGCTTTGTAAAAAAAGAAATAAAATGGAGGGGAGCAATCTACAAAATCCACTCCCAGTAACTGAAAAACAAATAAAGACGATGGAAATATTTGGGATGGGGAATTCCCCCCCCCCCATAACAACAACAACAAAAATAGTATAGAAGTACAGTATTGCGTGGGGAGGGGGGAGGAATCTCCCAAATTAACTAAAAAGAGACAGAGACACAGCACAGAAGCATTCATGGGGGAGAAAATGCCCCAAACTCACCCCCCCAACACACACAACTACATAAAAAGCCAGATGTCATGAAAGTATTTAGGAGGAGAGAAACCTCAAAAAATATATATATTTGGAGAGGGGTTTGGGTTTTTTTGAAGGTTTCTCTCCTCCTAAATACTTTCATGTCATCTTGCTTTTTATGTAAAAAAATTGAAATAACTACAGTTGAGAGCACCATCTTCCCCCCCCCGCTCCGGTCCCCTTGCCCGGCCGGCTCCCTTTCCAACCGAGCGGCGGAGGGAGGCGAGCTCTGGGCCGCCGGGGCGACCCCAAAAACTCGGCCGGATCCCCCGCCGCCGCGTGGCGCACCTTAACGAGCCGCCTCCGGGCGCCCCTCGCCTCCGCTGCTGCTGGTGCCGCCGCCGCGCTCCATCCCCCGGCCAGGGCCGCTACGCCCTCCTGGAAGCGGCCCGCGCCCGTGCGCCCTGGCCGCGCCCGCCTGCCCGCCGTGCGCCCTGGCCCATGGCTGCGCTACCGCCGGCGCGCCCGGCCCCGGATTGCCTGGCTGGCTTGGCGGCGGCGGCGGCTGGGCTGCTTTCCCCCCCTCCCCGTTTCCCGGGCGGGGATGGATGGAGAGGAGGAGGAGGAGGGAAGGAGGAGGGCTGGGGGGTGGGGGGACGGAAGTGATGAAAGGGACCGCCGATCTCGGGGGCTGCTCCTCCGGGAAGCAGCTCCGGGTGGAGAAAGCGCCGCCGAGCGCTGGATGCGCTTTTACGCACGAGGAGAAGCCGCCTCGCGTTTACTCGGGAGTCAGCCTCTCCATCTCCTCCAGCCAAGCTTTTCTTTGCAGGAGGCAAAGGAAATTGTTCTCCCGCCCTCCCCAAATCCAGACTGATATCGGGCCCTGGGCCGGATCCAGCTTTTCTCACGAGTAGACCCATGGCAGTGAATGGAGCGCAGTTGGCCTGGCCCGTTCGCTTTCAGTAGCCCATTTGACTCCCTCCCCCCTGCAAGAATCCTGGGAATTGTAGTATCTTACTCAGGGTGCTGGGAACTGTAGCTCCGCCATGGGTGAACTACAGTTCCCAGGATTCTGGGAAGGCGGGCTGAGAATGTGCTCTGACTGTAATGGTTGCATATGCAGCCAGGCTAAAAAATGGGCAGGCCGCCTCCCCATATTTTCTAGCTACTCGCCCCATTTTTCTAACATCATGGAGCCCAGAGTAGCATGCAGGCGGATCTCATCCGGACACTGGCCAGACCTGCTAAACTTCAGCAGGGCGGTGGCCTCCTGAGCCTTCTGCGATGGGAACCTGGGGCTCTCCAGATGTTGCCTTGGGACTCCAGCAGCCTTCGTGTTCAGGGTTGAACATCTGGAAGGCCGCCAGATGAGAAGGCTGCGGTATCTGATGATGTGGGTAGTGCATGGGTAGGCAAACTAAGGCCAATCGCCTTCTCAGTCCGGCCCGCAGATGATCCAGGAATCAGCGTGTTTTTACATGAATAGAATGTGTGCTTTTATTTAAAATGCATCTCTGGGTTATTTGTGGGGCATAGGAATTTGTTAATTTTTAATTTTTTTTTCCAAAATATAGTCCGGCCCTCCACAAGGTCTGAGGGACAGTGGACCGGCCCCTTGCTGAAAACGTTTGCTGATCTGTTTTCTTTTTTCCCCTTTTTCTGTCATTTTTGGAAAATTAATAAAATGTTAAAAATAAATAAATAAATAAGGAAGGAAGGAAGGAAGGATTGGGCAAATTGTGGCTTCCAACCCTATGCTTTGACAAGCCAGGCTCTTTTTATGTTCTTATTTAATACCCCACATTTATACCAGCACGGCAAAACTGAAAACAGGTACTGCACAACTAAAACACCCAGTAAATAAAAATCTACAGATGGCAGGTGGTATACTACTACTACTACTAATATTAATAATAATAATTTAAATATAGCCCTATTAAAAGCAGCGCTAAAAACGCTTAAAGCTATTTAAAAGCACACACACCTCCAGGAGACCTTGCCACAGCAGCTGGTTAGTGGCCAAAGGCTTGTCTGAACGACAAATGAAAAAGTCTGCCTGCCAAGGAAAGGAAAGCAGAGGGAGCCTCCCATGGAAGGGAATTCCACTATCTGGGGGCAGCCACCAACAAGGCCCCGCCTCATATCATCACCGGGCACAGCCCTAGAGGACAGGTGGGCGTCTCCCAAGTTTGATTGGTGGGTGGTGCTGACCTATATGAGTTCAGGTGATTGGCAGGTGGGCGTGGCTTGGCCAAGAGGCCCAGGGATGAGGCTCAGAGACTAGGCAGCTTCACACCACCCATCAATGTGTGAATATGCTTTTTTAAAATAACAAACACACCCTGCAAACAAGTGACAGCAAGTACAGTGGTACCTCAGGTTAAGTACTTAATTCGTTCCGGAGGTCCGTACTTAACCTGAAACTGTTCTTAACCTGAAGCACCACTTTAGCTAATGGGGCCTCCCGCTGCTGCTGCGCCGCTGGAGCATGATTTCTGTTCTCATCCTGAAGCAAAGTTCTTAACCTGAAGCAATATTTCTGGGTTAGCGGAGTCTGTAACCTGAAGCGTATGTAACCTGAGGTACCACTGTAGTGTGTGTGTGTGTGTGTGTGTAATGAAAACTATAGCAGGAAGTCACACACACAGATCTGCTTTTGTGACTACGGTCCCCGGAGGCCCCATCCTCACTATCAATTTAAAGCAGTGTCATACCACTTTAAATACTCATGAATTCCCCTGCCCCAAGAATCTTGGGAACTGTAGTTTGTTAGGGGTGCTCTTAGGAGGACCCCGCCCCCATTCTTCTCGCACAGCTGCAATTCCCAGAGTGGCTTAACCATCAATCCTTCCTCCCAGGGAACTCTGGGAATTGTAGTGCTGAGAGGGTAATACTGTGGGGGGGGGGTGCATGTCCTAACAATTCCCAGCAACCTCAGTTCACTACAATTCCCAGAATTCTTTGAGGGAAGCCACGACTGCTTATAAGTGGTGTCGCCCTGCTTTAAATGTACAGCGGGACGCGGGCAGCGCTGTGGTCTAAACCACTGAGCCTCTTGGGCTTGCTGATCGGAAGGTCGGCGGTTCAAATCCCCGCAACAGGGTGAGCTCCCATTGCTCTGTCCCAGCTCCTGCCAACCTAGCAGTTCGAAAGCACACCAGTGGGAGTAGATAAATAGGTACCACTGCGGAGGGAAGGCAAACGGTGTTTCTGTGCGCTCTGGTTTCCGTCACGATGTTCTGCTGCGCCAGAAGCGGTTTAGTCATGCTGGCCACATGACCCGGAAAGCTGTCTGTGGACAAACGCCGGCTCCCTCGGCCTGAAAGCGAGATGAGCGCCGCAACCCCATAGTCGCCTTTGACTGGACTTAATCGTCCAGGGTCCTTTACCTTTTACCTTAAATGTATAGCTCAGTGGGCCATGGAGAGGTTCCGCATGGAGGAAATTTTCAACCCCGTAAATGGCCTTCTTGGAGCAAAGGAACTTTGAAGGGAGGCTGCAATGTGAAATGGCGAAATTGCAATACATCCATAGGTTAAATGCTATCACTTGAGGAAGGAACGGAAACAAAGGGGTTTTAAATGCATACGTGCTAATCGGCTTACCAATGCCAGGATATCTCTTTTTATCAAGAGCTGTTTTGCGAAACCTTGCTGTCGATCACGCAGTTATCGCTATCTCTGATTCTCTGCATCTCATCTCCCACCGACCTCTCTGTTTACAAAACCCCACCCTGCTACCAGCCATGAGTGTGTATCCCTAACTCAGGACGGCTCCGTTTTCCCCAAAAGCTGATGCCGTAATAAATTTGCTCGTTTCCATTAGTTGCCGCAAAGCTCTGTCGTTTTTCCCCTTGGTTGTCCAATGCAACTCCTACTCAGATCAGACCCATTGATGTAAAACAAGAAAATCCTTAATAAAATATTAAAAAAAAAAAGAACAGGAAGTAGTTCAAAATTAGGGGAGACCGGCATTAGACCGTTAATTCTTCTCCCGCTGAGTATGCATTCTAACATTATTATTTCTTACATTGTTATTTTTGGTGTGAGTGTGTATTTGGTAACTTTCCACAACTACCTGTTGGGGTGGAATATTTGATTGCAGCACCTTTTGAAGATGAACTGAATTTGTAACAGTTTAGCTGAAGAGCCTTTGAGAAACAACCTGCTTTATAGAATTTAAAAAAAAAAAAAAAAAAGATCAGACCCATTGTTATGTACTGAGTTGAATAGGATCCAAACTGCAGCAGTCTGATTGGTCCTAGAACAATAGGATCCAAAATGCAGCAGTCTGATTGGTCCTAGAACAATAGGATTCAGAATGCAACAGTCTGATTGGTCCTAGAACAATGCAGCAGTATGATTGGTTGGCAGGAACCACCCAATCCTGCTCCAGATAGAAGTGAATCCACAACCTGATTGGCTTACAGTAGAATTCCGGAATTAGCCAATCATGTGCAGCCCATTGTGTAAATAATGTATATAAAGCAGATACTGTGAGGGGACATTCATTCATTCCCTCCTCACCACTATGAGCTGAATAAAGAGCATGAAATCACTTTGCGATTCTGAGTATATTTCACCCATTGAAACCAATAGGCTTAGAAAAGGGTTGGAGACAGATCAGAGTGGGCTTTCTCAGGGGGGGGTGAAGCTGAAGAACTGGGGAGATGGGGGTGGGATTCAGTTCTCAGTACGAGGATGGAAGACTGAGGTGAAATGCCAATACACAGATAGATAAGATTGTGCTTTATTAGGAACACAAATACCGTATTGGCCCGAATATAAGCCACACCTGAATATAAGCTGCACCTTTAAAATTGGGGGGGGGGGAGAGAAAAAGAAAAAATACCCAAATATAAGCCGCTCCATTCCTTGCTGCTCCTGGCTGCATACTGGGGGGGGGGGAGCCCTGCTGCGTTGCCGGCGGGCTTTCCCCTTCCTCACTCTCTCCCTTCCTGGGGGAGAGGATGGGGGACTATGTGTGGGGTGGGCGCCTCTTTGCCCCCCACTCCTGGCTACAAACTGTAAGGTCGCGAATATAAGCTGCACTTTAACTTTTCACGGTCGGAATTTGAGTGAGGCTTATATTCAGGCCAATATGGTACAGTGGTACCTCGGGTTAAGTACTTCATTCTTTCCGGAGGTCCGTTCTTAACCTGAAACTGTTCTTAACCTGAGGTACCACTTTAGCTAATGGGGCCTCCCGCTGCCACCGCGTGATTTCTGTTCTCATCCTGAAGCAAAGTTCTTAACCTGAGGTACTATTTCTGGGTTAGCGGAGTCTGTAACCTGAAGCGGATGTAACCCGAGGTACCACTGCATTCCATTTTGTATTTTCTTTGACAGGCATAGGCAAACTTGGCCCTCCAGATGTTTTGGGACTACAACTCCCATAACCCCTAGCTAACAGGACTGGTGGTCAGGGATGATGGGAATTGTAGTCCCAAAACATCTAGAGGGCCGAGTTTGCCTCTGCTTGTTCTTTGCACCCTCCTCAAGGGCTTTTGCCTGGCTGGAGTGTGTCCTCGAACTCCAACCCTGCCTCTTGCTTCCCTGGAGAGGTGTGTGTGAGTGTGTGGAGAAACTAGCCTATGGTACAGAGGAAAATGCGCATTCATTGCGTCGCTCCCTATTGCCTCTGGCCCGCCCCCACTGCCTTGTGGCCCCTGAGGAGATCATCCAGAAGGGACCGTGGCCCTCAGGCTTCCAAACCTTTCCTGCCCCTGTCCTTGTGATAGGAATTTTGAGGTCTTAGATATATGTTAAATGTTCATAAGTGTACCAACCAAGCACGTACATAGATCAGCACAGGAAGACCGACCTAAGACCATTTTGATTCCCAAACTGAGCAAATGTTTTCTCTGCAAGGTCAAAGGAAAATGGAAAAGCCTCCCCACTGTCTCTTTCCTAACAAATCCTGTCTTAAGGGCACATTTAATATAGGAATAGGGTGTGAGCCTGACCTGGCTCAGGAACTAAGTATTTATCATTACAAAAGACTAGCCAGGCTCCCCAGGCAATCCAATCAAGTGACCATTAACCAGGTAACCTGGCAGACAGGAGGTAAACAAAGCACTCAGATTTCTCTTGTAGATCACACTTTCTGTGATGTATGTGGGGGTGGTCTTGATCTACAAGGTAGCAATTTCAAAAGTCTATATAACGGCTTGCACACCATTGTTTGAGGTCCTCCTCCTTTCCTGCGTGTGAGGAGAGCACCCTGTTGCAAGAGATCAATAAAGATCAGGCTTACTAGCTGCTTTGCTTCTCAATATTCTCTGGTTGGCCTCTGTTATTCTCTCCTACCAATAGGGAACCTATGTAAGGGCTCTATATGGGCTCTTGGATACCCCATAAGGGGGGAAAGGGCAGATTTTGGTTTACAACATCCTAGTGAGGCCCTGCTGCACATCCCCTCACCTGGGGCTGCTAAACCTGCCAAAGAGAGCAAGGACTTGTCAGTCACAGCCCCACAGCTCTGAAACTCCAGAGAGCTCTGAATCCGATGAAAAGTGCCCCTTTTCCAAGGAAGCAGCCGGTTTCTGCTACGTCCTGTTCGTCAGCCGAACTCTGAAGGAGCTGCCGCCGCCTTGCCGCTCTTCCCATGCCTTTGGCTGGCGGGATTTCCGCCAAGGGCCGCATACGGTTCCATCACACGCGTCGTAAATCGTAAATGTTGTTTAGTAGTTTAGTTGTGTCCGACTCTTCGTGACCCCCTGGACCAGAGCACGCCAGGCACTCCTGTCTTCCACTGCCTCCCGCAGTTTGATCAAACTCATGCTGGTAGCTTGGAGAACGCTGTCCAACCATCTCGCCCTCTGTCGTCCCCTTCTCCTTGTGCCCTCCATCTTTCCCAACATCAGGGTCTTTTCCAGGGTGTCTTCTCTTCTCATGAGGTGGTCAAAGTATTGGCGCCTCAGCTTCAGGATCTGCCCTTCCAGTGAGCACTAAGGACTGATTTAATTAAGAATGGATAGGTTTGATCTTCTTGCAGTCCATGGGACTCTCAAGAGTCTCCTCCAGCACCATAATTCAAAAGCATCAATTCTTTGGCGATCAGCCTTCTTGATGGTCCAGCTCTCACTTCCATACATCACTACTGGGAAAACCATGGCTTTAACTATACGGACCTTTGTTGGCAAGGTGATGTCTCTGCTTTTTAAGATGCTGTTTAGGTTTGTCATTGCTTTTCTCCCAAGAAGCAGGCGTCTTTTAATTTCATGACTGCTGTCACCATCTGCAGTGATCACGGAGCCCAAGAAAGTAAAATCTCTCACTGCCTCCATTTCTTCCCCTTCTATTTGCCAGGAGGTGATGGGACCAGTGGCCATGATCTTCGTAAATCCCCGCCTGCAAGTTCAGCCAGTGGGTCAGTGCTGCTCGTGAGGCAGAGATCCGCTTGGAGTGCCTCGGAGGATCCCTTCGGCACTGGCCCAGCCCTAGATCTCAGGAGCTGGCAGGGCATGCCAGGCCTTGCCCAGAGCTTGCCAACCCACATTCCTGGGCCCACCGGCTGGCATGTGCTCACAAGCCCATCCGAGGGCAGCCCCTAGTGGCAGAAACGCAAAACGCCGCCTGCCTGGTGGGCAGTCCTTTTGGGAACAAGCCAAGACTCTCGGAAAAAACCGTTTCCTTTGGAGCAAAAACCTCTTTGAGCCACTGAGAGCTAAGGAGCATGACTAACTTAGACCTGTCAACTGCAGCAGGGTCTACTCAGAGTAAAACTCAGCTACCCTTTCTGGGTTTTTTAAAAAGTGTCCATCCGTCCCTCCAAAAAATCCTGGCTGCTTATGGTCTGCAAATGCAAGGTTTGTTTTGTTTCCGTCGTCTTATTATTATTTCCATTTGGGAAGGTTGCAAATTTTAACACGCTGTCGCTCGTTATGCCTTCCGGCGGGGTGAGCATATCGATTGGCGAAAGGCGTTTTAAACGAAGAAATGACATGCTGCCGGCAGAATCTTGCAACGAAGCTTCTTGGGTTTCTAGCCTGGAACGTTCCCTTTCTGTACACTCTGCTAAATGGGCCTTCTCCTCCCGCAACCTCTTTTCGCTTACCTGGCTCCCAGGAGAGGCTGCATAAGCTGATTCTTCCAGCAGGAAGAAGAGGGCAAAAACAGAGACACTTCAAGCCTGGCCTCACACTAGCCTGCATCTCTGTAGAAGAACTCCACCGTGCCAAGTTAACATTGCCAGCCACACAGAACACACCTTGGGGGCTGCTACCCCTGTTCTTGTTGCTCATCACACCCCCAGCAACCCACCACCCGCCTTTCCAGGTCTCCACTCTCTCTCCTTACACCTCACCACCCCCCGCCAGTGTAAGGGTACCAGATTTTTTTCAAAGAATCCAGGGACACTTTTTTTAAAAAAAAGAGGAAAAAAATTATTTAAAAAAGTTATTATTTTTTTTAAAATAATAATAATAATAATAATAATAATAATTTATTATTTGTACCCCGCCCATCTGGCTGGGCTTCCCCAGCCACTCTGGGCGGCTTCCATAGAAACAAAAAATACAGTAAAATATCACAGATTAAAAGCTTCCCTGAACAGGGCTGCCTTAAGATGCCTTCTAAATGTCAGGTAGTTATTTATCGCTTTGACATCTGATGGGAGGGCGTTCCACAGGGTGGGCGCCACTACCGTGAAGGCCCTCTGCCTGGTTCCCTGTAGCTTGGCTTCTCGCAATGAGGGAACCGCCAGAAGGCCCTCGGCGCTGGACCTCAGCGTCCGGGCAGAACGATGCGGGTGGAGACGCTCCTTCAGGTATACTGGGCCGAGGCCGTTTAGGGCTTTAAAGGTCAACACCAACACTTTGAATTGTGCTCGGAAACGTACTGGGAGCCAGTGTAGGTCTTTCAAGACCGGTGTTATGTGGTCTCGGCGGCCGCCCCAGTCACCAGTCTAGCTGCCGCATTCTGGATTAATTGTAGTTTCCGGGTCACCTTCAAAGGTAGCCCCACGTAGAGCGCATTGCAGTAGTCCAAGCGGGAGATAACTAGAGCATGCACCACTCTGGCGAGACAGTCCGCGGGCAAGTAGGGTCTCAGCCTGCGTACCAGGTGGAGTTGGTAGACAGCTGCCCTGGATACAGAATTGACCTGCGCCTCCATGGACAGCTGTGAGTCCAAAATGACTCCCAGGCTGCGCACCTGGTCCTTCAGGGGCACAGTTACCCTATTCAGGACCAGGGGTCCTCCACACCAGCCCGCCCCCTGTCCCCCAAAAACAATACTTCTGTCTTGTCAGGATTCAACTTCAATCCATTAGCCGCCATCCATCCTCCAACCGCCTCCAGGCACTCACACAGGACCTTCACCGCCTTCACTGGTTCTGATTTGAAAGAGAGGTAGAGCTGGGTATCATCTGCATATTGATGGACATCCAGCCCAAACCCCCTGATGATCTCTCCCAGCGGCTTCATATAGATGTTAAAAAGCATGGGGGAGAGGACGGAACCCCCAAATTAAGAAGTACAGTGGGCCTAGCTGTGGAGTGCATCCATTCAGCTCTGGAAGAAAGGTTGGTACTTTTCTTCACCCTCCCATGGCAAGGCTCTTGGTTTCTGCCACCTGACACACTCCATGATGTAGCCTGGTCTCCATCTTGCACCCAGATTAAGCCTTGGAATCCCTTTTGGGATGTGGTTCTAAAAGATGCCGTTTAATAACCACAGAGCACCTCTGAGCATATACAGAGTGCAGCGCCTGAGAGAGCCATAACCTGATGGGGGTGGAGAGAATTAAGACGCCTTTTATGTCACAGCAGAGATGGGAAACTTGTGGCTGTCCAGGAGCTGTCGGACTCCAACTCCTATCAGCCCCAGGCAGTGTGGCCCAATGGTCAGGGATGATGGGGGTTGGAGCTCAGGAACAGATTCTGCTGCTGTCCTAGAACAATCCTGTCCCAACCAATCAGGAATCACATATTAAATGTACCCACAGAGGTAAAAAGCAGGGCTGGGGAGCCAGTGGTCAGGGAAGGTAGGAGCTGGAGTTCAACGATGTACATGTTAGAGGGCTTTTCCCATCACCCTACGTATTTTAGAAACCATTTTTCGTTTTATTTCATCCTTTCATCTCGTTACAATACAGCGATCGATAAAAAGCATTTAAACAATTCATCCATCAGAACAGCAGCAAGAGAACATCGAATAAAATTAACAGAACACACACACACACACACACACACACACACACACACACACAGAACACAAGTCATCATAGCAGCATTAGGTCAAGTAAGTTGCATTGTGCCAAGGCAAACCGGTGCTCCATGTAGCTCACTATTGTCTAGCCTCAGGAATGGGGGGAACCTGCGTCCCTCTGGACGCTGCTGGACTACAACTCCCATCAGCCCTGACCATTGGTCCTATTGGCTAGGGCTGCTGGTAATAGGAGGAAGGCGGCAACTTCCTCTTGGTCTGTGGTGACTGGCAGCTTTCCCCAGCCAATGGTGGCTGGTGCTCATTGGGGCTAGTGGGGCGGAAGGCAGGGAGCCCGACAGCAGGTGGCGCCAGAGGCAATGAGTGGCTAAGTCAACTCATTCTAATTCCGTCCCCATCCTCCTTCCTGTCGTGTTCCGCAAAGGCAACACTGTATATTAAGGCCATATTCACAAAACACATTTAAAGAGCCATGATACTGCTTAAAACAGTCATGGCTTCCCCCCAAATAATTCTGGGAGCTGTAGTTTGCTCTGGTCGCTGAGCGTTGTTCGGAGACTCCCCTCACGGAGCTACAATTCCCAGAGTTCACTGCAAAGATGGATGAATTGCTGAACCACTCTGTCAAATGTTGCTCTGGGAAGGGAATAGAACTACAGTTCCCAGAATTCTTTAGGGTGAAACCACGACAGGCCCTGCCCTGTAGGATAGAGCCTTCCTCCCCCAATACAATAAAAAGAGTCGGCACTGAGCAAATACTTCAAGAGTGGTCGTTCCGCAGTGGTGCCACCACAAAAAAGGCCCCGTCTCTGGTTGCTGCCATTGTATAATCCCCGAAGGTGGGAGTCATTCTGCGCACGACCTCAGGTGATGATTTTAGCAAGCGATAAAGTTCATCTATGGTAAGGTTACCAGATTTTTTTTTCAATGACTCCGGGGCGTCAGTGGATTTTGTATGGGGACTGATTTGTAAATCCGGTGACTGTCCCCAGGGAACGGGGATGTCTGGTAACCTTAATCTATGGGGGAAAGCGGTCCTTTGTCATTCCAAAACATCGCTCTTTTGGGTGGAATTCACACGCCCAGAGACCTACATCAGTCATAAAACCAACAGCAACAACTCCATCCAATATATAAAAACGAAAGGATTAAGTCTCTCGCCTCTTCCGGCGCCTGTCCCATTTTAAAAGGAACTTGAAGTTTCCAATTTGTTATGGCCCCCGTCCGGGGGGGTGCCTGTGCTCCCGCCTGTCCAATCCTCTGCGTATTTATTCACGGCATAAATCGAGATCTCCGTATCCTTTTCCGTCCCTGGGTGATGCTTCTCGGCGGTCAAGGTCTCTTCCTCGTCCTGGGACGGCAGGTGGTGAAACTCCACCCCGAGCTCATACAGAGCCGTCCCAGTGGTGGCCCCCACCATCGGAGCCACGACCGGAACCCACCACCAGTAGTTTCCAGCACTGGAAAGATAAAGCAGAGTGGTGACTGGTGGCAGAGATGGAGCCGTGTGGAGACAATTTGGAAAGGAGGTGAGTGTGTCACAGAATCATAGCATCGCAGAGTTGGAAGGGACCCTGCACGTCAGTCCAACCCCCTGCAATGCAGGATTAATTTTTTTATTTTTCCCCCCAAGGTGGGTCTCGAACCCACAACCCTGAGATTCAGAGCCTAATGCTCTACCGACTGAGCTATCCCAGCAGTGGCTTTCTATGGAAACCTCCCTACAGAGGGCATGGCTGTGGACCCTCCAAATCGACCATTGCTCTACCCTGCTCAGGGACGCAGGTGGCGCTGTGGGTTAAACCACAGAGCCTAGGACTTGCCGATCAGAAGGTCGGCGGTTCGAATCCCTGCGACGGGGTGAGCTCCTGTTGCTCGGTCCCAGCTCCTGCCCACCTAGCAGTTCGAAAGCACGTCAAAGTGCAAGTAGATAAATAGGTACCTCTCCGGTGGGAAGGTAAACAGCGTTTCCATGCACTGCTCTGGTTGGCCAGAAGTGGCTTAGTCATGCTGGCCACATGACCCGGAAGCTGTACGCCGGCTCCCTCGGCCAGTAAAGCGAGATGAGCGCTGCAACCCCAGAGTCAGTCACAACTGGACTTAACAGTCAGGGGTCCCATTACCTTTACCTGCCCTGCTCATCAGCACAAAGAGACCTTGTATGTTGTCAGGTGGCTGAGGATCAAGACAGGGAAAAGTCCCTACCAACTGCTTCTTATTCAATATTCACAGAGAGGGGTTTGGAAAGGCAGCCTCTTGGAATAATGGTATTGCCCCGAGTGAGTCTCCACCCCCTCCCTCTCTCCTATCATGCATCACCACTACAGGTGCTGAAAGGTGCCCTCTGCCTTTGAGCTCTTTGCTCTCCTACTTTCAAGGCTCGCCAGGTTCTAGGAGAAGGTTAGTGTTAGGTGTGTGTGCAGGAGCCAGGCCTTGTGACCAATAGGACTTTGCAGGACTGGGGCCTTCCTAAGTTTGTTCTGAAGAGGCAAGGCGCGGCTGCACAGGTGAGGTCAATTGGTAACTCACAGCACCTGGTGGCAAGAGCCGGGAAGGGATATAAGGTCAGCATTTTCCCTTTGGCTCTTTGCCACAGCAACACGCTCCCTACCTTGCTGCGTGTGGCTCCTTGACTCCTTGCTCCTCAGACCCCTGACTTCGTGACTCCTTGCTCTCTGACCCTCGGGCTCTTGGCTTCCTGACTCCTGGCTTCTGGACCCCTGTTCCTGCTCCCACCCCGCCATTTTGCCCCCGATCCTGACGTCCCCTGGCGGGACCGATCGCCCGTGAACCAGACCGTGACAGTGGGTCTAGAATGCTTTCTAAAGACACTGTGTCCATCAGCCGTCGCCCCTCTGTTGTTGCTTCTTCTTCTTCCTCCTCTCCCATAATTTCCCAGCTTTCCCCCCTCATCTCCCTCTGAGCTGTGACCTTCCTCAACCCCCTGTAGTAATTCTGAACCGTCGCCTTCTTCTCTGGAAAGGTCAGGCTGGGGAGAAGGTCTCCACCATTCCCCAGTCCCTGACACACGCACACATGCAACTGGGCGCCGCCTCCTCGCCCCTCGCGCACTCACCTGAACACCTGAGGCCCCCATCCGGCCAGGTAGGTGAAGAGTCGTGGGCCCAAGTCCCGGGCTGGGTTGATGGCGCACATACAGTTGGCTCCCATTGCCAAGCCGAGAGCAGTGACCAGCAAGCCCACTGCGATGGGCTCCAGTCCATGTGGGACGCGCCTGTTGCGGGAATCGATAATGGCCAGGATGCTCAATATCAGCACCCCGGTGCCCAGGACCTGATGAGGGGAAGAGGGTGGAGGGAGGACAGGACATCAACCAAAGCACAGGGGCATCGAAAACCACCAGGGACCAGCCTATTCGTTTATCTAGGCCCTGGAGACTCAGCACCAATCTGAGAAGGGCCTTCTCGGTAGTGGCGCCCGCCCTGTGGAATGCCCTCCCACCAGATGTCAAAGAAATAAACAACTATCTGACTTTTAGAAGACATCTGAAGGCGGTCCTGTTTAGGGAAGCTTTTAATATTTGAAGAATTATTGTATTTTAATATTTTTCTGGAAGCTGCCCAGAGTGGCTGGGGAAACCCAGCCAGATGGGTTGGGTATAAATAATAAATTATTATTATTATTATTATTATTATTATTATTATTATTAATTGTTACAGTGGTACCTCAGGTTAAGAACTTAATTCGTTCCAGAAGCCCGTTCTTAAGAAGAAACTGTTCTTAACCTGAGGAACCACTTTAGCTAATGGGGCCTCCCACTGCTGCCACGCGATTTCTGTTCTCATCCTGAAGCAAAGTTCTTAACCTAAGGTACTATTTCTGGGTTAGCGGAGTGTCTGTAACCTGAAGTGTCTGTAACCTGAAGCGTCTGTAACCTGAGGTACCACTGTAGTACTATTATTATTATTATTATTATTCGCCGGGATTGAACCTGGGACCTTCTGCATGCAAGTCTGGTGCTCTAACCACTGAGCCACGGCAAATGAATGGAGCAGCGGCAGAGCAATTGGACATATGGGATGCATCGCCCTGAGCGAAGGATGCTTCCGTCTCTGGGCAGTGCTGGGAGTTCTAGGGACGGCTGGCCCTACCTGGTCGAAGAAGCCGTTGCCAAGCGACAGGTAGGGAGCTGGGTAGGTGGCAAAGATGGAGGCGGTTTCACGGGGTCCGGTGACTGCAAGGGTCCCGTTGCTATAGCTGTGGATGGCGTCTGCGGAGAGAAAAGCCAGTGGCCATGAGGCTTAGCTTTATAGGAAGAGAAGCCGAAGGGGGAAAGGAGAGCAGCAGCCCTGCTCCGTCAGTTCAGCTGAGAATCCACCTTCATGTGATTCCTGACCAGTTTACATTCCCAACTGGTCATTATAAGGACTACCATGTAACTTCGGCATCTGATTCCACTGCATTTTTGTTCATCCTCTCCCCTTCTCAACGCTTTTTCCTTTTGTGCTGTGTCTCTTTAGATTGAAAGCCTGCAGGCAGGGATTTTTCTCCCTACGTGTCATCGTTCTTACGCAGGGGTCAGCAAACTTTTTCAGCAGGGGGCCGGTCCGCTGTCCCTCAGACCTTGTGGGGGGCTGGACTAGATTTTGGGGGGAAATATGAACGAATTCCTATGCCCCACAAATAACCCAGAGATGCATTTGAAATAAAAGGACATGTTCTACTCATGCAAAAACACACTGATTCCCAGACTGCCTGCAGGCCGGATTTAGAAGACGGTTGGGCTGGATCCGGCCCCCAGGCCTTAGTTTGCCTACCCATGTTCCAGAAGCGTTTTAAGTAAATGAATAAATATGCAGTGAGCATCACCGCTTGCCATTTCATACCCTACGGCTGCCAAGGAATGCTTTTGGGCGTCAATAGCAAACTTTGCAGCGCGATTATGGCTTTTCTAGTATATCTGGTATATCTTTAACCCAAAGATTGGCTTTTACATCAGCAGAAGATGAGCTGGGCAGAGTCAATGAATACAGACGTGGCGAGGCAGGTGAATGTGTAATATGCCGAGCTTGTGAAGTTTGGCAAGAAACGCGCCTCTTATTTTCCCCATTGTGAAAACTCTGGGAGATAATGTTACCGTAATAAAGCATGTAGACGGTGCCTGCGCCCAAAAAGGCTCCCATAGTCTGAATGACAGAGAAGATGGGCAGTTTCCACCAGGGGCATTGGCCAAGCAGACACATGGTGAGCGTAAAGGCTGGATTTAAGTGCCCTCCTGTAAGAGAGAGAGAGAGAGAATCGTAGAATTGTAGAATCATAGAGTCATAGAGGGACATCTAGTCCACCTCCCCTGTGATGCAAGAATATTTTTAGCCCAATGTGGGGCTCGAATGCACAACCCTGAGGTCAAGAGTCTCATGATCTACCGACCCCTGTGTTTGAAATCCTGTTCCGTATGGTCTCTCGCTTCTGAAATTGCACTAGGTCTTGCACATGCCCTTTGCAGGACTAGGAACTTAGGCTGCACATACACACCATACTGTATATTTAAAGCAAATTATTCCCCCTAAAGGGACGTGGGTGGCGCTGTGGGTTAAACCACAGAGCCTAGGGCTTGCCGATCAGAAGGTCGGCGATTCGAATCCCCACGACGGGGTGAGCTCCTGTTGCTCAGTCCCTGCTCCTGCCAACCTAGCAGTTCGAAAGCACACCAGTGCAAGTAAATAAATAGGTACCGCTCCGGCGGGAAGGTAAATGGCATATCCTGTGCTGCTCTGGTTCACCAGCAGCAGCTTAGTCATGCTGGCCACATGACCTGAAGCTGTACGCTGGCTCCCTCGGCCAATAAAGCAAGATGAGCGCCACAACCCCAGAGTCGGCCACGACTGGACCTAGTGGTCAGGGGTCCCTTTACCTTCTACCTTTTTATTCCCCCTAAAGAATCCTGGGAACCACAGTTTGTTCAGGGCGCTGTGAATTGTAGCTCTGTGAGGGGTAGACGCCTCTCCGCTTGTGAGAGTTCACCCATCGTTTCAGGCCTATACAGGTCCACTGTTCCTTAGACCTTGTGGGGGGGGCTGGACTATATTTTTGGCGGGGGGCATGAACAGATTCCTATGCCCCACAAATAACCCAGAGATGCATTTTAAATAAAAGGACACATTCTATTCATGTAAAAACATGCTGATTCCCGGACTGTCTGTGGTCCGGATTTAGAAGGCGATTGGGCCGGATCCGGCCCCCAGCCCTTAGTTTGCCTACCCATGGTATAGATAATACTACACTCACCTCTTCTTCTGAGTAGTGGTGCAAATCAGCCCCAGGCAGAGAGAACTAAGCATGTCAAAAACTAGTGCCCATTGGAGACTGGTAGGGTGGAAGGCAGGGAGCCTAACAGCAGGTGGCGCCAGAGCCAATGACAGGCAGGGCCAGCTAATTCTAGATTTGCCCCATCCTCCTCCTCCTCCTCCTCCTCTTCCCTTCTGAGCTCTACAAGGGGCAAAACTGAGACTAAGAAAGAGCAAGAGGAGGGAGCTGGCAGGCAGGGGCACTCCCTGGACTGATTGCAAGTAGGAAAGGGGCTGCAGACTGGGGCTGGCAGAGGAGTGTCCCATGCCCCCTAATGGACACAGCCTCCGGCCACCAAATGCCTCTTGGTAAAACTCCCTACCAGGACTTACTTGATGGAAACAGCCCTTTGAAACCCAAATGTTTGTTGCCTGCACCAGAGCCTCAGCAGGTACAATGCCACTGGCCATGGAGGCTCCATTGAGCTATCGGGGTTAATAATAACTACTGGTAGCTGGTCATAAGGTGGCTGAGTCATAGCTCCGGGAGCTAAGGTTGGCAGAGATAACAGGGACCAGAGGCGATAAGGAGCTTGCAGTCGACAGAAAGCAATCCCCGGAGAATAAATCTTTGGCAAGCACCTCCACGTGGCTTCCCCAGGTCTGGAAAGTGGGGTCTTTTCAGAGGAAGGACCAGGGAAGCAGGAGCGAACCAATCCCCAGCAAGCATCCCCATAAGTGACAGAGAAGAAATCTGATGCGGGTCTTAAACAACTTCATGTGCATTTTCTGAAACAATGCACAAAACTGGGACGCAGCCATCCTATGAAGTTTGTGCTTCGCCACATTTTGCAATGCAGCCAAGCCACGTGTACAAAAATGCATACACAGGGGTAAGGTAAAGGTAAAGGGACCCCTGACCACTAGGTCCAGTCGTGGCCGACTCTGGGGTTGTGGCGCTCATCTTGCTTTATTGGCCGAGGGAGCCGGTGTACAGCTTCTGGGTCATGTGGCCAGCATGACTAAGCTGCTGCTGGTGAACCAGAGCAGCGCACGGAAACACCATTTACCTTCCCGCCGGAGTGGTACCTATTTATCTACTTGCACTTGGACGTGCTTTCAAACTGCTAGGTTGGCTGGAGCAGGGACCGAGCAATGGGAGCTCACCCCGTCGCGGGGATTCGAACCGCCGACCTTCTGATCGGCAAGTCCTAGGCTCTGCAGTTTAACCCACAGCGCCACCCATGTCCCGTATACACCTGGGTAAAATGTGCATATAATAGCACGTTAGGGCAGGTGGCTCTGCAAAGATGTCTCTGTTAAGATGAAAGGCTCCAAAGGATAAAAAACGAAGAAGATGACTTTGACAATATAAGGTGTTGCTTTAATTTCTTACGTGACTAAATCTAGCCGAACTATAACTCCTCCATCAGCCCATGGTACTTTTTGGAGGGAGTCTTTAAAGTTGATACGCTTGACTTTCCATTGTTCATTATTGCAACAGCTACGTTGTGAATCTGCTTATTGTTTGTTACTATGGACACACCCTCCAAATGTCCCCATTTTCCAGGGACGTCCCTGATTAAGAGAAGCCATTTTGATTTGATCCTGGAATGTCCCACTTTTCCTTAGGATGTCCCTATTTTCACCGGATAAATGTTGGAGGGTATGGAGTTATCTGACCCCCGAGTCGTCTGAAGGCAATCTTGTATAGGGAAGGTTTTTTATGTTTCATGTTTTATTATGTTTTAATACATGTTGGAAGCTGCCCAGAGTGGCTAAGGCAAACCAGTAGGGTGTGTATAAATAGTTAAATTATCATTATGGAAATAGGACATCCCTATTTTCATCAGAGAAGTGTTGGAGGATGCTTGCACATTTTGAAAACCTTTGAATAAAAATATTTATCCATATTGAAAAAGATGTCTCTATCAGGCAAAATCATATACAAAATTCATATACAAAATTCAGAAACAGGCAGAGAATTTCAAAGGATGGTCGTGTCTTGGCTACGGTATTGTTTCAGAAAGAGCCACAGAGGTAGGTTTTCCGCTTCTGATCTTTTTAACCCGCACAGTTTCAAGCCTAAATTTTGTTCCAACACTAAGGACTAGCAACTTGCATATTCGAAAACAAAACAGCTAGAAAGCCGCTACGATCAGCAAACTGCAGGCTGAGTTCAACACTGTATTCTGCGCCTCAGATTCAGGGTCGGATTTAGGTTTGATGAGGCCCTAAGCTACTGAAGGCAATGGGCCCTTTATATGTCCAGCTGTCCTTTGTCAACAACAAATTCTCCCTGTTTTATGTGTTGAATATATGCTATATGGTAATTTAGGGACCTCATAGGTATCTAATGCCATTTGCCACTGTTGCTATATGTACTGTAGGTTTTATTTTATTTCTTTTTTCTCTTATATTTTGGAAATGTACATCCAGGTTTTTTCCCCTTTAATTTTTTTGGGGGCCCCCAAGAGAGTGGGGCCCTGAGCTATAGCTTGATTAGCTGATATATAAATCCGGCACTGCTCAGATTTTCCAGGCTTAACTTGTGCCCTTGCCTTTGCAAAACAAAATAAACTATGAAATTTGCTGCTGCTGCTTCTTTTTTAAAAAGGATTTATAGATAGTAGTGACACGGGTGGCGCTGTGGGTTAAACCACAGAGCCTAGGGCTTGCCAATCAGAAGGTCGGCGATTCGAATCCCCGTGACGGGGTGAGCTCCCGTTGCTCGGTCCCTGCTCCTGCCGACCTAGCAGTTCAAAAGCACGTCAGAGTGCAAGTAGATAAATAGGTAGCGCTCTGGCGGGAAGGTAAATGGCATTTCCGTGCGCTGCTCTGGTTCGCTTAGTCATGCTGGCCACATGAGCTGGAAGCTGTACGCTGGCTCCCTCGGCCAGTAAAGCGAGATGAGCGCCGCAACCCCAGAGTCGGCCACGACTGGACCGAATGGTCAGGGGTCCCTTTACCTTTACCTCTATCTTTACTGGAGGTGAGAGGGACGCAGGTGGTGCTGTGGTCTAAAGCACAGAGCCTAGGGCTTGCTGCCATTGCTCGGTCCCAGCTCCGGCCGAACTAGCATTTCGAAAGCACGTCAAAGTACAAGGAGATAAATAGGTACCGCTCTGGTGGGAAGGTAAACGGCCTTTCTGTGTGCTGCTCTGGTTCGCCACAAGCAGCTTAGTCATGCTGGCCACATGACCCGGAAGCTGTATGCCGGCTCCCTTGGCCAGTAAAGCGAGATGAGCGCCGCAACCCCAGAGTCGGCCACGACTGGACCTAATGGTCAGGGGTCCCTTTACCTTTTTATAAGGAGATAAACACTGCAGCTCTCCCCCACAATTGCCCGAAATTTTGAGCGAAGCCTGGACCAAGTGCCTGCCCCATTCCCGGGGCTCATGCACGAGAGAACCTCCCCTTTCTCACCAGAAACTCCTCCCGAAACGTGGATGGCTACCATCACAGCAATTCCGCTTGCTAGGGCTGAGCTAAAATAGCCACCCTTCGTCCCTTCGCTGGTGGTGGCCTGTGCAGATGCGCTCAGAGTAATCACCTGGGAAAGAGAGAGAGAGAAAAGAATGAGGGAAAAGACCTTTGGGAGAATCTTTGCCCTGGGTCAGAACTCCTGCATCATGCCCACGTTGTCCCTCCCAGGTGGTGATGGGAACCTTGTTTACCCTGGCGCCAATCATCTTCCATTTTTTGATGGTCATGGGGTGGAAGCGATGGGCTATGGCAGCGATGGCGAAACTTTTAGAGATCGGGTGCCCAAATTGCAGCCCCAAACCCACTTATTTATCGCCAAGTGCCAACATGGCAATTTAACCTGTATATCTCATTTCCCCCCCATGTGTTTCACGTTTCTTCTTCATGACTGCTGTTGTAATAAAAAATCCTTCATAAAAGCTATTGCATTACGGTCTTCAATAAATTATCTTTCCATCAGTATATAATTTTATGGCATAACTCAGTGCTTTCTTTCTTAAAAATGTTTAGGGGTACTCTCGTTTTGGCTCAAGAAAATCACCACCAGGGAAAAATAAATACAGTTCAAATCGGGGGAAATAAAGACAGTTAATTTCTTGTCCCGTTAAATTCGCAAAATGTTTAGGTGTATGCGTCCCCCTGTGTCCCCACAGGGGAAAAAAAGCACAAGTATTACTCCAAAACTAAGTGGTGTTAATGAGCCATCAAACTTCGGAAATACAGTGGTACCTCTGGTTGTGAACGGGATCCGTTCCGGAGGCCCGTTCGCAACATGAAAAGAGCACAATCCGCAGCAGCACGTCTGCGTATGTGCTGGTTGCGATTCGCCGCTTCTGCGCATGCGCGTGATGTCATTTTGAGCATCTGCGCATGCATGAGCGGTGAAACCCGGAAGTAACCCTTTCCAGTACTTCCGGGTCGCCGCGGGACATGACCTGAAAGAACATAACATGAAGCGTACATAACATGAGGTATGACTGTACATTTTTTCCAGAAGGTTTCACAATTTTGGCCACTAGTGTACACTGGAGGGTGTACTAAGAGCCTCCCTCTCCCAATTTTTAATATGAGATAATAATGATTGTCTGCGTGTGCACATACAAATATGAATAAATAAATAAACCTATCCAGATGGGCAGGACATTATTATTATTATTATTATTTTGCCATTTCTTTGGCTGCTGTTTGATTGCACGGAATGAATTTCTCTTGTTGGCTTCCGCAAGAAAGCCCAGCGAACATGTAAACCCCTTCTTAGGTTGCTTACTGACCTGGGAGTTAAGCCATGCTGAACTCAAGGCGGCTTACTCCTGAGTAGGAAAAACAGACTGGCAGGAGGCCCTGGCGCATCAAAAGTCTGCTCAGCCTCTCATTCACTCGCCAGGCCCTAGTGCCAGCCCCTGGCACGGAAGCTACGGCTCTTGCTGGGGCAACGGCGCACGTGACCACAGAGAGGGCTCTGAGTGCCGTTTCTGGCAAGCGTGCCATAGGTTCACCACCACTGGGCTATGGGGTCCTGGATTTTGGTTGCCAGCTGGCAAAGTGATAAAAATGTACCTAGAAAGAGGAGCGTTTGAAGTTGCACCCTACGGAGCCTGTAATAAATGATAATAATTTTAATATCTATATGCCACCCATCTGACCGGGTCGGCCAAGCCACTCTGGGCTGCTCCCAACAAAACACACTAAAACATCAACCATTAAAATCTTCTCTGAACAGCGCCGCCTTCTGATGTCTTCCAAACGTCAAATCATTGTTTAATCAGGACTAGGGAGTCCCTCGCCCCCACCTGCCTGCTCCCTGTCTCCCAGAAATCATACTTCTGTCTTGTCAGGATTCAACCTCAATCCACTGACCGCCACCCATCCTCCAAGCGTCACCGCCAGCCCATCGGAACATCGGTCGTGGGGCAGGGATGGGGCAGGATTTTGTATTTGAAGTCTAATTGATCCAATCGGAACGCTCTGAAACGGTGTGGGAACCGGTATCTTTCAAAACCCCAGACAAACCACCGCTTTAAAAAAGCTTTAAAAATGTACCTATTAGGAGAAGCAGTGCAAAAAAACGAATCTGAGGAGTGCAGTCGCTGACAAGGAAGTTAAAGGTAAAGGTGAAGGAACCCCTGACTGTTAAGTCCAGCTGTGGACGACTCTGGGATTGTGGTGCTCATCTCGCTTTATTGGCTGAGGGAGCCGGCGTACAGCTTCTGGGTCATGTGGCCAGCATGACTAAGCCACTTCTGGCAAACCAGAGCAGCGCACGGAAACACTGTTTACCTTCCCGCCAGAGTGGTACCTATTTATCTACTTGACTTTGACATGCTTTTGAACTGCTAGGTTGGCAGGAGCTGGGACAGAGCAACGGGAGCTCACCACCATCGTGGGGATTCGAACCGCCGACGTTCTGATTGGCAAGCCCTAGGCTCTGTGGTTTAGACCACAGCGCCACCCACATTGTTACACACCAGCAAAATCAGGGGGGGCTTACTTCTGAGTAAAGAGCATGGGGTGAAGAGGCTTAGTGATGAGCCTATTTATTATTATTATTATTATTATTATTATTATTACTACTACTACTACTACTACTATTTCAAATGAGGAGAGGAGAGCCCAGGTTATCTTCCTGAAGCACCTTCCAAGCAAGGGAACCTGAACTCCATAACTATTTTTTGCATTCCAGAAGAGGTGGAAAACAAGCCTTTTGGACCCTGAACTTTGCCCCTCTGGCTCGCCTGCTCCAGGGTCAGGTGCAATGCAATTAAGCGCCCATTGCCCATGAAGGCAGGTCCAGCATTAACAGCAAGACATCAAAGCGTGACAGGTAGCCAGACAGGAACCCCATTCCTAAAAGCATGTCTTCAGAGACAGACCTCAGATCCAGATGTTGCAAACAGCCAACCTGCAGTGGCGTGCGGCAGCAAGAGCAGTAATATCACCTAGGGCAACCAATGAACTCCTTTTTTTATAATTTTTATTAATTTAAATTACACACACATACATAGAATTTACAATCTCATACTACAAAAAGAAAATTAAAGAAAAAACAATTAAGAAACAAGAAGAAGAGATTGCAGGGCAGCAGTTGAAGAAGGAGCAAAAAGGGTTTTCTTGTGTGTGTGTGTTTCTTTGTGGCTGATTGGCAGTTTTATCCATCTTTTAGATTTAGGGGAGCTAGTCTCAAACGTTTGTTGGGGAAGACCTAGGTTTTTTTTTTTTGGGGGGAGTTATTTTTACTGTATTAACCCTTTTTAAGACGGAGGACCACTGTAGCCACCCCCAACGACACGTTCTAAAGATGGAGGGGCAGGGAACAGCTGCAGTCGCCTGCGGTTCCTGCGCAATGCTTGCCATCTTGCCAAAGGTTGCAGGCAGCTTTACCTGCAGCAATTGCATGTTGATTGCCCTCTTAAAAGACAAAGTCCAGCAACTGGAGGAACGTGTAGCTACGCTCCAAAGAATTAGAGAGCTGGAGCTCTTCTTGGAAGCAACAGAGCACACCGTCTCCACCAAGGAGGAGACAGGGGACTCCCCTGAGAAGGACGCTAGTTCACCAACACAGGAGCCAGATATATGGAGAAACGTGACTCAAAGAAGTAGGAGGCCCAGGGTTCGCTCTGATTGTTTAGAAATACACAATCGCTTTGAGGTCCTCTCCCCTAGCATGGAAGACGAAGAGCAGACTCCATTTGAGGATCTCTCCTCATTACAGTCGATCAGGTATATGAAGACGAGCAGCAAAGTCAGTCCTCAGGGAATGTGCAGGCGACCTTGGAGCGGACAGCTCACAGAAGAACCCCGGCCAAACCTAAGAGGAGGCGTGTAGTGGTGATAGGGGATTCCCTACTGAGGGAACAGAAGCAGTGATCTGTGGGCCTGACAAGATGTCTCGGGAAGTGTGCTGTCTTCCCGGGGCTAAGATCCAAGATGTAACTGAACGACTGCAAGGAATCATAAAACCCACTGACAAATACCCCTTCCTCTTGGTTCATGTGGGAACCAATGACACTGCAAGCAATAGCCTCCAGAAGATCAAAAGAGACTACGAGGCTCTGGGCAGGAAATTGAAGCAATTAAATGCACAAATTGTGATCTCATCTGTCCTCCCAGTTGAACGACGTGGCCCAGGGAGAGAGGGGAAAATAGTGCAAGTGAACAGCTGGCTTCGCAAATGGTGTAAACAGGAACGGTTTGGATTCTTAGATCACGGACTGCAGTTTCTTGAAGATGGACTTCTGGCAAGCGATGGGCTGCACCTCACAACGGTTGGGAGAAATGTTTTTGCCAAAAATCTCAGAAACCTCATCAGGAGGGCTTTAAACTGACTAATGTGGGGGAGGGAGATAGTGCTCCTGAAGGTAGGAGTCTATCAATTGATGAAGATGATCATCCAAATGTCATAGACCAAATGGAGCAAACAGCACACAGACCTAGTGGTGGGAGGAAAAAATCCTTAAATAAGAGTCACGGGGAATGATTAATGGACTTCAATGTCTGTACACTAATGCGCAAAGCATGGGAAATAAACAAGATGAGCTTGAGCTCTTGGTACAGCAAACTAAATATGACATAATAGGCATCACTGAAACCTGGTGGGATAAGTCCCACGATTGGAATGTAATAATGGGGGATACAATCTATTTCAGAGAAACAGACCAGACAAGAAAGGAGGAGGAGTGGCGTTATATGTCAGGGATGTGTATACCTGTGAAGAGATCCAAGATTTAGAACCTCAAAGCCAAAGTGAGAGCATTTGGGTCAAAATTAAGGGAGAGAAGAATAACAGTGACCTCATTGTGGGAGTTTACTATAGATCCCCAAGCCAAACGGAGGACATAGATGATGCCTTCCTGGAACAGATGGCCAAGCATGCAAAAAAGAAGGGAGATAGTAGTAATGGGGGACTTCAATTACCCGGATATTTGTTGGATGTCAAACTCAGCCAAGAGCATAAGGTCAAACAGATTCCTCACTGGCCTTGCAGACAACTTCATTGTCCAGAAAGTGGGAGAAGCAACAAGAGGAACAGCCATTTTAGATCTGGTCCTAACCAATGTTGATGACCTGGTTAGTGGGGTAGAAGTGGAAGGATCATTAGGCGCAAGTGATCATGCTCTTCTGAAGTTTACTATACAGCGGAAAGGAGCAGCCAAGCATACTAGGACTCAATTTCTTGACTTTAAGAAAGCTGACTTCATAAAACTTAGGGAAGTGCTGGGTGAGATCCCATGGACAGTAATACTAAAAGGAAAGGGAGTTCATGATGGCTGGGAGTTTGTTAAGAGGAGATACTAAAAGCACAACGTCAGGCAATACCAATGAGACGGAAACATGGAAGGTGCCTAAAGAAGCCAGGGTGGCTATCTAAAGAACTTTTAACTGAGTTAAGATTAAAAAGGATGTGTACAAAAAATGGAAAAGGGGAAACCACCAAAGAGGAATTCAAACAAATAGCCAGCACGTGTAGACACAAAGTCAGAAAAGCTAAAGCACAGAATGAACTCAGGCTTGCTAGAGAGGTTAAAAGCAACAAAAAAGGCTTTTATGGGTATGTCCGTAGCAAAAGGAAGAACAAAGAAACAGTGGGGTCACTCAGAGGAGAAGATGGTGAAATGCAAACAGGGGACACAGAAAGAGCTGAACTCCTCAATGCCTTCTTTGCCTCAGTCTTCTCCGATAAAGAAAACAATGCCCGACCTGAAGAATTTGGAGCAAATGATTCAGCAAAGGAAACACAGCCCAGAATAACTAAGGAGATAGTACAAGAATACTTGGCTAGTTTAGATGTATTCAAGTCTCCAGGGCCAGATGAACTGCATCCAAGAGTATTAAAAGAACTGGCAGATGTGATCTCAGAACCACTGGCAGTCATCTTTGAGAATTCCTGGAGAACAGGCGAAGTCCCGGCAGACTGGAGGAGGGCAAATGTTGTCCCTATTTTCAAAAAGGGAAAAGAGAGGACCCAAATAATTACCGCCCAGTCAGTCTGACATCAATACCAGGGAAGATTCTGGAGCAGATCATTAAGCAAACAGTCTGTGAGCACCTAGAAAGGAATGCTGTGATCACCAATAGTCAGCATGGATTTCTGAAAAATAAGTCATGTCAGACTAACCTGATCTCGTTTTTTGACAGAATTACAAGCCTGGTGGATGAAGGGAACGCAGTGGATGTAGCCTACCTTGATTTCAGCAAGGCATTTGACAAGGTGCCTCATGATATTCTTGTAAAGAAGCTGGTAAAATGTGGTCTTGACTATGCTACCACTCAGTGGATTTGTAACTGGCTGACTGACCGGACCCAAAGGGTGCTCATCAATGGTTCCTCTTCATCCTGGAGAAGAGTGACTAGTGGGGTGCCACAGGGTTCTGTCTTGGGCCCGGTCTTATTCAACATCTTTATCAACGACTTGGGTGATGGACTCAAGGGCATCCTGATCAAATTTGCAGATGACACCAAATTGGGAGGGTGGCTAACACCCCAGAGGACAGGATCACACTTCAAAACGACCTTGACAGATTAGAGAACTGGGCCAAAACAAACAAGATGAATTTTAACAGGGAGAAATGTAAAGTATTGCACTTGGGCAAAAAAAATGAGAGGCACAAATACAAGATGGGGGACACCTGGCTTGAGAGCAGTACATGTGAAAAGGATCTAGGAGTCTTGGTTGACCACAAACTTCACATGAGCCAACAGTGTGACGCGGCAGCTAAAAAAGCCAATGCAATTCTGGGCTGCATCAATAGGAGTATAGCATCTAGATCAAGGGAAGTAATAGTGCCACTGTATTCTGCTCTGGTCAGACCTCACCTGGAGTACTGTGTCCAGTTCTGGGCACCACACTTCAAGAAGGACATTGACAAACTGGAACGTGTCCAGAGGAGGGCAACCAAAATGGTCAAAGGCCTGGAAACGATGCCTTATGAGGAACGGCTAAGAGAGCTGGGCATGTTTAGCCTGGAGAAGAGGAGGTTAAGGGGTGATATGATAGCCATGTTCAAATATATAAAAGGATGTCACATAGAGGAGGGAGAAAGGTTGTTTTCTGCTGCTCCAGAGAAGCGGACACGGAGCAATGGATCCAAACTACAAGAAAGAAGATTCCACCTAAACATTAGGAAGAACTTCCTGACAGTAAGAGCTGTTCGACAGTGGAATTTGCTGCCAAGGAGTGTGGTGGAGTCTCCTTCTTTGGAGGTCTTTAAGCAGAGGCTTGACAACCATATGTCAGGAGTGCTCTGATGGTGTTTCCTGCTTGGCAGGGGGTTGGACTCGATGGCCCTTGTGGTCTCTTCCAACTCTATGATTCTATGATTCTATGATTCTATTCTAAGAAAATACAGGAAAAAAAGAAAGAAGAAAAAGCAAATTTACATACATAAAAAACACCTTAATCTTCCTAATTAATACTTAATTAAACTGATGAACTCCTATTGTTTCCTGGGTGATAACAAGGTCTTCAAGTTTTCTTTTTATTTGGTGATGGATTAGCAGGGAGGAAGTCAGAGAATCTGCTGGGCTGCGGTTTTGGATTCTGTTTTGGGAGCTGGTTGTGTGTGTGTTGTCATGGCGGACTCCTGTATTTAAATCATTTACACTCCCAGCAAAGGCCAACATGCGCATGAGCTCTAGGAGGTCAGATTTCAGGTAGGAAAGATGGGAAGATGTGATAGGGAGCTGACATGCCGGCACTGACTAGTCATCTTGACACCGATACCAGGGAAGATCCCAGAACGGATAATTAAACAGATAATTGGTTGGTGAGCAATCGAGAAAGGATGCCGGGAGCATGGGTTTCTCAAAAACAAGTCATGGCAGATGATTCTCGTTTCTGTTATTGATAATTACAGGTTTCGTGGATCATAGGAATACTGTGGACATAAGTGTACCTTGATTTCAGTTAGGCTTTTGACAAAGTCCCCCATAATATTTTTTCAGAGAAGCTGGTAAAATGTGAACTGGACGAGATAACCGCAAGATGGATTTGTAGCTGGTTGACTGACAGAACCCAAAGACTGCTCACGAATGGTTCTCCATCATCCTGGGGAAAAGTGACAATGGCTGCATGCCACAGGGGTCTGTCCTGGGCCCTTTGTCTGATGTCTTTATAAACATCTTGGATGAAGGCACTGAGAGGATGCTTATCAACTATACAGATGGTGCCAAACTGGGAGGTGTAGCCATTGTCACTGAAAACAGAATCGGGTTTAGATATGGCATTGACAGATTAGAGAACTGGGCTCAACCTAACAAAATGGATTTCAATGGGAACAAATGTTAAGATTCTGAACTTAGGCAGGAAGAACCAGCTGTACAAATATAAGATGGCGGACACCTGGCTTGCCAGTAGTAGTAGTAGTAGTAATAATAATAATTTATTATTTATACCCCGCCCATCTGGCTGACTTTCCCCAGCCACTCTGGGCGGCTCCCATTCGAGTGTTAAAAACAATAAACAATAAAGCATTAAATATTAAAAACTTCCCTAAACAGGGCTGCCTTCAGATGTCTTTTGAATATAAGATAGCTGCTTATTTCCTTCACATCTGATGGGAGGGCATTCCACAGGGTGGGCGCCACTACCGAGAAGGCCCTCTGCCTGGTTCCCTGTAACTTGGTTTCTCACAGTGAGGGAACCGCCAGAAGGCCCTCAGCGCTGGACCTCAGTGTCCAGGCAGAACGATGGAGGTGGAGACACTCCTTCAGGTATTCTGGACCAAGGCTGTTTAGGGCTTTAAAGGTCAGCACCAACACTTTGAATTGTGCTCGGAAACGTACTGGGAGCCAATGTAGGTCTTTCAAGACCGATGTTATGTGGTCTTGGCGGCCACTCCTAGTCACCAGTCTAGCTGCCGCATTCTGGATTAAATGCAGTTTCCGGGGCACCTTCAAAGGTAGCCCCACGTAGAGCGCGTTGCAGTAGTCCAAGCGGGAGATAACTAGAGCATGCACCACTCTGGCGAGACAGTCCGCAGGCAGGTACAAGTGAAAAGGATCCAGGGGTTTTAGTAGACCACAAGCTGAACATGAGTCAACAGTGTGATGCAGCAGCAAAAAAAGCCAATGCTATTCTAGGCTGCATCAACAGACGTCGAGTGTCCAGATCAAGGGAAGTACCGTAATAGTCCCACTCTATTCTGCCTTGGTCAGACCTGGAGTCCTGAGTCCAATTCTGGGAGCCATAATTTGAGAAGGAGATTGAGAAGCTGGAAGGTTTGCAGAAGAGATGATGATGATCAAGGGCCTTATGAGGAACGGTTGAGGGAATTGGGTATGTTTAGCCTGGTAGAGACTGAGAGGAGATATGATAGCCATCTTTCGATATCTATAGGACTGTCACATAGAAGATGGAGCAAGCCTGTTTTCTCCTCTTTGGACCTAAACCAATGGTTTCAAGTTACAAGAAATGAAATTGTGAGGTTTGGGAGTTGAGTTGAGTTGAGAGTTGAGGTTTGGGTGTTGAAGAAGGAAGAGGGAGATTTAGGTGTGGGTTGGTAGAGCTGCATTGTGAGAGAGTGAGAGGAATTGTTAGGTGGAGTCAGATAGTTAGTTGGAATAATCAGTTTGGAGATGTTAGGAACTAAGAATAAGAAACTGCCAAGAAAAATTAACCGTAACCATAAGCTTGTTCCTCCATTTAAAAATAAACTTGATTATTTGTTTATGTTAACAACTGACTGGACTCCGTGTGTCCCTGTGAGATACGGGGTGGTGGCAGCGAAAAAAGCAGTCGCAGTGGCGGCACAGGGTCAACAGACCGTCAAACGTCCAGGGGCCCTGTGTGATCGCCACAAACATCAGGAGGAACTTTCTGACAGTAAGAGCTGTTCAACCGTGGAGCGGACTTCCTTTAAAGATGGCAGTGGGCTCTCCTTCCTTGGAGGTTTTTAAACAGAGGTCAGATGGCCATCTGTCATGTATGACCTAACTGAGATTCCTGTATTGCAGGGCGTTGGACTAGACGACTCTCAGGGTCCCTTCGAATTCTTCAGTTCTATGGTTCCAGCCCTCATAGCTCTACACAGAAGTCAAACTTAAACAGGAACATAGCAAGCCACCTTCTTCCAAGTGAGACGATTGGGCCCATCTAGCTCAGTACTGTCTACACTGGCAGGCAGCAGCTCTCCAGGGTTTTCAGACAGGGAGCGTCTCTCAGCCCTGCCTGGAGTTTTCAGGGTTTGAATCTGGAAAAAGCAGGTGCTCTACCGCTAAGCAAATGCCAGCCCTTCTCTGCAACATAGGGATCGTGTACCAGCTCCTGCCCACCTAGCAGTTCGAAAGTACGTCAAAGTGCAAGTAGATAAATAGGTACCGCTCCAGCGGGAAGGTAAACGGCGTTTCCGTGCGCTGCTCTGGTTCACCAGAAGTGGCTTAGTCATGCTGGCCACATGACCCGGAAGCTGTACGCCGGCTCCCTCGGCCAATAAAGCGAGATGAGCGCCGCAACCCCAGAGTCGGTCACGACTGGACGTAATGGTCAGGGGTCCCTTTACCTTACCAGCTCAGACTAGGGTTACCAGACGTCCCCGGATTCACAAATCTGTCCCCGGATTTTAATTAATGTCCCCGGATTTATGCCTGGGGACTTCTGGTGAGGCAATATGGCGGGTGCCAGGGCAGTGAGGCAGCACTGGAGGTCCCGGCCACGTCAAAGTCCCAGCCAGCCAATCCGCTGGCTTGGGGGGGGGGCTATTTAAACCGAGGCGGGAGCCAGAGAGCTTCCTTCCTTGATCAACACTCGCCCCGAAATCGCGCAGAGCCTGCAGCGCTCTTCTGCTGTGGGCTCTGTGCACCCGAGTTGGGGGGCAGCGAGTGAGGCGCTGAGGCGGTGAAGAAGAGGAGGAGAAGAAGCGTAGAAAAGAGCTGTTCTGCAATACGAGACAGAGAGAGAGAGAGAGCCTTGTGTGTGTGTTTTAATGCGTGTTTTCCCAAGACCAGCGAGCGCCTTTACTCAATCTCTCTCCCCCCCCCAAACCTCTTTTTTGGGGGGCATTTGTGTGTTTGTAGATGGGCCTAGGACTTGCCGATCAGAAGGTCGGCGGTTCGAATCCCCGCGACGGGGTGAGCTCCCGTTGCTCGGTCCCTGCTCCTGCCAACCTAGCAGTTTGAAAGCACGTCAAAGTGCAAGTAGATAAATAGGTACCACTCCGGTGGGAAGGTAAACGGCGTTTCCGTGCGCTGCTCTGGTTCGCCAGAAGTGGCTTAGTCATGCTGGCCACAGGAGCCGGAAGCTGTACGCCGGCTCCCTTGGCTTATAAAGCGAGATGAGCGCCGCAACCCCAGAGTCGGTCACGACTGGACCTAATGGTCAGGGGTCCCTTTACCTTTACCTTAGATGGGCTTATCTGCCTGCCTTGTGTTGAGGTGCACGCTCAACAACTTTGGGGTTCCCCCAAAAAAGGTCAAGAACGATGGGCAACCCTTTCCTAAAATAATAAAGCATGAAATTTAAAAAAAGTGTCTCTAGATTCCTTGAAAAAAATCTGGTATCCATAGCTCAGACCCACTGCTTCTTCTAGTTTAGCATTGTTGACACTGACTGGCAGTGGCTCTCCAGGGCTTAATTCAGGGTGGGGGTCCTCTCCCCAGCCCTGACTGGACTGAACCCGGGGCCTTCTGAATGCAAGACAGATGTCCTATGCCTGAGCTACAGGTGCTTTGCCATCTACCGTTTTCCCCGCCCCCAAACCAGCAAATATTTGCAACTTACGATCAACATGAAGACCCCCAGGAGCTCTGCGAGGCACTGGCGAAGGAGGAGGCTGCGGAGACGGAGGCAGGCTTGCGCTTTGGCTAAGAAGCGGGTGTAAATCATTGCCAGCCGGGAGAGAAAGCTTTCCGAAGGCAGATCAGAAATACAGATGTGTGTGTGTAGCTGCTCTCGGGCTACCGATGATAGTAACTAATTATTCTCAGAACTCGTTGCTTAAATGCCCGGGGAAGTTATGTAAGAAGGGAGAACGGCAGCGTGCAAGCGAGAAAAAAGGGCATGGATCCCTCCTGCAACAGCCTCTCCCCAGAGTTGGAATTATGACCCCTGTTGTCAGCAGCAAAAGGCGTGCTTGACCCATATGCCAGTGCTACTGACACGGGGAGGCTGTGCTGGAGTTTTGCACATAGCCTTGCAATAACGTAGAGAGAGAGCCAGCTGGATCAGGCCAGTAGCCGCCCCTCTCCTTTTCCAGCATCCCTGTTCTCGCTAGACAAATGCCCCAGTGGGAAACCTGTAATCAGGATTTGAACCCAAGAGCCCTCTCTCCTCCTGAGGTTTCCAGCAACTGGTATTCAGAAGTATCGCTGCCTTGAACTGTGGAGGAAGAGTGTGCTGGGCCCGGGGGTAACCCGTGAAATGCAGTCCAGGACCAGTCCAGAATCCGAAGGTTCCGCGAGGAGTCCGTCCGACAGGGCCAAGGCAGGACACGAGGCAGGAAACCAGGCAAGGACAGGTACAGTGGTACCTCTGGATGCGACCGGGATCCGTTCCAGAGCCCCGTTCGCATCCAGAGCAGAATGCAACCCGCGTCTGCACGTGCGCAGCTCGCAATTCGCCGCTTCTGCGCATGCCTGTGGCGTCATTTTGAGCGTCTGCGCATGTGGGAGCGGCAAATCCCAGAAGTAACCTGTTCTGTTACTTCTGGGTTGCCACAGAGCGCAACCCGAAGATGCTCAACCTGAAGCAACTTTAATCCAAGGTATGACTGTATAGTGGTACCTCGGGTTACATACGCTTCAGGTTACAGACTCCGCTAACCCAGAAATAGTGCTTCAGGTTAAGAACTTTGCTTCAGGATGAGAACAGAAATCGTGCTCCGGCGGCGCGGCAGCAGCAGAAGGCCCCATTAGCTAAAGTGGTGCTTCAGGTTAAGAACAGTTTCAGGTTAAGTACGGACCTCTGGAACAAATTAAGTGCTTAACCCGAGGTACCACTGTACAGGATCTCAGGCAGAATCTAGCATACAGCAATGTTGCTCCCACAACCTGGGGCAGGATCCAACAGCCTTTTATCTTTGTCGGGGTAGCAGCCGGTCCTGATCCCCCAGCGACTCACCTCCCTGTTTTGCCCAAAGGCGAGCACTCCTCCTGCGAGTACTCAGGTCTCTCCTTCTCTCAGACCTGAGTCTCTGCAGCTCAGGAGACGTCGGTGGGTTACTAGACCCAGAGGCCGCCTCAGCCTCCCCTGAACCAACCGGTAGTAGAGCAGCTGTAAGTGATGGCCCAGCTGGAGGCAAGGAGGGAATCCCTGCATCTGGAGCCAGGGCAGGCTCAGGCCCCTGACTCAGCCCAGCTGGTGTTTGTTGCAGGGGAACCTGTGCAGACTGGGACTCTTCAGGATCAGGCCCCAGACTTGGTTCAGATGATGCCTGAGGCGAAGGATCCGGTGCAGACTGAGACTCCTCTGGTTCCAAGTCCAAACCCGAGTCCCAGGCTATCACAAAGAGCACAGCAGCTGTAACTAGAAGCCACGGAGACAGTCTCCATGAATTTGTCCAATCCTCTTTGAAAGCTATCTGGGTTAGCGGCCATCACTGCCTCTTGTGGCAGTGAGTCCTACAGTTTAACCATTTTATCTCTTATCTGTATTGACTCTTCCAACAGTTTTTGACTTTTTAATGGTTTTATTGTACGGTTTTATGCTTTTATTGCAATAAACTGCTTGGATGTATTTTTTATGATATAGCAGTATACATTTTTTATTTTTTTACATTCTAGTGTTATGAGAAGAGAGGGAGAAAAACGTCTCTCCATCTACCGTATTTTTTGCTCTATAAGACTCACTTTTTCACTCCTAAAAAGTAAGGGGAAATGTGTGTGCGTCTTATGGAGCGAATGCAGGCCGCGCAGCTATCCCAGAAGCCAGAACAGCAAGAGGGATTGCTGCTTTCACTGCGCAGCGATCCCTCTTGCTGTTCTGGCTTCTGAGATTCAGATTTTTTTTCCTCTTGTTTTCCTCCTCCAAAAACTAGGTGCATCTTGTGGTCTGGTGCGTCTTATAGAGCAAAAAAATACGGTACTTTCTCCATGCATGGTGTAATTTTGTTAACTTCTATCATGTCATCGCTTACCTGCCCTTTCTCTATAAAGTCCCAAACATTGCAACTTTTCCTAACAGGGACACCTCTCCATCCCCTTGATCAGGGGTCAGCAAACTTTTTCAGTCCACTGTCCCTCAGACCTTGTGGGGGGGCCGGACTAGATTTTGAAAAAAAATAATAATGAACGAATTCCTATGCCCCACAGATAGCCCAGAGATGCATTTTAAATAAAAACACACATTCTACTCATGTAAAAACACACTGATTCCCAGACCGTCTGAGGGTCGGATTTAGAAGGTGATTGGGCCGGATCCAGCCCCCGGGCCTTAGTTTGCCTACCCATGCTCTTGATGGTTTCGCTTGCCCTTTCCTGAACCTGTCCTCAACTCTACAATATCCTTTATTTGTGGTCCACTGAGGGTGCCACTTCAGGTGTGGTAGTGCACAAATTGTCCTATGTCCTGTGTACCCATTTTCCCCTTCTTGTGTACACAACACACAGACACACAAAGAACACGAAAACATAACCCGGCCCGGCCAGAAAGATGGGAACATCTCAGCCAGGGGCTTGGTGGTACAAACAAAATGGCCGCACTCTGGTCAAGGGGAATGTTGGTTGACAGATGGTTTCTTCCTGCCTTTTTCTTCCTAACTGAACACTTGTTTTCATCTCAAGCAGCGCAGGGAAAGCAGCGCATATTAAGCAAGCAGCGCATATTAAGCAGCACAGGGAATCGTCTCCAACGAAGTTCTGCTTAAGAGTAGATCACGGAATATGCAGAGATGGCAAGACTGACAGCTCTGAGAGAGATACAAATCCAGAATCTTTCAACGAGGATAGAAAACTTTTTCTAGCCTATTTAAAAAATAATTTTGCACACACACAAAAGTCCACAACAGGATTTGAAGTTTAAGGCGGGAAATAGTAGAATATATCGGGAAACCTGTTAAAGAGGGTGAAACTGGAAATTATGGGATTTTAAGACACAATGGTATGCAACTGTGATTATAAACTTTGAGGATGAGCAGAAAGTCATTCGTATTGTAGAATAAGGATTATAACCCTTGAGAGATCAAATGTAACTTTGAATTCTGAAATAAAAGAAAAAAAGAAATCTTGGGGGGGGGGGGGAGTAGTCCCATGGGAATGATTTTGGTATCGCAAACATTTTGTAAAGGTTATATTTAAAGAAACGGACACTAGGTGGAATATACAGGTTTTATTTTTGCAGTTTGCCTCTGGGCACTTCTGTAGGAGTTGTGTGGGCCAAGGACAAAGATGGCAGCCACAAAAGGTTCCCCACGCCTACTGGCAGAGCTTGGAGGTAAATTGAGTCACTAATTAAAACCAAGTTTCAGAGACATTAAAGAGCCCAAGAGGGTGATTAACGAGGGCAAAGGAAGAGGATCTGGCAATCGGCAAGAGAGACTGGTTTTGCGGGAGGGAACAGGTATCTTTAGACCAGGGATGGGGAACATCTCAGGTCCGGAAGTCAGGTGCAACTCTCCATCTCTATCTGGCCCGACAGATTCTCCCTAGGCCCAGGGGGCGTCGCAAGGGGTGTGTGGAGGGTGCGGTCCACCCCAGGTATTATGCCTGGGGGTGTGTGTGACAAAATCCCCCTGGGCGGATCTGCGTGGTGGCGCTTGCACTCCCGGTGGGCAGATTTTTGCAATTGGCGCCATCATCGTAGCGAAACTCTGCCCACTGATCATGCAAATACGCCTGGTGTGCAGTGTTGGCCGCCAGGGATGTACCGTATTTTCTGGCGTAGAAGACGACTGGGCGTATAAGACGACCCCCAAATTTTCTAGTTAAAATATAGAGTTTGGGATATACTCGCCGTATAAGACTACGTATAAGCCAGTCTTTTTGTCCCTGTATGAACACCACAGCTCTCGCAGGAGGATCGGGGGGGAGGGGTGGACGGAGGGGAGGACTTCAAAGCCCTGCTTGCCTCATCCCTCCTCCATCCTCAGTGGCAGCCAGCCTCTTGGAGTGGCGCCCTGCAACGCAGGGCGGGAGGTGGCGAAGGTGTTTTTGGCTCCCTCTCCTCCTTCCCTCCACGTCGCCACAACCATACCCGGCGTATAAGACGACCCCTGACTTTTGAGAATATTTTCCTGGGTTAAAAAGTCATCTTATACGCTGGAACATACGGTACCCCCACAGTGGTCAGCTCCACACTCCAGGTGTATCTGCACGATCGGTGGGCAGTGCTGGCACCCCCGGGAGGATTGTCACACCGCTGATGGTGCCCCCGGGAGGATCGGTGCCCCCCCCGGGTGCACGTCATGTTTGCCGCTCTGGGTGCCCGAGCGGTTTCCTCCACCTTTGCCAGGCCCCGCCCCCTCTTCAGCCCTTCCTCGTGTGTTCTTGCCTGGCTGGAATTTGCCCTTGAAACCTGACCATGCCTCTTGCTTCCCTGGGTGGAGGAACGGAAAAGGGTGTAGCGAGTGTGTACCGAAAGCAGCCTACCGTACCAAGGTGAACTTTGAATTTTTGCTCCACCCTCTTTTGCCTCGGGCCTCGTCCACCACTGGTACGTGTCTCCTCCTGCCCCAGGTACAGAGCCTGAGAGGTGTTTGCTGGATCCAGCCAATGGCCCATTGAGTCCAACCAGCGGCCTGTAGGAAACCCTTAGGCAGGGCCTGAACAAAACTTTCCCCTCCTGTGGTTTTCAAAAACTGGTAGTCCGAAACTTTGCTGCCTCCAACTGTGGAGACAGAGTGTAATTATTGGGGAAACCCAGCCAGATGGGCAGGGTATAAATAATAAATTATTATTATTATTATTATTATTGGTAGTCACTGAGAGCCTCACCTTTCATGAATTTGTCCAGACTTTTCTTTCTTTCTTTCTTTCTTTCTTTCTTTCTTTCTTTCTTTCTTTCTTTCTTTCCC